TTCCAAATAGGTAAGCATAATATTAGGTTTTTGTCCCTCGTTTCGTTTACAATAAACTTAAATAAAAAACCGTTCATATTATCTGACTATGATGTCTTCATTATAGTATAACTTTATTTTTCATAATTATTATGCGGAAATGACAACAGCAACAGGATGCGAGGAAATCTTATGATTGATTGTAACTAACTAGGTAACTTAATAGATGTTTCTTACAAAAGTAGGTGTAGACTATTGTAAACGCAAGTGATGGCGTAGGTAATATAAAAAGCAATTGAATCAAAGCGTCACGGTTTGTGCGTCTTCGATATCAATAATATTACGTCCTAGGTTCAATGTGTTTTGCCTGCCTTACTCATAACGTGAGAACGGCTGAACCTTTATATATTTTTAAATGTTAGTGATGTCTAGTCGAAATAAAGTTTTTATAAAAAGAAAAATAAAGTAGCATGGGGAAAGTTCAGGAAAACTTAAATGTAATACTAAAGAATTAAGTGTAATAAAATAAGTATATTAAGTGGGCGTTTTTTGATCACATTTCTTCGGTTTTTCAGTTACGATTTCGATTAGTATTTAAATCAGTATATCCCACTCTATGGATCCCACCCACCAATAGGTTGTGAATGAATATATGTATATGCTAGAGAATCTAAATATGGGCAAAGTTCCGTCTTCATTCATTTACTTAGTGATTGGTACCAAGATTTGAAAATATTGTAAGATAGAAGACTTATTCGAACCTAAGTATTTAAGTTTAAAAAAAATTTTCGTGTAGGTACCTAACTTAATACTATTTCTGTTACTTTAACACGTCATAAAAAGTTCGTTTAAAGAAAAAAAGGAAGGAACTTAGTTTTTACTTTCATATGTGTTAATTTTCCGTCTCATGAATTGACGCATCGGAATCGTGGATTGTAGATGATAGTCCTGAAATTTTTAAGACACCTCACACACATGTTTAGTTGGTGAAGTGAAAAAAAATATATTAAATTCACGTTCCCACGCACATATCATATTTTTTCCACAAATAAAATTCTAAATCTCAGTTTCAAACAATGGCGGACGATATAACTTGTGATAATTATCTGAGGTCGAACCCGCCAGTGCGGAACGGTATGTAGGGGGAGGCACTTGTTATTATCATGTGAAGACATTTCGAAGACGTTCCCACAGAAAACTGTTTTGTCGATTAACTTTGATTCATAATTAGTTAATTACTCATGAGTTTTTAATTATGTAAATATATACATTTTCAAATAGTTAACGTGCAATTTAGATTAAGCTATAAACAAAAAAGTCGGATTTTCTGATTATATCCACGCTTTTATACATATAAATGCGAAAGTAACTGTCTGTGTGTCCGTTACATTTTCACGCCTTACCTACTGAACAAATTTTAATGAAATTTGATATAAAGGTGACCTTGAGAAAGGACTGAAGTATGTTTTTATAGCCAAATAATAAGGGAACGATAATAACATGCGGGCGCAGCCACCGGTGGAAAACTAGTTTCTTAAAAGGGAAAGCGCCGTAGAAATAATGAAAACGCTCGTATGATTCCATTCGATTTTATTAAAAATATTCATGTTTCAAAATCAGTGTTCAAAATATCAGCAACTATTTAGTTATAAAATTATTTATACAAGTACCTACAGCACACATTAAACTTTGCGATTCAAAATTAGCTCCATTCGAACAGCTGCCCAGAACTTTAATATCTACATATATGTTCTATACAACATTAGGCTGAAATTTATTTAGAATCGCAAACTTTAACGGCGAGTATCAACAGATTTCAAATGAAAATAACTTATTTTTATACAAATTGACATGATAAGTGCTTATTCAATTATGTATAATATTTAATACTAATTTCATTGTAATAGAACTTTACCAATTCCATATGATTCATATTGTAATTCAATTTTCCGCTACAAAAATATTTATATATTTTGTACTTCTTATTACACTTTCGACATGGAATGTTCGAAATCACACTATTATAAAAAAATACACGTCGTATTAAAATTCACAGTAAAATTACATTCGCATAAAATAAATAGAATTTCGATCATTATTTTTTTAAACAATACAAGTAATGTACTATTTACTAAATTAATTCTAATTATAGCTTGTTCAAATCTCGGCAAATCTACATTTAAACGCACGCAGATACAATCGTATCTTATAATATGTGACGTAAATACAATTAAAATTAAAGGCTCTATATAATTATGTACACACGGCGAAACGTCAGGTTCCCACAATATGACAATGTTCCGCAAGTGATTTTGTACTCTACCTGTATATATTAGAGTTTAAAATCGAGTGGAGAAGTTTGTCAGTTTTGTAGAACCCGACATGCTGTTGACTGTACAACACAAAATACAAATGACTAAGATATTACGAGAAGCGTAATTTACTCTTGACCGCCGCTTACGCCGGCCTTCACATCTGATTACGTTGTTACAATGAAATATATCTTTAGCATTATCCTCATAGGATGAAATGCAATCAAACGTAGTCAGGATACAATTTAGTACAATAATATTATATACTGAGAGGTACTGAAAATACCAAAAAGTATTTTATTTGGCTTTGTCTTGTCGTTGACAATACAATACTTAAAATTAGCAATGTACAATTCACGCTCTGCAATTATCAAACCAATATAACTAGACTTAAATTAAATATTTAAAAAAATATATATAAACACGATGACTTGTCATGGATTTTATATCTATTTGGCCCCAAAGAAACAAATCTATGAATAGAGATTTCTTCCCTTTTTACTATTAAGTCTGCAGTGCTAATAAAACTAAAGATTCATGTCCATAAATCTTTGCATAAAATAGGTAATCATTCATCTTCTGAAACCTTTTATTAATGATATTATAACGTTTTTAAAGGAAAATCCAAAATTATCAATAGAAGAATGATAATAACAAAATATTAGGGCAAGTTCTTAATATATTACAAAGGACAATTAGCAAATAGATGTACTTTACTTTTAAGTTCGATTCACACTTCAATGACATAACTTGCCCCTGTTGCGAATTATGTTCTTTTTAACGTAAAAGTTTTCAAACGACAATCAAAACTAAACCCGCCAGATAGGCAAGTTAACTCGCCACTTTACTTGTTGTAGTAATCGGGCTTTAGGATAGTGCAAATCTGACGGAAGATCGATGATGCATCTCTAGGGAGTATGCGTCTACTAACTGAACGATTACAATGCTTCAACGATCATTATATATTTCTAACCGTGATCGACGACAAGCATCGACCCTTAGGGACTATTAAGCTCCACTCACTCCCCCTCCTGTTATGCCACTGACAAAACAGATTCATATATAAAAAGAACTGTGTGTTTATATCCATATGCAGCGAATTTATCTTAAGTTTAAATTATATAATCTCTTTCGTATAATACACACAACTTATATCGAATTTTAAACCTAAACAACGTATTTATTGCTGTTAATTTATAGAAATTTGGTGTTCATTATAGAAACGATGACGTCATAGTGTAATGCTTTTGCTAGTTACTTGTTAATCATAGTACCTAACACTTCTTTCATAAAAAGAATTACAGTTCAGAAACAGAACTAATGTATATTTTAGTAGAAAACAGGTATTATTTTTAATTTAAATGAATCAAATATCAGTGAATAACCAATTTATAATCAAATGGCATATCAAAGGACGAATTTACATAAGTATTTCGCAATGAGCAGAAATAATAAACAGAGCAAACTATGCCATAAAAAAGCGTTGTTCTGAATATGATACACAGATCAAGTCTCATAATTCTATATCGTATTCGAAATATGTCTAGCCTTAAACCAGGTCCAAGCTGTTTTATAGGTCTCGGGATAGCGTTAAAAATACATTCTCAATATACGAGATTGAAGGTAACCTGTTGCGTTCGATATAGGGCACTTATGAAGATTGTAAAGTAAGGTATTGTATAATGCGGCTCATCAATGTACCTGCGCAGAAGATTCGAATGTCAGCCAATCAGAATTACTGAAGTCGCTCACTATTGGACATTACCAATAACCCCCACCATTCGATGAACGCGTTGTATTTTATACTTTATGGAAACAAGACCTATTATAAATTTTAATTGTACAATCTTTTATCATTCTTCGTATATGTATCGACAAATGTCAGAAAATGAGGGATTTTAATTAGTGCCCTACCACAATGGTGACGAAAGATGATTGTATAATGAATGTTTGTTGACGATTTAGTCCGAGGTGAGGGTGGGCACAAAGAAGAGTAAATAAAACGTCCGGTTAAACCTTGGATTACTCTATTGGTTAAATTTTCAATTTGGCAGTAAAAATGTATACCTAAGAACCCATTCGCCATACACAACGTGGTACTGATAATTTATGGACGCGAGAGTTGGCTATCTATGAGAGTGTGTAAATAAACAGGGTAAGTAGAATTTTTAGCGTACTTACTCTCCGTTTGAGAGAACGAACAACGAAAAATACAATTCAAAAGTAAAAGAAAGTAGTAAGGGCAATTAGTCATGAATCAAGAGATGTCTTCTACATTAGGCACTATGATAACAGTTAGAAAATCATCCTCAAATCATTCGACATATATAACTTCTACTATCATTTTGTGATCGAGAATTTAATCTTTGGGGCTTACGCAAGGTAATATATACTTCAACATGTATTCTGGCTTAGAGATACACAGCGCAGTCTTACTACATATACATTTTAAAGATAAAAACACAGCAGTCTTTTCATTTCGGTAGTTAAAAGCAGCCTGTTTATTTAGCACTACAAAGCAATTGTGTTATTAAACATTTATTGCTATCAAAATTGCAAAAGACCATCCTTTGCAATTTTGAACGCAATTTTAAGGCTTCGTAGACTGCAATTAAAATAATCACTACAGATCATACACTAATATTTGTAATGACTGCAAATAAAAAAACTCATTCACTGCAGACTGTCCTCCAGCCTGCAGTCTATTGGCTATTGTAAGGTGTTATCTGGCAGTCGGTGTGTGTGCGCGTCGTGATGCCAGCCGGGTTGATCGGGTCTCATGACGTCATCGACCGGCGGACAAACGGGCCTAGGACCCGGTTCTGGCGTATACGTGAACGTTAGACCTGTTGCGTATATTATACCGTCGTTTCTAACGAGCGAGACGGGCACCTGCAACCAAACATTACAATGGTATTGTTGTGGAATATGAAGTATGTATAGACGCTGGAAAGCAAACACGTAGTAACGTACAAAACCAAAATGAATATTTAGAGAGGAAAATCTTAATATTTTCCAAAAAAGAAAAAACTTATTTCCGTAAAAATTGACTAAGGGACACTTTATTTGTTACCATGGCCATTTACCCCATAGCAGAAGGGTTTTGATCTGTCTGCGACAGATTATAAAAACCTGAAAATATGTCTGCAAGAATTTTAATTGAAATGTCCTCGCAAATCACGATCAACGCGATTCATTCAAACCATTATCCCGGTATTGTTTAAGATACTACTCAGGATCCGATTTATACATAAAATACATTATATATTTCTATGAAGTAATATTACAAATTCTATAAAAAAAAAAAATAAGATCTAGGGCCCGAAATTTTTTCTTTCCACTGCTGAAAGATTACTTTTTCGTCACAATAAATTAATTCATTTTCTTAATTTTCTGCACGCCAAAAAAATTCTGTTTCTGTTAGTGTAATTTTTTTATTTATGTAAGACTGCCGAACTGTCTGCAGACCTACTCGGCTGTCTGCGACAATGCCGCAGTGTCGCTCGTTGGGCTTGGGGGACATTTATAGGGATTATTTATCGAAAAAATTAAACTTTTTCTGTTCTGAAGAACAATTTTGGTTTTGCAGGTTACTACGTGTTAGTTTTCCAGCGTCAATATATTATTACATTGCGTTGGAATTTCAGTACAATATCGCAAGGAGTCATGAAGTTGTGGATAACGTTTACCTGTAGAGGTCGATTTACCTTAGGGCCAAAAGCCAACTTGCTTATATACCACACCGTAGGACGTATGGGGCGGTGCAAGCAGTACATATTTATTTCTTTATGATATTATTAATTTTATTTAATTATCAAATGATGGTGACAATGTCATAATAATATTTTTAACGTACATGAGCATTCCGCTGAATTTTATTTTAATTATATATAAGTAACCAAGTTTCTTTTCTCTTAATTTATGGAGCGTCAGATATAGAATGGTAAATTCCACGTGTGATGAAATTCAAAATTCGCCACAGGTTACTTTGAAATAATATTTTTGTGGTTCCCAACCCAACCCAATGGATTAAACGGGACCCTATCACTAAGATTCCGCCGTCTGTCACCAGTCTGTCTAATGAACCGCGATAATTACGACACAGCTGACTTTTTCACAGATAATGTTTTTCTAATGCCGCTGTAACAACAAATACTAACAGCACAAAATAAATCTTTAAGGGACAATACAACAGGCGCGTTTTTTTTGCTTTTTCCGATACAGGACCCTTAGTCCGAGTGCAAATCGCACTTGACCGATTTTGTACGTCACTGAGACGTGATATCAAATGTCTGAAAGTAATGTCTCAGCTTAGAGGACTTGAGGTTTCGATATTACAGCAGCATATTAAATTAGCATAAAATACCCAAGTAGCACATAAATAATATATTAACTAAAAAAGTACCGATTTATGTCCTAAAGTCATACTAACATTTTTAATCAGCACTGGTCAAGTTTCGAATCTGTTTAAAGGCATTTATTTTATCTAATAATGCTTAATGCCATATTATAGTTAATAAAAAAAGTATACCAATGGCAAAACTCCCATTTAAGTATTGGGTAATATTAATATTAAGCTGTTATCGTATTTCGGTGATATGAAAAACATTATATATTATATAAGCATTAACGTAATATTATTTAGTGCACTTAGTTGTATTTAGTCATTTTCTAGAAACAAAGGTATTCTAATGGCCTATGGTTGTATCGATTTAATGCTTATCCTATATACACGTTGAATAAAGAACTAGTAAAACTTTAGCACCGATTTGTTCTTAAAGTATTCCTTAATCAAGCTCAAGCTCCTTTATATTCTTAATCTATGCTTTTATAAAACATAAGGCTATATTTTGATCAATATTAAGTTATTTATAGAGATACAAGTAATAAATAGATCGTTATTATTTTTTATGTGAAATTCAAATGTAAAATTATTTTATGTATTGTATTGTAATGGTGGCATTTTATACGCATCGCTGGCGCCATGGACAAAAAACCTTGGGAAAAACAAAGAAAACAGGTGGATATAAAAGAAAACTGAAAAAAGAGTATTCTAATTTAATTGAAGCTTTTAAAAATCAAAATAAAAATGAAATAATCGTTTGATGATTATAAGATATAAGATACTTCTGAAGTGTTAAAATACGGCTGTACCTAAAATGGGAGTGTATTATACGGTGAATTACGAGCTCTTAGTTTTGTGTCTAACCATAATACGATTAACAGCTCTACTACACCATATTTGAATACCTAATGCTTTAATTTTACGAGTCGCCATTTGCTTTCTTTTTCCAATTCTTACAAAATATTTAAAGTCAACTGTGTCAGATGAAAAGGGGTAAATAATCATTCATTTTGTGCACAGATGCCTATAAAAGCAATTATGTTGTTAAAACAATGCTAAAAAGCCTAAAATTCAACAAAAAATTTTGCTACTAGGTTAAATTTTTTATTATTTTTATTATATTAAAGGAACTTTGCGAAGGCGCGTGTATTTTACACCATAAACTTGTATATTTTACTCCACAAACTGATGTTTGCAGCTTATTTCATACATAACGAGCTGTTTAAATCAATATTCAAAAATACTTAAAAGACCAGCCAAGAGAACATGTCATGACACTTACACAAAACAATAATTGAAACCGATATGTTTTTAAAATCTATTAAATATACTTTTTTTACAAAGGAAATAAAACAGTAAGCATTTTTATAACATTAAATTAACGTATTATAATTTTGATTTCCGCATATCAATTGTAATATAGTCACAAAAAGTTCAATTAGCACTTTAAGGTGCTAATTGAACTTTTTGTGGCTATTAGAATGCTTTTACCCGACTTTATTAATGCTATTATACAAAAGTTGTAGTGCTATTGCACAGCTTTTATAAAGCTTAAAGTCGCACAAAGGGGGGGCCCAAATTTTACTTATAAGAGTCGTTTAAAAGAAATACGGTTGATATACGATTTTATTATAATGCTTAACACTTGGACTAGTGCTATTATAAGTTTGATATAATGGTGTTTTGTGCTACTTGGGTATCCGCAATCGATTGTGAAAAGTTAAAATATTCGTATATCTATTATAATATATAATATAATATATTTATTGTCCAAAACATTTACATTTTCAGTACATAGGTTGAGACCTCCTTTTAAGTGCCAAAGCAGGCGCTTGTTCCAGGAGATCTCGCTCCTCCTTATCAGAAAGTATTAACAAAAGACTTAAAATATGAAATAGTTACAACTTTTTAATTTTAATTAGTAAGTGTATAGTTTTCTCTCTATGTGCGTGCGTGTGTGTGTGTTCGTGTGTGTGTGTATGTGTATGTGTGTGTGTGTGTGTGTGTGTTTCTTTGTTTAATAAATTGTGTATAAGTTTATAATGAGGTAATCATTTTATATAAAATAAAATATATATTACGTGATAGTCTGTAACAAAAATTCAAATTCGTCGTAATCAAGCGTTACGAGCCAGTTTTTTATGATTACTTTACAGTCATGTTTATTCATCGGATAAATGGTAAGTTTATTGTTTATTTTATTGTAAAGGGTAATCGCTCTACGTTGAAATTGAGATTTAGCAAAAGCTGTCCTGGTTTTAGGAATTTGAGCAACATTTCCTTGTCTTCTCTTTGTCCGAATATTCGGGTCATATTCTAGAGCCATGTGCATTCTCAAAATTGTATGATAGATATACAATTTTCTAACAGTTAATAGGTTACCTATTTGGTATAATTGCGTAGTAGGAAATCTGAAATTTTTATAGTACATAACCTTAAGCAGCGATCTCTGAGCCCTTTCCACTTCTAATAGTTTAGTTTTAGCACTACCTCCCCATACAGGGATACAGTAACCCAATACAGATTGTACAAGAGCCAGGTAAATTTTGTTGAGAAGAAGTTTGTCTCCAACATATCTTAGTTTTTTAAAAATCCATATTAGTTTTCTTACTCTGGCTGTTACCAGATCCAGATGTACGTTCCAGTTTAAATGTTGGTCTAACATTATTCCCAAGTATTTATGAGAAGTCACCCTTTCAATTATGTCGCAGTTACAGGTGTCATTGTTTAGGTCACCACACTTTGTATTTTGATTTTAAGTCTGCTTTCTGGTTGCGTATTGTCCGTCATAGTAAAACAGATGTAATTTGTTTTAGTCGCATTTAATGTTAGTAGGTTCCAGTCCAACCAATTGGCTATTTGGGAGAGCCCCATTTTTGTCTTAGAGTACACATCAATCCATGACGTCCCAGTGAAGATTACAGCTGTATCATCAGCATAAGAAAAAAAGTGAGCATCTTGTAAATTTAATTTATATAAGTCGTTTATGTAAACGAGGAATAAGGTAGGTCCAAGTACATTACCTTGCGGAACACCGTATGTAATTAGTGTGTCTTCACTAAGATATTTTCCAACCTTTACTCTTTGAGTACGGTTACTCAAATAATCCCTAAAAAAGTTTAATGATGTATTCCTTACACCAATTTGTTCTAACCTATGTAAAAGGATGGAGACAGAAACTGTATCAAAAGCTTTCTTGAGATCAATAAAAGCTCCTAGACATTTTCGTCCTTTATCAAGATTATTTGTAATCAAAGTTGTTAAAGCTATAACAGCATCCTCAGTTGATTTATCTTTTCGAAATCCATATTGTGCATCTGATAGTAGGTTAAATTTGTTAATGTAATTGACCAATCTAATATTTATCAGTTTTTCGACTATTTTGGAAATTGCAGGCAATACTGAAATTGGTCTGTAGTTATCAATATCAGTCCCGTCTCCACTCTTATACACAGGTGTCACGATTGATCTTTTAAGGAAGAGAGGAAAGACACCATGTTTAAAACACAGATTAACCAGATGACTAATTAAAGGTACTACTAATATGTTGGCTAGTTTTAAGAATTTAGTAGAGATATTATCCCACCCAGGCGCACTTGTTGACTTGAGACTCATTAGAACTCTGTTTACTTCATCAGAGTCAGTGTCTAATAGAACAAACGATGTTAACTTTCGTGAACTATTTATAGCTTGATATACATTATTATGATTGACACTGGATACTCTTTGTATAATATCACTAGCAAGATTTTTACCAACATTTGCGAAAAAAATATTAGCACTATTTACTGCATGTATGGGAGACACATGAGCCTGTATTAGTTCCAAACTATTTGAGTTCCTATGCTTTTGATTGGTTATAGATTTTATGTTGTTCCATAGATTCTTCGAATTTTTCATAGAATCTCTCAGCAGATTTTTTTCATAATTGCGTTTTAGTTTTTTTAATATCTTGTTGCAGTAGTTTCTGTACCTATCTATTATATAATACATTTACATACTTTTCAACTGGTTCACATTGATTTCTTACATTTTCACGAGCACTATTTATAAATGAAATAACTTTTAAACAGTAAAAAAAAAAGGAAAATACAAACGCGATGAAACCAGCCCCGAAACTACTGCATCGATTTTCAAAATTCTTTCAGCTCTGTGAAACTAAATCATATGCGGGTGGCATAAGCTATACCAACTAGTATGAAATAAAACGTAGAGGTCTAATACAGATTTCAAACGCTGATATGTTAGTCAATTATTGAAACCTTTTATTTAAACTTTATTACATATAATGATGCGATAAAAACATATTTCATACTAGCTTTCCGCCAGCGGTCTTGCCTCCATGGAAATCGAAAAATGGGAATCACTTGAATTGCTCTGCATATAGACGAAAAACGTATTAATATCAGTAGTGTAGTTTAAAAATCCCAGCGTACGTATAGCGGGAAGCGAATTTATTTTTCTTAATCATGGACCAAAACTGTTGAAAACTATTTGTAGAAACCTCGCCACTCTGTATTCATTTAGTTTATATTTGGAAATTAATAAAAAACAAACGAAACACTAACTTAGGTTGCACTTTGGATTGACAAGAGCTCGGTTCTCACGAAACAATATGAACTGTTCCACAACATGTCTATAAACTGCATTTAAAGTTATTGCATAATAATAAATGGGTACGTATTATCGTACTCGTACGTATTATGTTCAAATTTACTAGAAAAAGTAACTGACTAACTTTATATTTTGTTTGTGACAGTGCTAAATTATCAGTTCAGAAGTGAACAATCACTTAGTTACATATTTGTCTATACTAATATTAGAAAGAGGAAAGCTTCGATTGTTTGTTTGTTTGCATCGAAAAGGTTTTGAAATTACTGGCCTGATTTAAAAAAAAATCATCTTCTAGAAGCTATACTCGGGTAACATAGGCTTTCATTTACGCACGCCAAATCGCTATAATATTTATAGCTATAAAAATAAAATGGAAAAGCCTTGGGGAGCATCTCAAGTGATCCGCTTATTATATACGAGGGTGGTTTGAAAAGTAAAACCCGACCAAGAAAATAAAAATAAAAACATGATTTATTTTACTACATATTCTTGTGCCTTGTCTCAATACAATGGCACTTGACATACGATTAAATAAAGAATTGAGCTGCCAAATGACGATAAATTAGTTTACATACTACCCTCAAATCTCGTTCAGGCCGAGAACTTTTCAAACCACCCTCGTACAGTACACTACGTCACTAGTTAAGCGTAATCGCAGGTCTGTGTTGTGTAAGTGGTCTACGCAGTCATTACACAGTATTTTATATGACTACAGTCGCTAATTTCTATAAAAGTTTAGCACGAAAATGTACGAGTATTGGTTTTATCTAACCGGCTGTTATCTACAAAAATAAAGTAAATAATTATAATTCTCACCATAGGTATCAGTTACAATTTATGTTGATTAAAAATTAACACATATGCATAACGTTAACGGATATACATTTTTTACCCGACTACGGCGAATCGAAAAGTAGGGTTATGATCACGTAATGATTTCGTAACGCCAATTTTAAAAAGCATAGAAAAAACAATGTTGGACATGAGTCGTAATTTAGGTTGATTTCGTGACGCTAAACGGATTTTGGAAAAAAAAATATATTTGAGCTAGGTTGAGTAGATAGATGCCCGACGAAGAAATGTATAGTAATCAATACAATCTGTATGATTTTGGAATATGTTTTCAAAAGCACAAGTCTGGATAATCCGCCGTTGCTTTCTTATATAATTATCGCCATTCAAAGGTAGAAACAAGGTATCAAATATAGGTCGATGAATTCTTGAATTCTTCTTTTTCATTTTAATTACTGGCGTTGCCCTTGTGGGTTTCGCCAGAATCCAGTTTCGCTCAGTTTATTTCATAATAGACTTTGCTTTTTGTATGATGTGTAGTGTAAGCCTTAATTATATTTTCAATATTGGGTTGCCATGTTTTACTTTGAATTCGAGTTCAGTATGGTATATTGCGCGACACGTAAGTAAAACCAAAATGGAGTTTGCCCAACATGCGTAGCATGTTTTATCTACACCTTTTATCGAGTGCGCTATACACATCCCTCTCTCGATCCTAGAAAAGTGACGGTCGATATAGTAATATATTTTCTAGATTTCGTCATGCACGTAGCACATTTTACAGACGCAACGCGTTATCATAAAAACTCAAAACTACACTTAACACTTAAAACTAACCAGCTTCGATTAAGGCATGTCTTTTAACAGCCAGTAATAATATTTTTTACACGATTACAAAATCATAAATTACCGATAGAAACTAGTCATAGACAACTTATCCAGGGAGATTAGCGAACGTTATAATACGAAAAAGAACAAGTCAGTTTACAGACTCAAATTGAATTTGAACACTTTTGTGATAAAAGTATGCAACACATTAAATCGACTACCTTATGATGTTGTCTTGTTTTGTTCCTTTGATGATAAAAATTATCAACATTATTTTAGAACCTACTTGTGGAGATTTGTAATTAGAATATGAATGTTAGCTCAGTGGTTAGAGCAGTCGCCCGGATTGCGGAAGTTCATGGGTTCGAATATCCTCTCAGTGTGCCAGGGACAAAGTGGAATTTTAGGCATTTTTCATTAAATATATTTTTCAGTATAGCATTTTAATTGCAAAGTTGATCAAATATAATAATTTACTATGAAACCTAATGTTAATATTTGTCTGTTAATAATCCTAAAAATAAATAAATAAATGACTGTTCTTGTATGGAAAAACACAATTTTGGTTCAACTTATGTGCTACTCGTTATAATATGTGGTAGTAGTTACACATTTTAAGAAAAACAGTACCTGAGTAGGCTGCCTGACCCATTGCCATTGACCCCTGAACTGAGATATGTCCGGCACTACGCATAACATAGATTCGGCGCACCGGTACATGGTCTCTGCCTCCACATCACCGAACCAGACTTGCAGCGATGGTGTGAAATTGTCCCCCGCAAGCTCTAGCATTGCTACATCACCACCACCATTCAGGTTTAATGAATGAACCAAAGGGACAGGAGTAACAGGTGATCTGCAACAAATATGTTTTATTGAATATTGACTGATTGACATGATACTACTACAGGCCTACGAACAGGCCCAGATCTACGATTATTTAAAACTGTGGAACTTAATATTGCTCCCATATTCAACTTTAAAGCAATATCAACATCATTTATTTTATATTACTTAATGGAGACAGATCTTATGAGTACATTGAATGTTGAAATTGTGGATTTAAGTAAAACTTAAAATCTTAGTTTATAGCTAAAAAAAAATTATGAAAAGGAAAATTGAAATGAGCATTATTTTCTATGTGCTTTTTGATAATATAATTTGGTTTCGAGAACAAAACAATAAGACATTATCATAACTTTATAGAGTTACAGTTCAGTTAGATTGGAAGTGTTATTAAACTATAACTATGCAAACTTGCAGTAGCTTGTGAAATGCCAAGACTAAATTGGTCAAAAATATACCTAAATTATTTACATGATGTAAAAAATATATTGTATGTCATTTTTATATTCAAATGCATGAATATATAAAAATCAAAAAAGGACCCTTCCTACTTGTTAAACATTCAGTAAATAACTAAAATGTTTTTATACTTTTAATTTTTGATACAAACACAGATTACAAATATAGAAACTTTAATTGTTGTTTTAATACAAATCATTAAAAAATATTATTAGGACATTTTTTTGTAGTTTGCTCAATTATAAATTTACAAATATTTATTGAAATAGAGTGGAATACCCCAGGTTAGATTATGTATGAAGGGGGGGGGGGGCTCTGTTATTATTTACAAGATTATAAATATTAAAATAAAACAATTAATGTACCTGACAGGGCCCATACCCTCATAGAACTGATATTCTGCTTTATCAGTGGATATTATAGTCCAACAGGCACCGTCATTGATCATTTCCTTGTTAGGCTCTTTGGGGCATGGTGTGGCTTGGAATTGTATAATTCTTTCCTGGGATAAGCAAAGGTACATCCTCTCTGTGTCCTTCATGTAAAATGCACATTTATGCAACTGTGATACTGGATCGTCAGCTTCCAATAAAGCCATTTGTTTATCCACCTACAACAATATAATACAATTAGGTATTATTAGGTATATATTTGACTGACCAAATTTGTACTTTGAATATATTCTATTCTAAAAATAAAAAAAAAAGTTAATAAGGGAAAAAAAATATTTTTTTTACTATTACTATTTTACTTGTATTATTATTTTCTCTCCCCTTAACCTTTCTTGGACTTCTACAAATATTTTGAAACCAAAATTAGCAAATTTTGCTCAGTCATTTTGAAAAGTAAAAAGGTAACATATTTATTAAATTAATACTTTGATTAGTTTGTTAAAGATAGAAGCTGTGCCCGATATTTTGAAAGGCTTTTTAAATTTAACATAGTAGGTAATTATTGATTTACTTGATAAAAGTTTTTTGTTTGAAAATCGAATTAAAATATTTTTCTATGAAGTTCAAAATCATTATCTTTTTCATATTTTAGTAATTATAAAATTTTTTATTTGTAAATTGTAATGTTAAAATCCTATCGCCAAATAAGTAATTAATAAAACAAAATAAGAATGAAATATATTTATATGAATGTTTTGAAACAAAGATATAGAGAAAAATTACTTTCAGTTCAAATTTATGTAAACTTTGTTTATTTTATGGAAAAAAATATTTAAACAATGTCTATAATGCGTTATTCTGACATTTATTAAATTTGTATGAATACAAACTACCTTTCGTATAATAAGTCTTGGAAGTGCCATCCCTGTGACAGAGCAAACTAATTTGACTGTTGAGCCATAATGGACATAGCCATCTCTCACTGCAAACTCTTCAGATTCACTCTCATTGTCATCCAGTAGATGGATGGTGAAGGCTCCCCATTGTGTAGAAGATGCATGAAAGTTACCATTCTCCACATGTAAATATCTTGTTGACACAGTCTGGGACCTCAGTCTATTAAATAAAGCTACCTTAGTTCCACTAGCAATACACAGATCAGCATTCTTCAAAGATTGTTTCTTTTTGGAGGGTTTTGATATCACTTTTATTCTTTTACTATTAAATATACCAATATCATGTCCGTTACCATAAAACATCTTGACTGACAGCATAAAATGTTTCCTTTTATCTGAATCTGATATGTACAAAGTTTTTGCAGCACAATACTGCTTGCCATTGTTCAAGTCTAACTGCTGCATGTCCTGATCAGAGTTCCCAATACCGATGAAGGCACACAACTGTGCTGCCTGCTCAGTCTCCCCTTCTCTTAACATGCGTTCACGGCGAAGCCGCCATCCATCACCAAACAAATAAATACAGGGAGGCGGACAAAAGAACCGCTTTTCATTTCCATAAGATTTTTGTGCTACTTTAGCATGTAGAATGACTACAATCATGTCGGATCGGTCGCGCAGGTACCGCTCCATAGCTTCACGTGTCAAACGGCGTTCTTCGGGACGGTAGGCCCCGGCGCCTGGTCCGGCTGCGCTGGCGTACCGCGGGAACAAGGCGCCGTGCTGCGGCGGCGGCGAGGGCGGGCCCTGCGCCATGCCGCCCGCGCCCGCGCCGTACTGATGCGGCATGCTCGCCACGACTCCAGCTCACCGATTTCCTTGTCGCATATTCGATGGCAGGTTGGGGTCACGGATCATATTTGATATCTAGAGTAAAGAATGCTTTCCTCCTATCAGGAGTGTTTATATTCTTTACATCCACAACACATAGTAAACTAAGATGTCACTTCGAAATAGATTATTGGCGTCCACTTATTTTCTTTGATATATAAATAAGTTTTCTTGGATCTTTCAAAAATTCACCCTACAGTATAGACTTGCCGATCGATAAGCTTTTCTATTATTCACAACACTATAAATTAATTACTGTGGGAACCTTAGCACACATTTCATTCAAAAACACCTGTTCGACGAGCAAATTTTCAGACAGTCTAGACAACATTCCACGGTTTAATGTTTACTATTTACACTCCATCAACGCCATTGATCTTCTGATAAAGTCTTGAATTAAATTTGTACAAATTTATTTACTAAATCCTTTTAAATCATTGTAACTTTATGTTTAAAATTATGGATAAAAATACAACAACGCCAAAAATACGAACTGTCAAAAGACGCCATAGACAAGCAAAGTGCAAGCGTGATGTCGGCTACACGCGCGCGAACTCAATCAAATGATACGCGGGGTCGGTCGGCACCGCGGGCTCGACTACTGTCAGGCGGTCATAGGATGTGGGGTTACGCATGGGGCGTGAGAAAATAAAGTGTGGGAAAGAGTGGGCGTCGCGCGTCGCGTCGTCAGTCGTGGTGAAACATTTGATATGTTGTAGTGAACCGAATACATATTTACGAATCAGTCAGTGCGTCGTAGCAGGGCGAATCTGAACATACTCATTTCAGTTTTGAAAATATCTTGCATAACAAAATAAACTACTATCGGTTTATTTATATTTTTAATTTTTAAATGCTGTCACAAAACTTTGGGGATTAGATAGATTTATAGTATACGCACCGTATTTCTTTTGTCATACATATTAGTTAAGTAAACTTGAGTAATTTTATTTTATGAACTCGCAGCCTGTCCTGGCCTTACACGGGTATTGAAGTTTTCATATGGTTTCCTTACGTTTTTAAAAATATTCATAGACTACATTCATCAGAGATAACGTGAAATTAAAGTTAAAAGATTTTATTTTTTGATTGGTCCTGTAGTTTGGAAGCCTATTCAACCTTTGTAATATTTAATAGTGTAGATAACTTTAAACTTTAAATTAATTATTATAATTAATTAAAATAGGAAGAACACTGGAAGAAACATGCCCTAAAATAAACCATACGTAATACTGCTTGCGAGTGTTTCGCGACAGTACGACAGTCTCGCCCGCTCTTGAGTTTTCAATTTAAGCGTTACAACTGTGAGAAGTCACGGTGTTTAAAATTACAATTATCAATTCAGTATATTTTGCCAGGTTTTGTGATTTTATTAAGAACTATCACGATTCCCTTTAGATAAGTATATACTTAACCCTCTTTCTTACTTAAATCACCTAGCCCGTACAGGTATTATTTCTAAAAATATTGGTCTAGTTAATTACCTTCGTAATTGATATAGAACCAGTGTTAGAGAGCACTGTGGTAATACTTGCCCTAAAATCATCTTTATATCTACCATAACAACTGATCTATATTCTATCATTTTACTATAATAATAGACTCATAAAATATTCTTCAATTTATATGGGTTTAAAAATTTCATTCTCTAAGTTCGGTTCTTTGACGCGATGGGACTCACCACAGCCGCATGTCATTTTGTTTGTCGTTGCTTTGTCTATGCAAGTGTTGTCTGTGTGCGTGCCTATTAAATAATTTTAGTGGTTTTAGTTCCATGTAGTGAAGTTGCGATGTGTGAGGAAAAAGAGACCGACGAAGTCGATTGACCGGCCGGAGATCTCGTGGGAAACGACCTTTGTTATATACGCTAATGTATATAACATTATCATAAACAAAAAATCTGTTCACTTGAATTTTATTGCACGCGATGGGAGTCACTGGACTGTGGCGATTAATAGAGCCTGCGGGGAAGCCTGTACCTGTAGAAACTTTAGAAAATAAAGTATTAGCAGTAGGTAGGGTATAACATATATTTTGTATTTTCTATGCACATTTTGTAGTTTACTTAAATATATGATTATGTCGCTTTTTTAGATATTTCTATATGGTTGCACCAGATGGTAAAAGGATACCAAGATACAAAAGGAGCTCCACTGCCAAATGCCCATTTGATGGGCTTATTTCAAAGACTCTGTAAATTATTGTATTTTAGAATCAAACCTGTATTTGTGTTTGATGGTGGGTTTCCTGAACTAAAAAGAGAGACAATAGTAAGTTTCATTTAAAGTACTATGTTTATGTACTGCAGCTAAAACTTATAATAAAAAAGGAAGATTTTATTATGTGACAGTACTAAGGTTGTCTCATTACAGCCTATAGTTACTGCTGAGCAACCCAGAAATGAAGAAGATTCTTAAATATTTAAGTCACATTTTATGAAAGTGTTAAAAGAAGTTTTTAAAAACTGTTGAGCATATGAAAACAAAACAAAAGAAGTTATTACTTAAGTAATGGTAGCAAGATAACCAATATTGATATTTCCCAATCCAAAAACAGCATATTCATATAATGTGTATTTTTAAGTAATCTCTTCAAGTTTTGGATGGTTTTTATTGTTTTTTTTTATTTGGGTTACTTGGTACTAGATTTCCTAAGGTTTTGTAGACCAGAGAAAGTTGGAAAAAAAAAATACTTTTATATCTTTAATTTTATAAATTTTCAGGATAAAAGACAACATAATAAATTAAAATACAATTCTGAATCAGAAAGACTTAAAAGAGAGCTCGCCCTCCTGTTAAGTAAAAAAACTGCTCTCAGCAGTCTTTTGGGAAAAGATTTGTCACCAAAGAAAGGAACTACATCAAATGAGACAGACAATGATGATATTTTTAAATTACCTGCATTACCAGAACGTAAAGATGAATCTGACTTAGAGTAAGTATACATTGTTGCAAAAAAATATGGGATATTATCACATAAAAAAATTATTAGTCATAGTCTATATTACCCATTAAATCATCTTTCAGATCAGATGAAGAAAGTAGTTCTGGTTCAATCATAGATTTGCATTCTGTTGATATTGAATCTGAAAATTTTAAAAACTTGCCAGTCAAAGATAAATATGATTTGCTGCTAGAGCTAAAAGAAACCAGAAAAATGAATTCATGGGGAAGAATCCATGAATTACCAAAAAAGAGTGATAACTTTTCAGATTTTCAAGTAAGTATAATATAAATTGAACATTATTGGTCTTAATACAAAATGCTTAAAAAATCCACTTGGTCCCTGGCACCCTGAGATGGGAATCGAACCCATGACCTTTGACATGGTTTGTGTGAATGCAAAATTAGTAAAAAATATAATAATATTGTTGTTTGAGAAACACTATCAATTTATTCTTTGCCAAAAGTTGCAGAGATTGCTGAAAAGAAGAAAAGTTCAAGAATGCTTGGAAGAAACTGAAAAAGAAATGGGTGATGGAGGAATGTCTATTATAGAAATAGAATCATTACTTAATGAAGAAGGCATTGATACCAAAATTGAAACTTTAGCTACTCATCGCATTGCTTCTAATAACACAACTAGGTTCTTACTCATAAATAATATGAAGCAAGCATTGACGGAAGCTAAAAAGAAAATCAATAACCCTGAAATTAATGAAGAAGCAGAAGAAACAAATAAAAAAAAACATGGAAATACTGAACTGGAAGATGACTTGGAGAAAGCCATAAAGATGTCATTAGAATGTGCCGATGATCACAATCAAAGTAATTACAACTCTAAGACTGATGATTCATGGACATCTGTATTGACAGATTCAGATTATACAGAAGAAACAGATTCAGAAGGAGATAACTTTCAGCAGTCCGATCTATCTTGTGCTAAGGCTTTTATAATGCAATACAGCGATTACACAAATAAAGCAATTAATAAAATCGTTTCATCTAAGAATACTGTTACAAATAAACCTTTACAAATTAAATTAGATGAGATATTAGAAGAAATCAATAATGAAAAATCTATCATTGCTGCTAAAATTGATTTATCATCTGATGAAGACTGTAAACCCAGTGATCAGAAACTTTTAGAAAAGGAAACTATACATGATTCCATATTAGAATCTAATGAATCTGTTCAAATAAATGATGGTGATATAAATGTAACTCAGTCTTCTGTTATTTATGTTGATAACCCAACACAAGATATTGTGTTGTTGGATAGTAGCATAGAAGAAAATTCTGAAAATAGTAATATTTGTACTGATGCACAAATTCTAAAAGAACAAAGGTCTTCTAAATCTGGTAAGTTTTTAGGAAAGTCATCGAATATTGAGAATGTTACCTGTGAAGTTGCTCAGAAAGGTATAAACTCAAGAGATCTTGACAACAATAGTAAAAATGTAGAAATCAATTTAGACACTGATTCAAATGATGACGATTTTGAAGATGTTCCTGATGTAGAAGATAAATCTCGGAAAACGATTGTGCAGCTTACTTTGGATATGAATAATAGTTGTGAGGATAAAGAAGACATATTTGCCGATATTTTTATGAAACCTGAAGTTAAACATTATCTCAAAACAGAAGATGTTTCTGGTGATGATATATCAGAGAAATACCATGAAACTTTAGATAATGACGAAACTAGATCTTCAGCCGATAGAACAGAGTATATTGAGCGTGTAAAAGAAGACAAATTTCATAAAGAAGAATTAGAAAAGCTGCAATATGTTCAGCTTTCTTCATCTAGTATGGGGCCTAGAGTGATAACAGATGATAAATTACACGAAAATATAACAACTAGTATTAAAAACTCTTCCGATGTTGGAGCTATAAAAGAAAAAGAGATAACTCCTGATGGTAATGATGTTGTGAAAACTGTTGATATTATAGAACTAAGAGAACCAGTGAAAAATACGATAACAGAAGAGAAATTAAACGAAATGGCAGAAAAAGTAGCAAACAAAGAACAAGAATTAATTCAAGAGAAAGGACGCTTGGATCGTATTGGCCGTAATATCACCGAACAAATGACAAAAGAAGCTCAAGAACTGCTGCAATTATTTGGTGTACCATACGTCGTTGCTCCCATGGAAGCGGAAGCGCAGTGTGCTTTCTTAGAATCTGCTAATTTAACTGATGGAACGATTACTGATGACAGTGATATTTGGCTGTTTGGAGGCAGGACAGTTTACAAAAACTTCTTCAATCAAAAGAAGCATGTTCTGCAGTTCCTTTCTGAAAGAATAGAAAAGTCATTTAGTAAGTTTGTGTATCTAATAGGTACATTAAATATTTGTTTTTTTTTTATCATACTTTGAAAGCGGAGCTCGATCTACGATATGTTCTTAAGAAACTTTCGCAATCGCCGGTAATGGGATGGGTGACCAAAAATTTATTATCTCGATCTCCGTGCTTCGGAAGGCACGTCGGTTCCGGCTGCTGTTAATACTTATAAATCTGTACTGGGCTCTTCCATAAGCCCCAGCATAGGGGAAATGAATAGACTGGTGATGATGATAACTTTGAATTATAATAACTTTGTACACACGGCTGCATGTCAGGTTTTTACCATAATAACAACTTGACGTGGTGAATTGTTACCACAATGTGTAAAATTTTTGTAATTGATTTTGACTTCTATCCTTAATTTATTAAGGTTTAAAATTAAATGGGGGAACTTAACAGTTTTGTATAGTCTGACGTGCAGTTGACTGTACCATATAATACTTTTAAAATATTCTTGAGAATTCATAAAAATAGAATTAAACTACAAATTACATTAAATACAGGGAATTCCATTAAATTCCCTCAGAAATATTGAGTTGGGAACCTCCTTGTTTATTGAAGTTGTTTAAAAAATTTCTAAATTGTGTATTTTTAAAACTTACTCATTTTTTCAGACCTAACCAGGGAACAACTGGTTTTATTAGCGTTGCTAGTCGGAAGTGACTACACAACTGGACTGGACGGTATCGGACCTGTAACTGCTATGGAGATACTAGCATCATTCCCTTACAATAAAAAGCAGTTTTTAAATGAAACGTCTAAACAAGGAAAATATCAGCAGATAGTCACTGGACTACAAGAGTTCAAGAAATGGGTCAAAGCTGGAAAACGAACTGATAATATTAATTTAAAAAAGAAGTTGCGAAATGTATCTTTGACTGAAGATTTTCCTAGTATCAGGGTAAGTTGAGTTCTGTAATCTGTATGTAATGTAAAATGCTATTAAAATGCGAAATCAATAGAGAAGTTTGTGTTATGTTTGTCTCTTTATAAATTCAAAACAAATAAGCTTAAATGTTCCCTCTGACACGCCCGACTTTTGACACATTAGTTCACTCTTTAGCTAACATTCAGTTTCCAGTAGAGCGATTTTTCCGAACCCGAATTTCAATTCCCTTCAAAAGCGAATCCAAGAAAATGTATTCCATTGTATAAAAATTCGTATTATTTTCGTTGGGATTACGGAATCGCTTGCTGAAGACAACTGTGGAGATTTAATGAACGGCTATTTGGATGGATGGCACGCGACTGAAAGATCATTGGTAGATCAATATTGTCTAAGTAGAAAAGCTGCCGTCTGTACGCATACTATACAGTTCTCATAAGTAGACTACAGCATGCAGCAGGGTACTGCAATGTCTGCAAATAATATATAGATTTAAGACTGCTCATGAATTCAGCATTCTGAATGATTTAGACAGTGTCTTATATTTTTGTCATCTCAAATGTCTACTGGCAGCTCAACATAGTAGAATTATGTCAATTTTTAAACAGATTTATGACATTTGATTTTTAATTGAACAAAAGACTATTCAACCACAGATATCTACAATTTAAACAACAATCCTCAGAGAATTTAAACACTCAACGTTCTGCTAAGGAACGTATTAAGTAAAGAATTCTGACGATTAATGTATTTTCGCTGTCGGTCTCCTGACGTCTTGATAACACTTTTATGGGTCATTCACATTGACCAATGTAAATGAGCCGTTAATTTTATATCTGTATAGTTCCTACCTTAAAAATGGATGTCCAAAGCAACCTTAGTTTTGTTTTCTATCACCTCGTTTAAGACAAACCCGCTCGAGTTTCGTACGGGTATTAGTTTTCATACGGATCAATAATGTTTTTGAAAATATCCTATCGCCTAAGTTCATCTTCATCAGGCATAAAGTGGGATTCTAATGTTAATAGATTATATTAGTTACTTATATCCAGTAGTTTCTGAGCCTATTCAATCTTTGAAAATGTGAAAATCTTTTTAAAGTTCATCATATGCAGGATTTTTTTATAAAAAGCAAGGAATTAAAAACTTTATAGAAGATTAAATAGGTTTGGATAACTGTTACCATCTTGACATTTTTTTTCTATTATTTCAGGTAGTCCAGGCCTACATGGAACCCAATGTAGAAAAGAGCGAAGATAAGTTTACTTGGGGCGATATAGACATAACAATATTACGCGATTATACCAAAGCTAAGTTTGGGTGGTCCCAAAACAAGTTGGACGAAATAATTAACCCTGTTATAAAAAGGATAAAGGAACGAAAGAGTCAAAAAACTGTGCAAGATTATTTTAAAAGAAGAGTGGAATTTCAATCCCTCGAGGACCAAATGAGTAAAAGAGTGAAGGCAGCAGTGCAAAAGATGGGACCAGAAACTGTTTCGAATGAAGAAAATCTCCTTGAAAGCAAAGAACCAATACCCTCTAAAAAAAGGAAACCTAACTCTAAAAAATCTGCAAAAAAATCCTCAGCACTTCCGGGACCTTCGAAATTTAAAGAAGAAATCAATATATCGAATGTTGTATCTTCCATAATCGCTAGTAAAACTGATACAGATATAATCATTCCTAAAACGCAGAGATTCCAAGAGATAATACCACAGAGAGAAAAGGACAAACAATGCATTCTGCAAAATAAAATGAAGGCCATTGAATTATTTAGAAAAACGAAAATTGATAGGAAGAAAAGACCTACTAAACGAAAAGTAGTTTTACCTAAAGAAAAGGCTGAATTGTCAGAGAGTAGTGATAGTAATTAAAAAAGAAACATTAAATCTTTTAAACAATATTGAAAGTTAGCCAAGCATCTCTGAGGTCCTGGTCCCAGTCGGGTCAATGTAAAAAATTAACTTTTGTCTCTGGTCTGGGTGTTGTAGTACTTCTCAGATACTCAATAATACGGGAACTTAACCTTCATCTTGAAATCTGATTTTGTCGAATATTAGAATAAAATATATAGACCTCTTCAGAAAAGTATAACAACTTCTATATATTTATATAAAGTTACATCATAATTTTAAAATATTTATTGTTATTTATGTTGTTTTTATTAAAAAAATAACAGTTTCATACTATAAAAAGTAAATTTATTGTTTACATTCAACTGAATTAAGCATAAGTAGGTGTAAATAACACAGAAGATGACGAAAACAATTTGCACTTCATAAAATATAGTAGAACAATAAAATAAATGAACAAGTTACTTTGTAAATATGTGTTATGTATGTTGCAATAAAATTTAAATCTATTACCCTCAAAGGTTTTACCGTGACATCAATATTTCAGTTTTACCTAATACAATAATCGATTGTCGAAGATATCTCAGACATAATTAATTTTATGAGACTTACTGCAACCAATTGAATTTCTGCCAACGATTTTAAACTTAATTGTAAATATATCAAGGTTTGAAACCGTTGAAAAATTTTACAGTCTTGAATAAGTTTACAAATTCAATATACAATTTTTTGGATCGATATCTGTAGACTAGTTTATGAAGTAATATTTACCATAAAAGGTTACATCGAAAATCTAACATAAAGACTCATTCAGTAGAGTTTATTTATAACACCTTTCAAAGGAACAACCATTGGTTGTGCTTTCGATATAGAGATATTTCGTACCGTCCAAATTCTTAAGTTAATTCAATTAAAGAAAAACCTATACAAATAAAATGTATTCTCTAAAATATTAAGTTTTTTATTATTAATTTAAATAACTATAATATGATAACAGGATACTTTTTTTAAAAAACAAATGATATACTAGGTAGATTAAAATCATTTTAATCACAAAAAATAAGTGTTACAAAAATAATGGTCTGCGCAAGTCTAAACTTATCATTGTCCATCTTATTATAAAATGAGGATTAAAGTTCTTATCATTTAGTGGACAATTATAATAGTTTGGTTTAAAGCATTCAATTCGATTTCTTCCTTATGGCTCTTCTATGATTTACCTTTGACAATGACAGAAGAGAAAACGTTACATTGAGACGTTTTTACTTATTTTGGTCGGACAATGGTTTAAACCTGTTACTATAGATCATCGTTTTATAATAAGACAAGCATTTTGACGGCATAACGTTTTAGGTATACTAGCAACTTTTTGTCACGGTGCTTGAGAATCCTTGGCCGTGGCGGTAATTAGGTGAATTAGAAGCCATACTGCCATAATATGATGATAGTAAAAAAAAAAAGAAAACACCAGTAAGCACGTACTATAATAATATTTCAGTTTGGACTTCCATGAATGGAAACTTGCTTCTCTCTTTCATTCCACTACCTATCTGATACACGTTTTTATAGACACGAAAACAATTCAATTATACAGTCTATTTCAAACTCTATCTTTAAATATGTCAAATTTTACAGTCTATTTCAAACTCTTATCTTTAAATTGTTAAAGTTTGAAATTGAGTGGAGCAATTTGAAAAATTATTTTAGCACGCCGTGCAGTTGACTGTACAAGCAAATTTATTTTAACCCTGTCAAATTAGCATTTTACCACGGAATTAGATAATAAGGTGGAAACTATAAAGTTTCATTTTGGCATACAAAAAGTTACATTAAAGTCACGGTCAGTGGCACAAACGTCCATTAAATTTATCATTAGTTTAAAGCGACATTACCGGATCAAATGTGACATTCATTAGAGCTTAAAGGCATCATTAAAACTTAGTGGACGTTTGTGCAACTGACCGTCAACCGCTTAAATGTGAATGCACGTGTGTATGATCTAAACACCACCAATGTTAATGGTAACTCGTGCTTTGTTTAATGTATTTACGATGACAGTTTCCAAAAATTGCCCAAACTTTCCATTGGTCTGTGTTGTCAGTTATTCAAGGTCAAATGCCACTTAGAAATAATTGTGTTTCAATAAGTACTATTGTTGTTATTAGTACTGTTTATTATTCTCGCATATAAATCAAAGTTTAAACACCTAATCGTTCTTAAAAACTTATTTACAATACAACTAACAACTAATAAAATTAATAATTAAAAAATACGAAAAAGCAAACGGGAGAACTGATAATGACTAACAATTTATTTTGGATATAAATAAGTTTTATACAATTAAAAATCACATCGCATACAGCAGTCTCACAGGTCTACCCGGAGTATCGAACTGCTCCACGGATAGAATCCGAGTTCCATATGATCATCATACAGATTACCGATGGAACGATTAAGCAAAACTTAACACCGCTGCACCAACGAGCTCACATTCAACACTACACTAATCCACTTTGACAACACTATAGATCTTCCTGACGAACCAGAAGCAGGCCATGAATCCTATGGTGCCTGTGAGTAAGAAGAACAGGAACACCATGATGAGGGTGTAGCCAAAATAGAGGAAGGTAGAAGCAGCATCTTCAATGTTCAGTTTAGTAACGAAGTAGTGGCAGCAATATATGAACAGGTATCCTGCAGTAGAACCAGCGCTGAGGAAGGCTCGCCACCACCAGTGGTAATCTTCAGCGCACAGATGGAAGTAGCAGAGCAGGATGGTTGTCTCCGAGCACGTGATTACTAAGATCACGAACACGAGGAACAGGAAACCGAACATGTAGTACATCTGAAATATAAGAATGTAGCCCGTTAATTATTTAAAACCAGATCAACATTTTTTTTTTGGGAATATTTTAAGTTATGATTTTGCAAGCATTAATATTTAAAAATGTTGCAAAATTGTTCTGATGTATGAAAATAATGTCACGTAACAAATGTTTAATTTAGTTTTTACATGACATACCCTAAAATTATTGCAATAAGAATTATTATTTTTTGAAGCGTTTTTTACATTATAAACATTGTTTCTTGCGTAAAAAGCAATATTTCATTATTGAAACAAATTTATTTACTAAAAATTTTCAATCCTGTAATACTGGGATTAAAAAATGGTCAATCCCACAAAAGTGAGATAGAAAATAGATTGAAGGATTAGAAGTCCTAGTTATATATTAAAAATGGCGAAGTTACCTGGCTAGACCATAAAGAGTTTAGGATGAAGAATAGCTGTATGAAGATGCATCCGAATGGCAACACTCCGCCCATCACGATTCCAGGGATGGGCTGTGTGTACAACGACTGCTCGGGAATCTGACGCGGGATCTGGTTCGTTCTCACCGGATGGTCGAGAATCTATAGCGAGATCATAATACATACATATTATAATTACTTATAACTGAATAGGGTAACCGGGGTAGAGATTTCGTATGGCACCCTTCCACTACACCAGATTTGAGGAGCCCGTTCTTATTAACTGTTAGGTTAGGTTGCCTTGGGCAAGTGCCTCCACTTGCCCCTCCCCTCACACCTAAATCCGGGCCTACTTTTGAGTGTTTATTTTCAATTAAATTACATTCCCTCTAACGGTTTGGCTCGCGTGATCTTTGAAGTTTTGGATACTTAAGCCTTAAAATTATAACGACCATGTAATAAAGGTAGATTGAGAGAAGATCATGACCCATTGCATGCCCATAAACAATGATGACCATGCAATGAGAATGTGACATGGTGATAGCCATTTCACCTTTGGAATTAAACGAAGCAAAGTCCTTTGAGTTTAGTCTCTTTTGATTTGTTTTGATAAGGACTAGTCTCGAGATAATATCTATTGATTCCTACCCTAAAAGGTGTAAAACAGGACCTTATAACACACGCTGCCCGTTCGTCTGAGACCAGGCTATAACTCATGAACTGTGATAGACAGTTCAGATTTTTAAACTAGACCTTTGCATACAAAAAGTCGATTCAATAAATTATGAAATAAACTGAGCGAAACACTGGATTCCGGCGAAATCCACAAGGCCAGTAATTAAAAAAAGAAGAAGAAGAAGAATTAGGCCTCGAAAGTGTCTAGTGTATACTCGTATGTACTCACCCTCTTTCTAAATCCGAAGTAAGCACCGATGAAGGTGAGCGGCACGGACACCCCGAACCAGAGCGCGAGCAGCGCCACCAGCGTGGAGAACGGCACCGCCGCCGACGACCCCTTGCCCCACAGCACCAAGTTCATCACGAAGAACAGGGAGAACACCACGCTGGAATATCGATATAGTATTTCAGATTGGGGAGCATTAACGACTACAAATGCAGCCAGAATCAACGGCTTAACGTGCCGAAGCAGTGGCAGTAGAAGTATGTTGCTCTTCCACCGTCGACCTGCGAAGCTCTTGTAGAAGTTTGATTTTGACTTACCCCAGGCACACCATAGAAGTGAAGAGTATGTTGCTCTTCCACCGTCGACTTCCAAAGCTCTTGTAAATCTTAATAAGTTTGTTTGATTTTGAAGCTCTTGTAGATCCTATTAAGTTTGATTTTGACTTACCCCGGGCACACCATAGAAGTGAGGAGTATGTTGCTCTTCCACCGTCGCCCGCCGAAGCTCTTGTAGATCCTAGCGCTGACGTATCCAGCGGCCGCGCCCAGCAGCACCCACGCTACCAGCGCGCACGTCATCAGCGCGCCGCGGTTAGCGGGCGACAGGAAACCGAGGCAAGCGAACGCGAGCGTCACCAACGTCATGCCGAACACCTGACATGAGATGGGACGTATAATTAATACTGCGTGTTAGTAAGGCTCTTTACTCATGGCACGATACGATGCAATATAGGTGTAAACAGTAAACGAAAATAAATACATGTTATTATTTTTCTGGTAGTGTTTGATGTACTATTACCGATAATCACATTTTAATGCTTATTATATTTATAAACAAATATTTTATGCTCGTTGTCACGTGACCGCAATAACTCTTACTCATATCAGAACTTGGAGAGTTCAACCTCATGCATTGCATACATAGAACGATATTCATTTCAGCGTGCCGTGACGTCAATGCGGCGCTATGATAGAATTGGTGTCTGCGCGGGATATTTTTAAAATTAATGATATTCTTTTTATTATATTAATGATATTCTTTTAGATATATTTCATGTATATCTATAAAATTAAAAAATTGTTTACACCCCTATTCGATAGGTATCGCAAGAATGTTTTTATAAGACTATGGGCGACCATGTATCGAATAACGAAACCAAATAGTATAGGACCGGACAGGGCAAGAGAAGGAAGGACAGCAGAAGAGAAAAGTACGAGCGAGCCCACACTGTAACGCGAATATCATATGAAAATATATTTAATTCCAAAACTGGTTGGATATACAGCCCTGCGATTCTGTAACAATCCAGACTCGAATTCGAATTCACTCATGTGTCCGAATTCTCGTCATTTAGTATAGAAATCATATTGATTCCAATTTTTGTATAAAAATACTAAACAAAATTGATTGATTAAACGTGTCATAGATATTTTAATCCTATATCATTTCAAAACTCACTTCACTTATTTCACGAAACATTATTACCCATTTCAAGTTTGAGCGGATGCCGCTTTTTGAAATGAATTCGGACACCCAAGTGATTTCGAAATCGGGTTTGAAGTTTTACAGAATCGCAGGGCAGATCTCAAACAAATCGGTCGAATTGCATCGCGACCTAAATTGATACAAATGACTCGATATCGAACGAATTGCGTCGAGCCATGAGTATAGAGCCTAAGGCTCTAGCAGGATGATTTTGTAAAAACCTTAACCCCAATTGGAATTCACTCGTGTCCAAATTCACGTTATTTAGTGAAGAAATTCTATTGTTTTTATAAAAATACCAAACAAAATTGATTGATTATGCGTATCTCAGATATTCTATTTCCTTGTCATTTCGAAACTCACTTCACTTATGCCACGAGACGTTATAACAAGATTGAGCGGATGCTGCTTTTTGAAGTGAATTCGCACCTGAGTGAATTTGAATTCGGGTTTGGATTTTTACGGAACGCAGGGCTGTAGAGAAATTGTAATGTCGTATTCGATATTGTGTTTAACCTGATAATATCGGAAATTAATTATAAACACGTTGAATTTACATTTTTACAATAAGGTCCCAAGCAAAATGCAACAAATAGATATCACTCAGTTTAAATCTACTATTAAAAATACTTATTAAAAAAAGCGCATTATAAGGTATCTGATTATACCGGATGCATATAAAATGACTCTCCAAATTGTATGTAAAATTTTCAAAATGAAATGTAAACTTGTAATTACAAGATAATTATAACATTCGCATTGTCACATTAGTTATGAACGAAACAAGCAGGGGTAGCAAAGGCGCAGGCGCAGGGGATGTACGTGCATGCGTTGACGATGATGTCTGCTCGGTTTTTTATTTTGTCGGCAACATCAGTCGCCCGCGCACAACCCCTTTGAATGCACGCGTTTCCGCCTTTGCTTCCGTGTTGCGCGCCGCCCGCCGCAGCCCCACACTTCGCGTGTCGTTATGTATACCAATCGCGAGTATTATGAAATGGTGCGGTGTTACATACATGGTGATCGATGGATTGGACGCGGAGGCCCCATCGTGTGGCCTGCCGGACCTAACACCGTGTGACTTTTATTTGTGGGTCGAAATTAAAAGACGTGTGTATGTTGAGGAAGCACAAAGCCTCGAGGACTTAAAAGTGCAAATCAGAGCGGCATTTTACCAAGTGAAAAATGACACTGTAGTGCTCGTAAAATTAAAAGACAATGTGCAGAAAAGGTACAAGACTGTTTGGAGAGAAACGGTATGCACTTTGAACAATTATTACAGTATACGTAGGTAAATAAAAGTAGGTAAGGTAAATTGATTAGTTGATTATGTACATAACGTTGGTGATTTTTTAAATACGCCTAATTGCAAAAGAATAGCTAGTTAGGTACCTACTTTGAATTGGTTTAATTAAACAAAATTTGAGGTAACTCGATATTTACTTACCTACTTACTTTATAAATTTAAAGCAGTAGGTATAGCTATTGTAATAGTAGGTATCTAATAGGATTTTTGCAATTTGACGGTCCTAAGCCCGTAAAAGTATGAAGAGATTTCAACTTTATGTACCATTTCCCCAAGCATGACAAAACGAAAACATTTTAGGTAGCTGCTACTAGCACACCAACTACGGTCAACGCAGGCATACTTGTATAACTATCAATGAATTGCGGGAAGGGAGGGAGGGGTAAGTGTAACATAGCGCGTAAAGCGCACGTACTGGGCAGCGAGAGCGTCCACAAATGTAGGTTTTTTAAAAATAACTTGGTGACGATATAACTCAACATTTTTGTTCTAAACGACATATAAGGAAAAAAACCGTATTTAATTATTTGTCGTAAAGATTAAAATACTCAAATTTAGAGAGTGGTTTTAAATGCTTCCTGTATAACAAAAACAATGCTTGGACTTATATGTTAAAGCGACATGGAATGTCGTTTTTTCTATGAGAACTGGTGAGTTTCTTGCTCATTTTTTGTAAAAAAAAAAAAAAATAGGACGATTAAAAAGTACTTAAAGTTCATATTTCAATAAAGATATTTTTCATTAAGAATATTTTTCAGAACTTGTAGAATTGTGAAAAAGAAATTGATCAAATATAATAGACATTTTGACCTTGACGTTACAATCTAAGGCACTTTATAAGTTTTCTCGTAATCTAGATAAATAGATATAAAAATATTTTCTGATTACAGATATCATAGCATACTACGATTATTTTACTTATTTATAATTAATATAGGTATGACGACCGAGTGATTCAAACGCCGGTTTCGAGGTTCCGTTATCTGTGAGGTCTCGGGTTCGATTCGGGGTTAACGTTAAAAAAATGAACATTTTTATATAGTATAGGGTCTGAATGTTGTGTTAGCTTGGTAGAATCAGATATTACATAATGTATGTAATGTATACTTTTTTTATATAATAGCTTTCTGACAAGGGCTTCGACGGTTTATTTTATATATCGATTCATACATGATATGAGTCGGAAATAATTATGATAATAAATTGAATAGTAAACTGTGGTAACGTTATTATTCCCTATGCAACTTCACAGCCGTTTTCATCTCTTTATTTGCTGTTTTTCAGGATAAATATAGCCTATGTTTACCGCATATGATGTAGTTTTCCGTAGGTGAAATAATTTTTAAAATCGGTCCAATAGTTTCGTTGCAAACAAACAAACAATCAAATCATCCATTTTTATAATATTAGTAAAGAAGTATAGATGTATATCGTAGAAATAAAAAAAAAACAGGTTTACTAAGAAAATTCCGCTGGGAAATAAAATAGTTTAATATTTTTCTTTTAGTTAAACCCAATCATTAAGAGTTTGGGAAATGTCTTTATCTGTCCTACAAAAAGTCACGTTTATCATTTATCTGAGTCATACGTTATTATATTACCCATTACGTCCGATAACTTATGTCGGAAGAGAGGAAGCTATTAGAACGATAAGAGTTATCATATTACTTGTAAAGGATTAAAATTTAATGAAAAGTTATAATAACATCCACATAAAAGAAAAAAGGCACTGAAAAAAAAATTGTTTTTAGAACCTTTTAGATCTTTTTTCTGTTATAAATATTATTATCAGTATCATGTGCTCTTTTGTCTCAGTGGTATTAATTTGTTTAGTACGCTTTAAAACAATTGTGCGTTTACACCTGTGTAAATTAACGTAACAAAACATTATCTATACACTATCATAGATTGATCATAAAAAAAAAATCATCAGCTTCTGTATTCCTCCTTACAATATAGGGAAACATCATTCAATGATACATAAATAATAAAAAGTAGTTTGATTTAGACTTTTTAAGAAACCGGTTAACATAATTAAAAAAAAAAAGTTTCATTGTATCAACTGAAAATATCACAAACGTAATAAAAGCTACAATATTTTAGTTCAAATTGCTGTCCCACTCACTTTTTTCTTTTTGAAAGTACATTAACATTGTGCCCTTACATTTCCTCAAAAGAAAGAAACAGTTGCTATCAGAAAAAAAATCCAGAGCTTCGAAAACATAACCTGTCAAATAACAAAGTTTATTTTCACAGACAGAAAATTTGGAATTTTTTAAAATGTTTTATTAATCTATAATAGTGTATTCACTTTTTAACTATCGCGCTACCTTATTACATACTTATAAACCCGTTATTATAAGTCTGTCATAATAGTGTAGTTCTAAATTACCTGTGAGCCTGATCCTAAGAAAACAGCAAGCAGCATGCCGCGACGTGGTGGTCTAAAAACGTCACCATGGACCAATTTCCATCCAAATTCCTCCTGCAAACAAAGACCAGTATATTAAAAACATTATCTGCAAATACAAAAATTGTAACATACAAAACCACGCTAATTAAGTGAGACAAATAGAATTGTCACTGCTTGTGGGTGCATGAAAACTATTTTTCTATATTGCGATTGATTTGCAAAATAATAAGCTAATGAGTGGTAATTTTAGTCAAATATTCAAGTTACTATTTCGTTGTGAAAAAAAAAATCAAAGCTGTAGTTTTTTAAACATTAAATTCATTTCAAAGGCACTTACGGGTACAAAGGTACATAGAGGGTAGAAATCTTTCAGATGCCTACTCTATTCTCACCTGAGCATCCTCCCCGCACTCCATCTGATTGTATCTCGCTATATCTTTGTGTAGAGTCCTTAACAAAATCATTGCTACCATTCCACTGAGGAACAAAACAATCACCAAAGAGTTCAATATGGAAAACCATTGAATATTTGTCTGTGGCATTGATTCTAATATATAGTCCCAGCGGGAAGACCATTTGATGGTGTTGTTCTTGATGAATGTGACACTGTATGTGTAGGATATACTGAATGTTTCCTCTCCATTGAAATACAGGGGTATTTTAAGTGGAACATGACGGGCGCTGCAGTCAGGCTTGCTCATTTTCTGGTGGTCAATACTGGCAGGTTTAACCTAAAATTAATTTATATTTTCAGGTTTATGTAACACTGCTTCAACAATACATGAAAAATACAAACAAAGATTCTTTATCCATTATGGACTTCAATGATAATGAATATTATTATAATTAAAAGTGATTTCGTTGTCCAATGAAGTTATTTATCAATTGAACTTGACATTGCAATTGCATAAATAGGAAAGAAGTTGGGTTTCTTGCCAGTACTAATCAATAGGGATGCTGACTGGAAAAAAAATGCAATTCTATTTAGTCTGTCAGTCAGATAATAGAAAAATATTATATATGTATTTTTTTACTTCAATTTAACAAGAAATAGCTCAGATAACAGGCATTAAAGTTGAGGAGTGGGGGCTCGCTACGTCACGGTTTAGTAGAAAACCTACCATAATGTGACGTCATGCGAAATTTCAACTCCATGTAATGCCGTAATTTTATGATTACGAAAAAAAAAAAAAAAAATGTGTTTAATATTTTTTAACACTTTACCTGACGGACAAACAAACAAAAATTAGTTGTCATTCCTATTAACAAACTGATAGTGTATGCATTTTCAAGTTATGGAAAAATGTCTTTTAAGATTTCACATTAACAAAGTATTGAGCTTACCTTAGCTGATATGATGCGTCCACCGTTGTCTCCAAAGCCCACTCCCCACTCTTCTTCACCTCCACTATGATATGTGATCTCCAGGTCAACATGGTTGAAGAGGAAGTAGGAGCCAATTTGATCAGGGGTAACACTTACTATAGGTGTACATGTATCCTGGATAGAAAAAATGCACAAGCTTCTATTATAAGTTTAAAATTTGCAACAAAAGAAAAATAAGAGACATATTAGCATATTCCGGTTACTGCAAAATATTAAATTGAGCTTTATTTACACTAAATTGAGTATTCCCAGCAAATTTAATTAGTATAAGGAAATGTACCATAATTAATTATAGTAATGTTAATGTGTCTGATAAGTGTTGTCAGGCAATAGCTATGCTTAATACATAAATAATATCATAACAATTTCACATGCTGGTTAGATTCTTATAAGAAAATGTTGATGATAAACAACATTTATAATTGTAATTGAAAAAAGTATATTCATAATTTAAAATTATAAAACTAAAAGGGTTTATGAGCAAATGAGCATAAAAAATTCAACAATTGATTAGTCATATACTATATGGCTAATGTTTTATGAATAACTGTTTTGTTGTTAGCAAGTATTTTTATCTAGATACTGATAACTCTAACATAAGAGATAATAATCAAGTTACTTGCTATTCTATTCAGCAACTTATACATATTGTAATGACAAGGAAGATTAATTCATTATCAAACATATTTTACATTTAGTTAAAAGTATAATACAGAAAACTTACCATATCTCGTCGCACCTGACATCCCATTGGAAAGCCAGTGCTACAGTATGTCTTCCCACCTTCGTTTACCAAGTAACACCATGTTACTGGCATATTATCAAGGATCCAATGATGCTGGTAATATAATGCCATACCCATTTTCAGCAAGTTCAACTTCTTCACATCCTCAGGATTTGAAGCTTTATATTCTTTCTTACATACAACATTACATTCTACATTTTTTAGAAATTCTAGTTTGTACCGACTAGGTCTGATTCGTTCGCCAAATACCACTTGTCCGAGATTTTCAACTGGAGATTGTGTCTCATCAGAGAGACAGAAATCAAAATGATGATACTCAAATGGTATGACTGATTCCTCCGTATTTAGTCTATTTACATACAGAGGTATCTCATTCTGAAAAAAGATTGAAGTATAAATTTGTTACAAATTTTTAAAGGTTGAAGAGCAAGAAAAATTAAGCCATTTGTTAAGCATTATATTCACCTCTTATACCAACTCAAAGTTTATTAAATAAATGAATAACAAATATTAGTTATAATTTGATTAAAGAATGAGAATATGGATATTTGTTTAACCAGTATTAGATACAAACAAATAGGACCAACATAATTATGTTTAAATATAGCATAAAAAATATTTACACACAATAGACATTGACCAATAGTGTAAATTACCTCTGACTACTCCACAAGGCTATAAAAATATTATAACCCATGGTAACAATACAAAGTGACAGGAAATAACAGCATACAATTATTGTTTAAATAATGATTTTGATTATGGTGAAGCATAGCAACAAAAAGAAATACATAGAAGTAACTAATAAAAAATAATGAGTAATAAACACAAAACAGATATCCTTATCGATAATAGCCTTACATACTAATCGAAAAATATGGTGGGTATGCATGAAGAGATCTAATGATACAGTTTATAAACACTGCGTACCTTGCATGATTTCCCATTGTCTTCTCCAGCTTTGCAATAGTTTACTGGAGCCAAGCCCGGCAAATAAAATGCTGTAATAGGTGTCAATAGAAATAATGCGCAAACTGCAAACGTGAGCGACATGACGTGAAGTTTCGGTGTTCTCGTCAAGTGATTACCGGCCAAGATTATCATAAATCGTATACACAGGAGATTGCATTCCTCATAATCGTACAACAGTGTCTTTTAAATTCTTCGAATAATTGTCGAATAAAAAACAAACTCCGACACTGTACACCTCGCTTATTCAGACAGGGAAACAAACGTCATCACATTTTCTCTATGGTCATCACTAATGGAGATGCCATATTAAAATTCATAGTAATGTTATTAAATTATTTTAACGTTTGTGTAAAGGCCACAAAAAGAAGTGAACTTGACCAAAAACAATATTTGCCGTTCCTATTTTACACGTACTGTAATGATGGCATAAAAAAATAAAATTAATTTTCAATTGTTCTAAGCAATAATTTATTATAAAAAAGCTTGACGAGCTCTAAAATTTGAACACATATATATCTAGACTAGCCATAAGTTCTGTTACATAGAAAAAATCCGATAATTTTTAAAGAAAAATAATTTTATTTTAAAGTTTTATATGCGATTATGTAGAGTGAAATATGAAAAGATATGTTAACGTACTAAAATAGTTATTTTAAGTGTTCACCCTTAGCTTTAACGCACGCTTTTAAACGGTCGGGCCATTCGTCGATGGATATACGAACGGTTTCCATTGGAAACTTGGTCACTGCTGCCTCCAAAGATTTCTTGAGCGACTCAATATTTGGGTGACGCTTAGAGCAGGCCATATCCTCTAGCTCAGACCACAATTTAAGTCTGGACTAGCCGAAGGACAATTGTCAGCCTTTATGAAGTCTGGAACATTTTGCTCAAGCTAAATTTGGGTAGTGCGCGCTATATAACCCGAGGCTGAATCCTGTTGGAATATCCACATTTTGTTTTCGAATAAGGTGTTGTTAAGAGGTTTAACTACCGCTTCTAAAATAGTATCTTGATACACTATGGCTGAAGTTTTTACTCCTTTTTCGCAAAAATGGAGTTTTGTAACCACTTGGTAGGAGACATCCGATCAATCATGACGTATGCTGGATGATGGTCTCGCTAAACTTTGGCCACTACCTCGGAAGTTTCTTTAAAGCAGTGTGCAAACATTCGATTATTTCGTTTGTTGAAGTGCTTCTCGACTGTATTAATTTTTTATCAGTAAAGAGAATTTTTCTCTGTTTTGATCCCTCGACACTCTTTTGTTTTAGTGCCTGATTTGTATTTCCTGTGTATCTCCGGTAAGCCCCTAGATCTAAGTCTTGATTAATAATCCGAGAAAGGATTTTCTTCTTCCTTATGGGATTTCGACGACTTCTGGCCTTGACTGTATTAACGGCCTGGTTTGTTCGAATAGACCGCGGTCGGCCGGATCTCTCATGATCATCAACAGACATGGTTTCAGTGTACCTTTGGATGGTACGATGCAAAAACATTCGGCTAATCCCTAGCTTTTCCAATGTATCAAAAATGTCGGCTGGCTCCTTGCCTACTTTGTACAGCGCTGAGGTAGTATTTAAAAAAATTATGGATCTACAAAATTTTATGTCACTAGTTGGCAGCACAAATTGTAGGATTTAAATGTCAATGCAGAAGTATTAAAAAAAAACTAGTTCCCGAAATCAAACTAGATGTCATTACGGTACGTTCTTGATTTATCCATGACAACCCTTCCGGTTTTCTTTCATGTTTAAAGGTAAATTAGTTTTCAAAACTCAATAAACAACTCGTATTCTATTTGTACTTTTTCGTATTTGTATTGATATCTAAGTTTTGAACTTTTCAAATTTCAGTTTTTTAATATGTTAGTTGAAAGAAACGGAAATGACTGTCTTTGGTCCATTCGTTTTCTGCAAAAATCAACTTTTGCTAGAGTCGCCATCTAGTGGAGGTGCTTTTTTAGAGCTTTCGTTTTTTTAAATAGGTACTTCCTCATTTATGACGTTAGACCAAAGAGAATATAATTGTCAGTGTTGTTATTTATCTGATAATTTGGATTTATATCGAGTTGAAATTCAATCAATTCGAGTTACGCAATCGCAACTCGAGTAATACCAACGAATCTATAAAATAACTTTCTTTTTATTTGCATAAAGGAAAATTCAAACTAATGTAAATGAAGTGAGCATAGAGAAGGTTTTTTAAAAGTTATGGAAATCGATAGAAGATAAAATAGATAAAAATAGCATAAAGCTACGATGTACAATAATATTATCGTGAAATTGTTTTTATAGATAACATACTTATGCCATAGCAGGTTTAGGCATTTTTCATTGTAATATTTAACAAAAGTTCTGAAAACAATAACAAATAGGTAAATTAGTTTTAGTTGTTAGTTGAATTTATAGCAACAAAACTACATCTACATAAAAAGCAGCCCTTGCTGAGTTTCTTGCTGGTTCTTCTTAGTACAAGGTACCCTTCAAAGTTTTGCGAACCATTGGCATAGTTTTTGACTTTCAGCAGTACTATGTAACAGCACAGACTGAATTGATTTTGATATTTATATTAATGTCATTCGACGTGTGGATGCATAATGACACATACAAATACAAGTTGAATTCTGCGCTTCGCTTTTTGTTCTTCATTCCAAACCTGAATTCGAATGAAAGTTACGAGCAATCAATAAGTTGGTTCATTACTAATATTGACGTATAAACCTAACATCGTTCCTTTACACGTAACATAACAAATAACTTAAATTTACGATTCAAACAAATTAAAATTAATTTGAAAGTTAGATATTATATAAACTTGAAAAGATGTCATATTTATTTATTTTTGATATTCAATTTACTTTTATTACATCAGAAACAAAATTTGAATGAAAATCATAGACAATATCCAAACATCGCGGGTGACATCTAGTATGATTTCAAGAACGAATTTTTATTTTTAAATACTTCTTCATTACTGCAATCCTATTCTCTTTAGTGCCCTACTCTATTTTCAAAGCAAATAATTTCTACACAAAAATCATACAATAATGGCGGCAAAGAAGTTTATTTTTTATTGTAGAAGCTAATGTTTGATTTTTTTTAAATGCATGTAAAAAGCCAGTAACAGAATTTATGGCTAGACTAGTTCATATCCTATTATATATAGTAGTACATAATCCTATTGATAAAATTTAAACGTTAAGCAAGTTAAACAATATAGATGTAATTTAAATAATTATTAAACCATGAATCTCTGGATGTGAAATTGGTATATAAACTTGATTGCTTAATGATATGTTTCTTGGATAGGTTCCTTGCCATTTTACAAATCTAATTAGTATTATAAAGGCTAAAGTTTGCAGGTTAGTTACTTCTTCACGTAAAAACTACTGAATGGATTTTGGTGAATTTTAGTATATAGGCAATCCTTAGTCTGGATTAACAAATATGCATTTATATTTTATTTTTATATTTATTACATTTTATTGCACACAAAAAATATACATAAAAGTGTCAAGTGAAAGTAATCACAAAGGTGGGGTTATCTTTATTAAAGATCTCTTCCGGCCAACTAAGACGTTGTGGGAGAGTAAGCGATGTCTGCTGTTTATGCCACTAAAAGGTTCCCTAAGGTTAGAAGTACCTCTAAGGTCGCCTATTTTTGTGAACGTTGCCTAAATGGTAAAAGATATACGAATTCTTTCTAAAGATAAGTTGGAGAGCTTTAAATTATTTATAAATGGCATATATATATGTGTTAAGATTTTTCCACAAAAATAAAAAAAAAGTTCGTAAAAGTATATTTAAATTTATGTCCGTCTTAAGACGTTCATTTGAGTAGGTGATATGAAATCCTTATCGAAATAAATACAAACGCTTATCGAAAAAGAAATATAATACACATAAAAATTGATGAATAGTTTGGATTTTACTATGATGTTTTTGAGAAAAGAAAAAACATACTATATAGCTTTTTTATATGTATTCGATAACTTTTATATTTATAAAGTAATAAAAGCTACGATGGTTATGAGAGCGTTTAGTAACAAGGAACACCTATTTAAGGACTACCGCGTAACAACATTGACTTCGATTTGGTTGACATTGGATTGCACTCACTGTTCAATGTGATCACATATGTAATATGTTCAGTATATCGAGTTGAACCCAAATCAATTTTATGTTGAGTGCATTTTGATTAACTACAATATTAATCGAATCGAAGCCAATTTCGTCACGCGGTGGACCTGCTGGAAACCATAGGAAACAGATTATGGAGAATGTATGGACACTATTCGACATGATGACTTCTTTTAAACCAGGCTGGAGTCTTAGTAATAAGGTTACTGTTTTTTCCTCTTTGGGTAAGAAACTCTAACATGAATCTCATTACAAAAAATCTGCGCTAAATACTTATTTCATCGATAAGGTAACTATTATGGAGGATGCAGTATACTACTTTTTATATTTTTAAACGCCCCATTTTTCGTATTGTTATTAAAAAAGGTACATTCAACATGTTTTGCAGTGGAAAAAATTGTGCTAGGTTTCAATCACAAGGATAAATATCTTACAAATTGTATGTAACTAATGTGTACACATACTTATGTGGTATTTTTGTTTTTAGATTAATTGTAAATATATTTTATTTTAGAAAAATTAACTTATTGAGTCGAATCTGGCGACCATACCGGAGCATAGTGAAATGTCACATTTCAATAAACTAAATGTAGGTAAACGTTATTGTGGCGAGTGCAACGTACTTATATTTATTGAATTGTAACGTCACAGCTCGAAATGTCACGTGACTGACTGTTTACGCGGGACAATTTTAATTAATTATAAAAGTAGATTTCTTTTTCTTTATTAAGTGGCAAAAAAAATAAATCTGATAGTGGTTTAATATGACCATATGACTAAAAATACTATTTCAAAGAGTAAAAGAGAAATACAACAAAATTAGCCAATTGTCGTGCACGAAGTATCTGGAGAACAGCTACGTATTTAACAACAATAGGGATGATGGCTGGGTTATATATGAGAAATTCTAATTAGTTCACCAGTTAGTTAAAAGAAAAATAAGAGATACTTCTTTTTTTGCTTCAATTTAACAAAAAAAAAAAAATACTAAGATGGCACTTAAATTGACGAGTGGGGGCTTCACAACTATGTAGAAAAAGCACAAAAATATGAAATTTTAACCCAACGTATCGACATAATTTATTGAGTACACAAAAAATAAAAAAAAATATGGGTTTGATATTCTTCAATAATCTACCTGACGGACAGACAAACAAAAGTTAATAGTCATCCCTATTGACATTGACAGCCTCAAGCAAATTAGGGTGACAAAACAAGTTAATGAGCGAGCTTCAGAAAACCAGAGGATCATTTCTGGGTAAATGCATTGCTATGTTCAATAAAGTTCCACAAAATGTATTTATGTTATACCTACCCATAAATAAATTTAAAATTCATGTAAAGGACATATGAGTAAAGGCTATTATAAAGTTGATGATTATTTTAAGGATTGCAATGCATGGAATTAATAGCCTTCGCTTTGTTCTATAAAGACTAATTATACAGGGAGGAACAAAATGACCGACACAGCCGAAAGTTTCAAGTTAGGTTATATGCAAACGTTCATTTTATTTGACAAATATTTAAAAATAGAGAAGGTGTAAAAATTGAGTAAAAAATTTAAATTTCTAAGTGTTGACAGCCCTTTAACGCGCATGCGCAATATCGATTCGAAATACATTCCGTATACATCGCGAAATACATTAATTTAATTTAATTATTTACCGATATCTTAATGATAGTCGATGCTGAAAATGTTCAATTCTTCTCTGAAGACAGCTAAGCACGCTCTTTTGCATGCCAGTGTATGCACGCGCAAAACACATCACATTTCACACAAAACTAAACACAATCTTCACTAAACTAGACATAACACTCAAGTCGAACACTCTAGTATCTTATTAACAACAATTCAATTAAAAATGCACTAGAACAAAACAAACATCGACAAAAAAGACGCTTCGCAGCGGTGCGTCGGCGGCGATGCGCAACAACACTCCAGCGCAAAAGGTCGGCGGCGACTGATCGATCGGACAATACCAACAGAATAATGAAGCCGCCTAGCGGCTGGCGGGTGGGCGGGGCTTTGATATTGAGGGACGAACTCGGTTCATATTTTTTTTATTCGTCTTTTGATATCACTCGTTTTTTAAAGTTCTTTTTAAATGCTATTTTAATAACAAATTCCTCCATGTTTTTAAAACAAAGTTCATTTGTGTTAATGATGAATCGCTGTAAGATTTGTGAGTTTATCGAGTTTAATTAACGATCCCGTTGTTAAAGGAGTATTACCCCTTCAAACAATTTTTATGGAGAACTGCTTTTTTAAAATAACGTAAGTTAATGTTAGATTGATCTCTCTACAATAATTTAGGAAATTTTACACTCGGTTTCTTAATTGAGTATTTAAAGTTAAACGTCTCAAACTAACATCACTTAGTTTTCGTTTCCGATTTTAGTTTTTTGATAGCAGTTTGATAAAACTAAGACTATTTGACTTGTGAAATTTAAAAAAACTTAGGTTATTGAGAATAAGCAGTAGAAATTTTCTACTTTTTTCAAATCATAAACCGGCTGTTAGTCTGTAAATCGATTTAAGCATTTTGACTGCCTTGTTTATTGATTGACTGGTAGAATTTGCATGAAAGCAGTCTTTTAAATCACAAACTAGTTTATTTGGTTTTTAGAAATGAAGAAGTCAATGACCGATTTAAAACTTTTCCTTAGTACGTCCCAAAAACAGCTGACTCAGGGTTGAAAACACTAATTTGTTTTCAAAAACTTTGTAATTTAATATCTCCGAAACTATTTGACCTAGACTTATATTTTTTTTTTACATTATATTAAAGACAAATAGTACTCTCCAGGAACTTCGGGAGTGTCGGTCGTTCTGTTCCACCCAGTATGTTCAACCTATGTCCTACAGACTTTGAAAGTTGTATTTATTATTGTGATAATACATATTATTTTGGTAATGACATGTAAATGTCATTACTTATGATAAAGAGCTGGTAAGTTTTTTTTCGCTTGTTCTTCTTGTCAGCTAAAAGACGCCCTGAACAAGTGGTAGGGAAAAAAAAATTATGGACGATTCAAAAATGCTTGTAATAGCCTACTTGAATAAATAAATATTCATTTTGATTTTCTTGCTTTTTAATTTTTTTCCGCGCGAGTTGCGCTCGTTCTTGTCATCAATGAACAACGTTACGACTTGAATGTCAGCATTAAAATTAACATCGATTGTTGCTGATGCGGATTATCATTATCAACCCCACTGCAGATTTTCTTATGGATGGTTAAGGAGGATGGGCCATGGCCCTTCACGCTGGCCCAATGCGGATTGGAGGGTATTAACGACTGCAAATGCAGCCGGGACCAACGCCTTAACGTGCCTTCCGAAGCACAAATAGCTCGAGATAAGTTTTTGGTCACCCATCCCGTGATCGACCCTTGCCACAGTCGCTTAACAACAACGATCGTGGGCCGTGGCGCTTATACTCTACGCCACCGAGTTACTTCCGAGCTACATCGAGCTTTGATGCGGATGCTGAAGCTGATATTAAAAACAATGCAGACAATTAGCGTATGCTGATGCTAATATTCGCAACAACTCTGGTTTTAACTAATCTTTTTCGACATTTTTGTCGCTAGAAATAATCAATTATTGTTATAGATCCTTGCTGTTTTCTTGGTATTGTGGTGTACGCATTTCTGACAATGTTTAGGCTATTATAGCTCACTCGGGGCTAGTAGTCGGAGTCGAGTCGGAGTACTCTTCTACTATGGCCGAGCTTGCTTAGCGAAAGGAAATATAAAATAATGAGAAGGCGTAAAACATATGTATTCATTGCAAGTATTTTATACAGGAACATTATTTAGTTGGCAAGCGACGGTGTCGTAAGGTTTTCTCAGATGCCACTAGTGATCCCGTGTCCTCTTCTAATGACAGGCCGCGAACAAAGGCAGAGATGAGTCCGAGAGCCGCAGCGGGTTTATCCGCCGGCACCATATGCCCCGCTCCACGAATCATCACTTCCGTTAGTTTACCAGCCGTTTTGTAGTAACTGAAATGAAAGTTACATATTATTAAGCGAAGCTAGTAACGGTAAGACATAAAAATAGGCAATTAGCTATATAAGTCATAGACGGGATTGATAAATATCATAAAACATAAATAACTTTGACAAAGTCCCCCAAATTGATAAATAATAATCAAAAATAGTTGTGATATGCAATACGCCATCCTCTGTGTCTATCCTTTTAATTTTAATTTGGTCTCGTTTCGTCTTTTATTAACGGCAATGGTTAATTTAATTGCCACGCCTGCATCGATGAAAGAACCCCTAGTAGTTAGGCCAGTTACATCCATTTTCATTAACCTGAAATGAAGCATAGACTAACTAGGTAACGCCTAATCATATGAATGTCCTAAGCAGATAAGTTTGATTCCAAATAAATATTCTTTTTTTTATTCCTTGTCATATTTGTGACCTGTCATAGGTATTACGCAAATGTCTTCCACAAGGCGCCGAATGACACATGTCATATTTTACATATTATTTAATAGCGTTAGGTGGTTCCTAGTCATTGGTGAAATGAATTTTCGCCTTAGGTATTTTTTGCCTTAGGCGATTCCTAAATATTTAGGCGACGGATGTAGGCGAATCCTAAGTTTGATTAAAACAGGCATAAATAATAAGACAAAGTCAAAGTCGTTTATTTTGTCTTGGCTGTTACAAGCACTTGTGAATGTCAAAATTAGTAGTATTTTATGATTTAAAATAAATTGCAAGTATATTTTTGCAACTTTTTTATCTATGGACTGTAAGAGTGAACACGGACGACCATAACAGAGCATCGTGTGATGTCACATTTCAATAAAACAAGCGTCTTCGTTATGAGTGCAACCAGTTACTCATGTTTATTGAAATGTGACGTCACGGCTCAAAATGTCAAGTAATTGATTGTTTTCGCGGGCAATTTAAATAAATCAATAGAAATATATCTTTCCTTTATTCAATACCTTTTTCGGGGATAAAGAATTCTTAAAGTGATTAAATACTTTTCTAAAACAGGCGAATTTCCAATTACTTAACGCTTCCAAGTATAATCAGGAACTATTCAGTATGTAAATACTTACCCCGCCAATTCTCCGTCGTGATACCACGGTAATCGTTTTGCTTTCTTGAATTCAGACGATCCGGTGTAAGAAAGTGAATTGTAAGTATTCACGGATGGGTGGTAAGCTACTATTATATCCAAATGTCCACTGAAACGATAAAATTCAATGAATGAGACAATGAGGACATAAATTTTAGTTGCTAGACTCTTATCATCAATGAGACAATGATGATAAGAGTCTAGCAACTAAAATTTAGTAAAGAAAAGCTATGTTTGTATTTTAATTTACTTTTTCCCGCGGCTTTGCATACGTAAATTATAGTCTGCCATGAGCTTAGGTAGCTTGCTGTAGCTGAATCTTTCTTAGTAGTTTCAGAACTTATTCAATGCACACAATCAAAACTTTCCTATTTCACATGAAATCTTATTTATTTAAGGTCTTTAGAATCTTGTTTATGGAAAATCAAGATGCTGAAGACCTTAAATAACGAATGAAGTCACGGGTAAAAGCTTGTGACACTAAAAATATGGTGGTACTAGGTACATACCTACTATTATTTCTTAATAATAGTAGATAAGTATCTAATATCTATATTATAAATTTATGTAGGCGGCAGTACCTACACAACAGTTGGTATGAATGAAGAAGAGTGGATGAAAGACAATCTATAAAGAGATAAGTATTATAAATAGGCAAGTTTCTAACTTTGTTTGCATGGTGTAATTTTCGGCAGATTTCCGATCTTGAAAATTCTTACATATACAGAAACCTTCATCATATGCGGGTGACATAGGCTACAATATACGCAGGTGAGATCGCAGGAAAAGAACAAGGATATGAAAAAAGTACAAGAGCTTTATAGTGTATAAACGACCTGCTACGTATAAAACAGTTGGGGTAGCAATACAGGCAAAATACGGGAGTAAGTAAAACAGCCTTATTCTCACAAGGCGGGAATAGGTAGAAGAAGCAACATAAAATCTCCTTGGGAATGAAAATACGCACCTGTAAAGCATAACTCTATAGTTTTCTAAAAGTTCTTCCAGCCACATCTTAGCGCTGCCCATGAAGTCCGGTACTAATTTCCTATACACCACTCCTATTGATGTGAAATTTGTATTGCCCACGTGAAGGGCTCTCCTCACTTCTGTTCTCTGTATGTAGTCCATGTAAGCTCCTTCCAAACTTATATCGTCTTGAAGGAAGTTGTATAAATTCGACAAATGAGACTCCTGCAGGAATATCTGCAGTAGGTAGTTGTAATACTGAAAAAGAATATCATTAATATATAATATCGAATTACATTATATTTACCGAAAGGATGATGTGTCAGAATCGTTAATTATGCAAAAACCGTCTTTAAAAACCTCATGCGAAGGCTCACGTCGCTTCAAGTTTTTGTATTTGTCATTGAAAAAGAAACGAGACAATGTATTTTCTGGCATTCTGCTAAACCATTCAATGTTTACCGCATAAGCTTTAAGCATTTCCCCGTTTTTGATGAACTGCGTGACTGCTGTCTCTAGGTGGTTCATGAAGTCTGCCACTTTGTCGTCAACCAGCCCAGCCTCGCGCACAAAATAGCTGTACCGCTGCAAGGTCAACGGATCAATGAAACCATTGCCGATAGCCAGTCCCTGGAAATCAAATACAACTTGAGCTTACCTAAAACTGAAAATATCACTCGATACAACTAGATTTGCATTAACTACGACTTTTTTGGATATCAAGTCTTTTGCTTCTATTTTATTACGTACAAAACTTCAAATTTGTTGTTTAGAACTATTAGAAAAAGATAATTTGGGAGCATCTAGGTTTTGTTTTCTTTATCATACATTATATTACAATCTTTACCTGTAGATTTATTGGTTCATTTTCTTCTCGATGCCATAATATTTGAACACCCAGGGATGGTATATGTTTGCCTGCATATGACTCTCCCGCTATTGTCAATGGCGCTTTACGTAAGTCTGGGAAAATCTTCAGGAACTGTTGCAACGCTGAATATAAATTTTCACCGATCTAGGAATAAAAAGAAATTCTTAATAAATCGATTTGTGTTGTAGATAGAACAAGTCATTTTTATTTTAAGAAGTGAAAGAAAATTAATAAATGCCTAAGAAAAGTTCAGTTGATAGCAGAAAATTAAGATTTCTTTGGGAAATATGTGCAAACATTGCTCTTTTTATTTTAGACAGTTTTACATTTAATATGCAAAGCTTATTTGACAAATTCACTTGATTTACTGAACTACTAAAGCAAAAAATAATTTCTGCATGACACTTAAGAAAACAAGTTTAATGACAAATTAAGACGGTAAAATGTAAGACTACTAAAATTCGATGAGATCAGTGTAGCAGCAGATTATAGTTATTCATTTAGGAAGTCAGCAAGAGATTCTATATACCGTCGTTTGATTGGTCGCGAATCCACGATCGTCATCAGTGAAGCTGAAACCAGTTCCGACAGGATTATCAATGAAAAGTAACGAATGATTCTTGCCCCAGGAGTATTTGATTTCTGCAATGCAAAATTGACCATTCAATCAGAAAGAGAATATTTACTTAATAAGAATAACTTATGTAGAGAAGTAGAGACGCTATACCTTCTAAGACGTGATCCTCTGTGACTACGAACGGTCCTATTTCAGTGAACAGACCGTAAAGAGATGAAGCGCCAGGTCCTCCTTGAAGCCATATAATCCACGGGGTTTCGTCTACAGGTTTATCCGAAACCGGGAAATACCAGAACCACAAGTTGGCGTTGTACTCTTTGTTTACCTGCAATGTACAGATAAATCTTGCAGCAGGGATATCATACGTATCTGTAGAGATTTGTGACGAAGCAAGAAATAACTATGAACAGAAAATTGTTAAATAAAAGCCGAATATAGTGATAAGCTCGATGAATAAATAAATAGCACATCAAAATTAAAGCATGTGGTAATGAGTATAATAAATATCAAACGACATTATTTAAATTGCTCAGATTTCAAGATAAATAGCTAAAGCCCCCGTATTATGGAGTATCTGAGACACTCAGAACCGAGACAATATAGAAAAGTTCATTATCTACATTGACCCGATCGGGTATCGAACCGTCCCAGTATCGGCGAAGGCCACACCTTGAAACCTTGCACCGGTGCGAACCACTCGGCTACGTTGGTCGTCAGTATAATACACTTACTGTAAGATACCCGGCGTAGCTGTCCATGTCGGGAAGTAAATAGTCGGAATCCACTTTGGCTGCCTCTCTCGCTTCTTCAAGTTTGTTTTGCTCTATGAGCGGTGTGAGTATGACTGGGGCACCGGCGTCGAAAGTCGATCTGCTGAGGCCGGATTTGTACGTCCTCTCCATGAACGTTAAGATTGGATCAGGCGCTTCCCCTGGTGGTAATTCGGGGAGCGGGTCCCGTTCGACACTCGAAGCCAAATTAATGCATCTAAAGACAAAAATCAGAAGCAAAGGAACTGTATTATTAAACTATATCATTATCAGCGCCTATTAAGAGGGCAAGTATGCCAAAAATAACTATCTTACGATGGGTTTTGAATCAAGAAATCATGTCCAAATAAGCTGTAACATTATGTTAGGAGTTCGTAACGTGATTAAATCAAATTTTCTATAAAAAAACACATAGTTATAACCACTAATATATCCTAATATTGTCTTTTTTTATTTATTCTGGTATTATACTCTTTTTTTCTTGTACGAAAAATTGATAAATTAATTCATTTACACTCATAGGACACGACATCTTACACATTTACACTTTTACAATAAGATAGATAGATTTCTATAAGGATTTAACCACATTGGATATAGATATCCTTTCAATTTGAATTTGAAAAGTAATCACGAACTTCACGCTACAACTACTTGATATGTGATAGCGATCGCCACCTCTTTTTATCGTATTTTTAATAATTTTCTTTTGTATCGTTAATTTGAAGTTAATTTTAGACGCAAATATCTTTGAAATTAATTGAGAATTCTTAATTAATGTAATATGACTTTAAAAGTTACGTAATTCCATAATTCACTATCACAATTGTGTACCCTTGAAATGCCATTGAGAGGGATTGTGATAGATCTTAAAAGCAATCAATTAGGTCACAGTCCATTGGATATTATCACCTAAAAAATGTTTTTTTTTTACTCAGGAGTAGGTGCATGAGTATTACATACTAATTAATACTATGATGTTATATTTGATAAATTTTGCATTCACAATGCTATTTTTATACGAGTATATATTATTAATGCTAAACAATCCACTTTGTCCCTGGCACTCTGAGATGGGACTCCAATCCACGAAGTTTTGCAATCCGGGCGACTGCTCTAACAACTGAGCTACCCAGGGCTGGACTACTCTAACAACTGAGCTACACTAGGGGGGCAATTCTACTAAATAAATTTTGTTTAAAACGAATCGAAAACGGATCGAAAAAGGGTTAAAACCGAACGAAACTACAGTTTTTAATGGTTTTTCTATTCTACTAAGTGACATACGATACAATTCCAGCTAAAATAGAACTGAAATTGTATCGTATGTCACTTTGTAGAATGGGAAAACCATTAAAAACTGTAGTTTCGTTTGGTTTCGATCCGTTTTCGATTCGATTTAAACAAAATTTATTTAGTAGAATTGGCCCCCAAGAACTAACAGGACGGACGAATGACGTTAATTACTATAATCATTAACATGAAACAGACACTTATTTCTAATGAAGTTAAGTGACAGTGACGTTTTCATATTATAAAGAGGAGCGTGAAACATCAATATCTTCTCTGTGAATGTGAATCACTGATACACAAATGAAGCATTATCATCTGGGGCGACACATAATCAGGCCAGAATACATAAAAAAAATTAAATCCAGGAATACCATATACTTTTTTGGAGACTATCGGGCTGAAAGAGCTAATAAAGTTCTGGCGGTGTGTCACAATAGACCTTTTAGGTCAGGGTGACTACAGAACTATATGGAACTGCATAGCTCCTTAAAATTTTGATAAATTATGATGATATTAATGCCGTCATATGACTACATACCTTTCGTTCATATAAGATCGCTTCTTTTTATGGAAATATTGATAGAATTTGAATAGATGCTTTTATAAACCGGTAGTTGTTTATAGGTTTTAGTATATTTTTTAAATACAATTTTATGAGGTTGTTGGATTAGTTTCCATTAGCTAGAACGTTAAGCTCTTCTTGTGTTAATGAACTTAGTAAAAAATTTTAAAATTCTGCAAGGAGAGTTACTCTTGGTGTATTGGAGATGAAACTTGGCTGTTAGTATCATTTTAATATGGTTTATTGTGTAAAAATTAAAAATACCATTTTATTTTTGAGTTCTTATGAAAAAAAAAACATTTATAGTCCATGTACTACTTCCATGTATTCTTACTTGTACTACTTATATAGTTGTAATTTAATTTAAATTTTAAGCTGAAAGCGTGGGATTTTTTAATGAAAAATAACAGAGTACTCAACCCTGTTTATCCCATTGTTTGTAAAATTATTAGTTATAGTATTCAAATATTTGGAATATAACAAAATCGTTTTTCGTTACAAGGTTCTTCTTCTACAAAATACTTGTAATAATAGGAATAGCAAAACATCGCCTGAAGGCTCAGAAGTCTCTAGAAAGAGGTTCAAACCGAACTGGACTATTTTTGATTTTATAGGTATTCTCGTGTATAGTTGCTGCGTTTTTCAGTGCTTCAAATTATATTTTACTACCTATTTTCTCGCGACATCGCCTGTATATATTATAGCACATATCACTCGCAAATGAAGTATGTTCCCGTAAAAAAAAAACAAACAAGCTTTTATTGCAGCAGACATATTGTATAGACAAATCAAATGAGCTGAAACTCGACAGGGTTGCATTATTTAAATTACAACCTTCCATGGTCACCTTCCAGTTTCATATCAGACTTTGGTTATTATGTCGAACTTCTAAGTCTGTTCTAATCTGTATTAATAATATTCCAAGGCGTCACCATCACTGGGATCCAGGGTTCGATTCCCGGTTGAGTCAAAGTTAAAAATGAACTCTTCTATATTGTATCGGGTTGTGTCAGTTACTCCACAATACGGAAGCTTTGGCTACTCATCTTGGAATCTGAGCAATGTATGTGATGTCTAATATTAAAAAAAAAAGAAATATATTAATTTAAGGCACTTAATAAGAAAAAAATAATTTCAAAATTCGAACTTACATCAACAGAAAGAGGGAGCACAGCATCCTGGCTAGTGAGCTGGCGGGTAGGTAGCTACTACTGCTCTATGGTTTGTGTCCTCGCGCCCTGGGTGCCCAGCGAGCAATGGACCCGGGGCCTGCACGGGAACCTTGTTTATTCACAGAGCTCTGCACTTGTGCCTTGAACTTGGATTTATCTTAATCTTCCGTACAGGATGTTCTCTATTTTAAGTTCTTTAAAAGTGGTAAATATTACTTAAATTCATAGAATATTTTTAATTATTTCAAACATGGTATGCCATGTGTTTTATCCCGTGAAATTGTTGAGGATTTTGAAATAAAATTATAAGAGAACATCCACGCAACAACGTGCAACAATTTATCGACATTTCTAATCAACTCGCTGATTGCTTTTCGAGTTTGGAGAAAACATTTTTATAACTTTATTCGTTTTATAATGAAATATTTTATTTTGTGTTAACTTAAAGTATTAAACCTTCTTATGGAGTGTTTACCGATAATTTATAAAAACACAAAAAAAATCCTATAGGTACTTAAATTAAATTTTATAATAATTGCACAGTTTAACACCAATTAAACTTTAAATACAGTAATTAAATATGCAGTATTTGAAGTTTTATACAACTTTATATGTTTACTTAGTATTTTATTCATTTATTTGTATAATTAAAGTATTATGCCTAATTATGTAGTATTTACCGATAATTATAAAGATACAAAAAACATATTAAAATTCGATTTTATAATAAATACACAGTTTTGATGCAATGAACTCTTGAAAAAAGAACACAGCTTTTAAACAAAGTAGCTTATGAAACAACTTCACAAACTTTTAGTTTGTTTCTTTTTTTCTTCCGAGAGCAGACCGCGTGGGATCATATTCTAGAGCATCCTCTATAATATCGGCAAACAGGTACAGCGTACCAATGACCTGTTTAGCATAATCGCGCTCCCACGGCCCGACATTCGCGATAGATTCTTGCACGCTCTCAAATGTGATTTACTCTATATTTAGGATGTTTATGTAAACATCCATTCGATACTATAGGACACATATATTTGGTACGTGAACGAGATTATTAAGCAGCCGGCAATCGGCCCGTATGATACCTTAAATTCCCACGCTCAATCGTTAAAGCCTTTATGAATATAATTTTTCTGTGATGCTAAAAACTAAGTTATATGCTAATGCTTCGCAGATCGAAACCGCTAACCGTCGCGTCATTTGGCTCAAATAAACAACATGAAATGGCAAAATCAAGAATGAGTATGTAAAATGTAGCAAAAGTCTAATTGTCTCATAAATAATTAAGAATAAATAATTAGTAATGGCAATTATTGTTATTATGTAGTAACGCTCTTTCGATAAAATATTTTTTTTTATTACAAATATTATAAGGCTAACCAGGAAAAAAGCAATTTTACTGCTTTGACATGTACTGTAAATTGTCGGAAAATGAATTTCTTTGGAGTCATATTAGCGTAAATTTAGACAAAATTTCATTTTAGGAGAAATAGAATAAACCTTCAGAAGGCCTATACTGCACAGATAATCCCCACGGATATTGTTTTTACAAAATTATAAGAAAATTTCTAAACTTTCGTTCGAGAATAAATAGAATTCTCCAGGTGTCATATTAATTAACCTCAAGTTTATCTGTCTGCAGCTATCATGAATGAAAGTTCAGGTGAATATGATGTCTGTAAGCAAACTTTCAATATCAAGAAGAGAAAGAATCATCTTTCAGCTGTTGAAATGTATATTTACAATGTGGGAGTACCGACTTGCTTATATTAATTTAATGTTGAGCCTTTGTCTGTAGGAAGGTCTGTGATTTTTTTTTTGTTATGATCAAAGGCATACGAGTAAGGTGTCCTTTGGTATTGTCATTATAATATAACTATCGCTATTAAAATAAATTTCTTATATTAAACTTTTGAGAGTGTTTTAGCTGTGGTCGGGTTTTTTGAATAATATGTTTAAATATTTATTTAAATAAATAAATAATTATTAGACATCATATACATTGCTCAGATTCCAAGATAAGTATAGCTAAAGTTCCAATATTGTGATCTAAGACAACTAAGGTACTCGTAACATGAAATACAGACCCGAATAAATTTTTCATTTTCTACATTGACACGAACGGGAATCGAACCCGGGACCTTGGACATGGAGACACCTTGAAACCGGCGTGCGAACCATTCGGCTACAGAATTCTTATTTTATGCTCTGTAAAAGTGCGCTGTTGCCAATTTAATGTAATGTCACCTATACGCTGTCACCTAGCTTCGAAGTTATAAGGAAACAGATGAACATTCTTACAAACATACCGGCCAAAATCTTAACCCTCCCTTTCGCTTCGCCGCCGTAGTCGGGTAAAAATTGGTATTATTCTGCATGAGAGGTTTATTTCCTTCTTCCGCATCTTCGTTTTGTGAATGCGAGTGTAGAGTGTAGAATGTAAAAAGAACTAATTGTAACTGTTGAATGTTATCTCATGTAAAACAGTATTTTTATATGCTTATTATGTATGGATAATAATATTAGATTTAGTGATAATAAAGTACATGTGATTAATGTAAACTATAGTTATAATATAAGTTATACATTTAATTTTCGTATAATTTAATACTCAATAAAAACTGAGATTTTATCTGATCATAATAATTTATATATTCTTCTAACAAAATAACTCCTGCTTTTAAGTTCAATAATAGGGATGATGACTAATTTTTGTTTGTTTGTCCGTCAGGTAGAGTGTTAAAAAATATTAAACACGTATTTTTTTAATTTTTTCGTAATCATAAAATTACGGCGTTAAATAGAGTTGAAATTTCGTATGACGTCACGTTAGGGTACGTTTTCTACTCAACTGTGACGTAGCGAGCCCCCACTCCTCAACTTTAATGTCTGTTATCTAAGCTATTTCTTATTGAATTGAAGTAAAAAAAAATACGTATCTAATATTTTTCTATTATCTGACTGACGGACTAAATAGAATTGCATTTTTTTTACCCAGTCATCATCCCTATTCTTATGATGTTCTAATCTTATAATGGTTTTGGATGAAAAAATCTGTTAGCTTTTAAGACTTGTCTGTTTATATAAATAGTAGTGCCAATTATTTTGAACCACTTTCTAAACTAAACTCTGTAGCTAAGTGATTCGCACACTGGTATCAAGATGTCGCTATCTCTAACGTCCCGGGTTCTGATTCCCGGTCGGGTCAAATTTTCTTTACTGTCTCGGATCTAGGGGTACTCCGTAATACCAGGGCTTTACCTTCTTATCTTGGAATCTGAGCAATGTAAGTGATGTGGTCTTATATTTTTTAAGTCGCATTTTGATAGATTTAGACTTAAATCAAAGCTAGATTGTACAACAGAATTGCCACCAATGCATGGTTAGCTAAGTTACAAAATTTAAAATCTAATATGGTGGAACGACCTAAGATGGCGGCTTAGATATTTTTAATCCCTTTCATAACAATTAAGCTAAAGGATTTACTTAGAAAAATATCTCTCGTATATAAAAACATGTCACTATTATCAGAATGATCGCTACCATGTACCTTACATTTTGTTTATTCTGCTGTTAATAATAACAAGAAAATAAAAACATAATATGTTTATATTAATAAATAACACAATAGCCAAGACGTTGAATCCAACTAGCCTCTGAAATCTTTTATACTAAATATCACAAACAGGTTGTGTTTCTAATTTTGTTTGTTTGTAGGGGTTAATGTTCGGAAATATTGATCTGATCATGAAAATTCTATCTTCTTATCTATTCATTTACTTCATATCGATAGCAGAGATTAAACACGTATACCTATAGTAACAATTTCTGTATACATACTACCTAAGTAGGTAAGGACTTGTGTTATTTGATCAGCTTGTTCTTTAAGTTTAATAATAATTGCCAAATCAAAATAAAGCTAATGTCACTGCTATAGTTTATTTTTTTAAAGTTAACGCATATTATTCATATTATTTGAGATTAAGTTTTTACTGAATACCTTCTAGTATGAACGTGAATATTATACATACATATAATTGTCTTATAATGTAAATATTTAAGAATTTCATAAAAAGCGAATGATAATGTATTACTACTATACAGATACAAGGATCAAAACTATAAAGTCACATCAAGCCCGGATATACGATTAAACCACGTAAATTATAGTCTACTAGCTTTCCCCCAGCGGCTTCGCCCTCGTGGTCTCTAGGGAACTATTTAGTGGGATAAAAAGTATCCTATTATCTAAGTCAGCTTATAACCAATCTGTATACCACATTTCATCAAAATCCAAACAAAGAAATTTTCACATTTATAATATTAGTAGGATGTCACCCGCGTAACCACTTTCCATAGATGGAAAAAATATCAAAATCAGTCCAGTAGATTCGGAACCTATTCAATGAATATAAACAGAGCATCAATTAAGTATATCTTCTTTATAATATTAGTAGAGGTATGGCAAAAACCAAAGGCGAATCACGAATTTAACTATTGAGCGCATTTATATCAATAAGAGCTGAAAGAAATTTGTTTAGATACAAATAATTATTGGAAAATGAATTTATGAAATCCAATTCAGTGTCATTTATTTAATAATCTTGAATAAAAAACTTCAATAAAGCAACTGTACTGTTAACAACAAAGGCATTAGGCCAGATTGTTCTAAGATCAAAACTGCATGTGAATATCAAATTCCATTCTTTATTTAATTCAAAGTTTATTTCACTCTTTCAATATACCTTCACACTTCACCGTTCATTACTATTGTTTATATATCGTTGGCGTCAACCGCTTGAGGTACTCTATGATATGTAAAATGCTGAAACCGAATGGTGAAATTCCTTGTTATTTCTTAATATACATTGAAAATCAAACGACGCCATGTCTAAAATGTCACGGAAAGTTTCAATAATTCGTTTTTTCTTGTTTTTCTGTGTGCTAACAGAAGCAATAGAAAATATATGCAAAAACTAGTTTTCTATGGAATTAATTAGATAAAATAAAAAATCAGGCAGTAGGTAAAACAATTCTTCGGCAGCAATTAGTTGGACTGTTGCAGAGTTATCAAGATTTTTATATATTCGTTATGCGTATCATAACGAACTCGAGAAGGCTTTTCTCTACACCCAAATGTCACTTTTCTCGGGTAAACATTAGATATCTCCACAGAATATATATCTCAGCCTCGACCCGAGAAAAGTGACGTTTCGTGTAGACAAAGTGTTCGAGGATGCGTGGAGGTTTTGACTTTTGTGGTTATTAAATAACTGTGCCCGCGACTTCGTCCTCGTGAAAAGTAGCCTTAGTTACCCCTTATTATATAAGCTATCTGCCAGTAAAAGTCCTGTCCAAATCGGTCGCCGTTTCAGAGCCGTAACAAACAGACACAGACAAAAATGCAAACAATAAAATTTTTGTTTATGTAACGTGTATACGTATTTAGTGAAAAGCGGTTATTTTTACAGACACTCAATTTTTTTTTATTTGTGTAGATTACAAAATCAACAAGAACTATTTATTAAAACAAAATACGTGAGCTGACGGTTTTGGCCAGCTCATGTATTCTGTGCTAATCTACAGATTAAGTAAACAAATATAGGCAAGTGATATTGGATTTAGGAGCGCTCTTAAAGCGATTTGCTTCAGTTTTTTCAAAGCCAGCTAGGTCCCGATGATGCCGTTTGTTGAAATGACGAATTACACGATATATCTGCAACGTCTTCGTGCGATTATACTGCGGTATAAAAGTAGTTTTACACATGAATTATGATTAAATATAAATTTACCTAGCTACCAGTTCACCTGCAGTAATGTATCGTTACATCTTGTTAGTGTTCGTCAGGTAAAATTGTTTATATATTTCTTTTCACAAACTCATGTGTCATTTAAATAAAGTGAATGCACTAACTAATAAATCTATTCATAAAACTATTTATGATCCCAGTAAACTGAATGTACATGATTTATTGAAAAATTAAATGTGATATAAATAGTTGTTTATTTAGATATTTTTGTGTCAAATGTTCAAATGTTTCATGAAGAACCATGAAACATTTGAATTTTTAACATTTCAAATTTAATAATGGAGCAAAAGTTTGTGATCGATCACTTACAAAAACTTTGTTATCTTCGAAGATATTGAATATAGGCACTACACTAAAATAAGTTTGAGGTAAAAAAGAATTAAGAATGTAGTAACTCTCGTATTGTTTTTATTTTTTTACATACTATTCATAAAAAAAATAATTCGCATTAATTGGAAGAATTCGAAGTTTTTCTGAATAACCCGGAATATTAAACCTCATAGTAATACACGGTAATAATACTGAGAACATTTTTTTATTCCGTAAAGATGGAATTACCAAAATGTTGCGTCGAGCTAATTCAGGAAAAGTCGTTGGACCAGACAATGTTCATATAGAAATACTAAAAATTGTTGATAACGAAAATATTTCAGGACTTTTTTTTCAGGTCAATTTGTTTAATCTTGTTTACAAATCAGGCTATATACCAGATGACTAGCTTAAGAGGACTTTTGTTACAATACTCAAAAGGAGAACCGCAAAAAAATGTGAAGAGTTTCGAATTAGTCTCATGAGCCAAATATTAAAACTTGAACGTATTAGGACAAAGTGCGATGAACGACTAAGTGATAGTAAAATTGGATTCCGAGCTGCAGTGGGCACGAGAGAGGCGTTGTTTGCGGTACAGGTTCTGCTGCAAAAATGTATAGACATGCTGCAGGACGTCTTCTTATATTTTGTAGATCATGAGAAGGCTTTTGATAGAGTGCAGCATGGTCGTTTGATGGCATTTCTCTACGATATAGAATAGAATAGTGATATATGTATAATACGGAACCTGTATTGGTACCAGCGAACAAGTGTCCGGGTTGAAAGAAAGGAATCTAATTGAGAGGCCTATACGACAGGGATGCATTTTGTCACTAACTCATCAATTCAATATCTACTCAGAGTCAATCATTCTGGAAGGACTAGAAAGCGGCATTAAAATAAATGGTCGGCTCATTAACAATCTGAGGTATGCCGATGATACAGTTCTTATAGCGTCTACAGAGGCCGAGTTGCAGAAAATTGTCGACCGCGTCTAATTAGTGCAATATCAGGGCTGGCCTTAGAATGAACGTGGCTAAGACAAATCTCTTGGTGATATTCAACAATCTCAATATCCAACTAGCTATATTTGTAGATCGCTGAAAGCTTGACCAAGCCGAATAAATATAAATATCTCGGAACCTGGTTAACACAATCTGCACTGCAATCATGGTCTTAAAAAAAAGAAATCTAGCAACTAATTATGATGGGAAAAGTTGCTGGAACAAGGAAACGTGATCGTAGGAGAAAGTCCTGGTTGCGCAACATAAGAGAATGGAGTAGTATCTATATCGCCGCCGAGCTTTTTTGCTTTGCCCAAAATGAAACAGAATACGAGAAGTTGACTGCCAACCTCTACTAGTTGGGGAGGCATCTTAGAAAAGAGGATTAAATAATAAAATGAAAGTTATGGCTTAATTTATAAAATCATGTAGGAGAGTTACAATTTTAGCCCTTCCAACCAGATGCAGTATGAGGTTATAAATTATCTTAAAATAGGTTTCTTTGGTGTGCCAAAAGAAGTTAAGTATAGACGAAATTTTGTTTCCAGACAAGCAAAGTAAGCCTCCTAGATTTTAGGATTGGTGCAAATCTGACGAATGATCCGTTAAGCATTTCGCGGAAGTATGAGTTAATACGCGGCAGAATTTCCGATTTGTTTGTCAGAATACACCGGTCGACCCCAAAGATATGTGTTATGGTGTTATTATGTATATTAAAACTAGATCATAATGACACGATGTTCGATCTGCGATTCTGATATTAAGCAACTTTCACAAGAGACTAATCATTTATTATTTTGAGTTCCTTCGTGCTCCATTAGTCCCGGGTGCATCTAGTCCCTAACACCCTGCAATCCGCACTGGCGAAGGTAATGGCCTATTCTTCCTATTCGATTCCAACCCTCCACGACCGATGGTATATTGGCGCGAATCTCATCTTATGTCAATATCAAAGTCAAAGTGACAGTGCGTCGTACAAACAGATAGTGATTCCCGTAACACTATCGATAAATAGTGACGTCCATGGTATTCGCTATTTTTTTGTGTAACACATGCAACATGACTAAAATATAAAACATTAACGAATTTAACGACAAAATAATTCTGTTAATATTTCTATATATTTCGAATCGTGATCTTTTATATTTCAGCATATGTCAGCTGCAGGCTGCTACTTTGGAATGTAAAAATCACATTCTCACACCGAAAATCAAAGCTGGCTATGCGAATCAAGCAAGAAACCAATCGGAAGTTGACAGCAAAAACTTCCTTGGCGTCAAAAGCCATTCAGGATTCTTGACCGTTAATGAAGAATACAATTCGAATCTTTTCTTCTGGTATTTTCCTCATGAGCGACAAGCGGAGGTGCCGTGGATTATATGGTTGCAAGGTGGGCCCGGATTTTCATCGCTTTATGGATTGTTTGAACTGGTGGGACCTATTAAACTTGACAATGGGAAATGTAAGTAATTATACTTTATTAAACTGGAGCTTTAGGCTTGTGTCCTATAAGTGAAAATACAGATTCCTGTTATATGTTTGGAATACATGAACCATTTTAACCTACAAATATTCAACAAAAGAAATTTTACGACACTAACTTGCAAAATATTATGCTTCGAAAACTTGGAAAGTGTAGAAAAAATTTACTACAAAAATTTACTAAATTACATATAACATTAAATTCATCAATATTATCATCAGCCCTATTACGTCCCAACTGCAGGGGCTCAGGCCTTTCTTATGGGTGGTTAAGGAGGATTAGAATGTGTTAATGACTACAAATGCAGCCGGGACCAACGGCTTAACAAGCCTTCCGAAGCACGGAGTAGCTCGGGATAATTTTTTTTTGGTCACCCATCCCGTGATCGACCCTTCCGAAGATGCTTAACAACAACGATCGCATGCCACGGCGATTATCCACTACGCCACCGAGTTACTCAAATTAAATTAGTTACATAAAAAAATTCTACTTTCATTATAACAGTTATAAACAAACGCACAAATAACAAAGATATTACAAATGTTGACGTTTTTCGCGCTACATAGCACCGTATGACGTCACTTAGTGCCTTGAATTTCTATATATATTATATTAGATCAATTTTGCGATCACAATGTTATACTGAAAAATTTTCTTAAAGAAAATTGTTTAAAAAATCTACTATGTTTCATCTTAGAGTGCCGCGGATAAAGTGGATTATTTGAGATTTTTTCATTAAATATCTTTATTTATAGGATAATATATATATATATTTAGGAAGTGTTGAAATAAAATAATTATCATCTTCAGCTCTTTTACCCCCTCCCCCGCATATAAAACATACAAATGCAAAGCTTACAGTTGATGAGTCAGGTTACAAAAGGTCGAAATTCCAATCCTTTTTAAATCTTATTGTATTTTTATAAATTCAAAATTGCCTATCGAAATTTGATATTTTCTAATAACGTGAGTTTTTCTGAAGTGTATGTATAGTTAAATTTTGCTACTTGATTATAAACCTTAATACATCGACCGTAGAGTTCAAAATCAATTGTGGTATTATAATAACCTAATGTGCAGCCGTGTGTACATTGAACCAGTGCTAAGACAAAGCGCTAATCGGTAATATTTTTGCCTCTGTTACAAACTATAAATTAATATTTTATTTACTGAGGGCTATTGAAACTGGCTAGTCAAGTTTATACAACTGGTATGATGTATGCGTACATAATATGCATTTATAATAAATATAATTTAAGACTGCAAACAGACAAAATTTGGCTGTTTCCAATCTGTTTTCAATTCTGAAATAACTTCGACGGCGAGTTTCGTTTTTATTTTATTTATTTATTAGATCTACCAACGTTTGCTCATATTATTTCATCCGTATATATAAAAGACATTACAATATAACTAATTAAGGTAAAAAAAGAGTTTGCTTCTACCGATTTTGGACTACGCCGATGTATGCCTTATCGATTTTAGTGAAGAGTTGCTCAAGAAACTTGAAAGATTACAGAATCTATGTATAATATTTGTTTACGGCTTACGTAAGTACGACCATGTTTCCGAATTTAGGCGTAAACTTGAGTGGCTCCCTATTAGATTACGTCGCGAAGTACATGTATTTACTCTCCTTTACAAGATTCTTTATGATCCATATACACCCTCCTACTTAAAGAAGCGTTTTCACTTCCTAGGATCAAACCACAATCGTGTACGTATCTGAGTCCGATAATGTGTTGGAGATTAATACTAGGTCGGGGTATTACCATGAGTCGTTTACTGTTAGAGCTGCCCGACTATGGAATTCACTGCCATCTGAAATCCGCAAGGCTGAATCAGTGGCCATCTTGAAAGCGTGATTGAATAAATTTTTCCTGGCAAAATCTTAGTACTTAGTTTTTTTTTGTGTAATGTATGTATCGTTATGAATGTTATGAGGGTAACTTTATATATATATATATATATATATTTATAAAGTTACCCTCGGTACACTACCTTTCTACATTCCAAAATTGTGGTTGTCTGGAAGAGATCGCTTTTAGCGATGAGACCGCCTTTGCCCACTTAAAACCAAAAATTATATGTAAATTGTTATTATGCTGTGTGCAATAAAGTGTTAAATATATAAATAATAATAATAAAACATCTAAAGGTGTAATATGCACCAATCCAGCACCGGTTCAGTGAAACATAGCGCCCTTGGCTATAAACACTGCAAGTTGGCTCGCTAGGCAAAATACTGGAACTTGGTGCTATAGGCAAAACGCTAGAACGACGCCCTAGGCAAAATCACAACAAAATAAAATACTTATGTGTTATTTTGCCAATGACCAAAGAAACTCCTTGTTCTGAAAATTTCGTACTTTAGAACACGGTGGACATGAGTCAATTTTTTAAGGTGACTGCATTTGTAAAGTTCAAATAATACGGGCTTTTTCTTTACTCATCTTAGAGTCTGAGTAATGTATATTCTTAATTGTTTAGTATTTTTTAAAAATAAGAGAATAATTCGAACATTTTGATGGAAACTCTGAGATGGAATTCGAAGACTGCCGTGCCAGAGTGGATTTTGTTAGCATTTTTTATTAAGAATATTTTGTCAGTATAGCATTGTAAATGCAAAATTGATCAAATATAATAATAATAATAAAGTTTACAAAGAGTCGACATTCATGTAAACATAAGAAAGAAAAATGACCACTAAAACTCTTTTGAATGAGTAGTAAGTAATAGAAGTTGAATAGTAGTTAAAAAAGTGTGATACCAAAGTTTTTCTGCGAATTTAAAAGTGATTATGACTTTTTTAAAGTTATTGGTTTAATAGTGGTTCGTAGGAATTTGACATGGGCTAGCGATTACTCACTGTTATTTGTGGACAATCCCGTCGGCGCTGGTTTCAGCTTCACCGATGACGACAAAGGGTATACTCAGAATGAAGATGAGGTGAGTTTAAAAATTAAATATTTTTCTCTAAATAAAATAGTATTTACATTGAGAAATATGCTTATTATGAGATAAATATCAATACACCATTCTAAGTGTAAAATTTATAAAGATTGGTAATTAAAACTGAATTGAAAGAAACAATTCTGTCCGCTGTAGAAGTATACTTAAACATCGCGTATATTCCCTTTGATCTACACCGTAGGGGAGAGCCTTGATAATAAAAACGCTTAGTAGTAGCAAGGAAAATATAAAATATGTAAAGTAAAAAGTATGTAATTGAAAACTCGAACTAAGCAGAGCGGTCATCGGCTGTAGAAAGAACAGAATATCGATATTGTATTAAGATATATTTAATTGGTTTCTTTTTATAGGTTGGTGAACAATTGTACGAGCTCCTAATACAATTCCTGGAAATATTTCCAGAGTTGAAAACAGCTCCACTATTCATAGCTGGAGAGTCGTACGCTGGGAAGTATGTGCCGGCTCTAGCCATTCAAATACACCGAAGAAATCGCGAAAGCAAGGAAAGCGAGACACCTATTAATCTAAGAGTAAGAGATATTTGACTTTTGCTGAAATAATATTAAAATTGATTTTGCTTTTTATGAATGAGTAAGCAATTGGAGATATAAGCATCAGAGGCACAGGTCTTTTATGATGCAAATGTACCATAATATTATATTTGGTTTAACATACCTTCGTATATACCTGTACCATAGAAATAAGATTGTATTTTACTCGATTATTTATAACTGCGATGGTACTTCTCAGCGATATAGTATTTAGATAAGAGTCATATATACGTATAGTTTTTTATTACACAGCCCATTTCGCTAGTTGCTTTTGATGTGTAATAATTTTTATATCTTGTGGTGAGTGATTTTTAATTGATAAACCTTTTAACCTTACTTTGAATCTTCGCTGTCCGTATCGGTATCGGCGATACATTTTTATAATGAAAGCTTTTTCAAAAAAATTAACCAGTTATAAATAATAATTATCTCAAAACTTATAATGACTTATTCAAGAAAGTATCGAAGTTGGGCGTAGGTTTTATGTAGGTTACTAATTAAATGATTGGCACCCGACTTCAATAGCATTTTCTTGAATAAGTCGCTTATAAGTAAAGTATTATCTATCACTTTAAAATTGTAATATTTTTTGAAAAAAGTTTTTATCATTAGAATAAAGTATTCCCCCCCTCTACCAATTAAACGGTCGTTGGTAAAAATTCAAACGTTACGGCAGTAGTAAGTTAAAAGGAAGAGTCACATTTAAGGTGGCTTTACAAGTTTACGAGTAATGTAGCACTAATTATAATAGTAGATCAATTTTCGAACAACTCCAAAGAAAACAGCAAAGTGATTATTTTACATTTTTAATGGATAATATAAACATAAATTAGATAAACCCTACGTGCGCCAATGGTTCAGTACCATCCGATTCGTCAATTCGCACTTGGTTGGTTTTTCTTTAGTTTAGATAGTGTCACAACGGAATTCGCATCGTTGACTTATTTCAATTTGCGCCTATATTTTATTTTACACCTAAAGTGCATTTTAATTAAATCCGTGTGTTTTGTCCCAGGGTTTATCTATTGGCAATGGACTTATTGACCCTCGTAGCATGATGCATTACACGGAGCTGTGCAGCGTTTTAGGGTTATTAGCAGGGAAGGACTTGGAGAAATTGAAGGAACTGGAAAATGCTTCAGTCACTTTACTAGACGAGCAAAGGATGGTGGAATCAGCAAATGTCAGTCCAAGTATATTGCGTAAAAACTGAGTTAATTAAATTAACATGTTCTTTGAATTAAATAAAATTTTACATTTCTTGATCAGGAAAGAAGTCAAACATTTATTTGCAAACTGTTGTTTTCCATTTCTAGAGTTCCGTACTAGAATCCAGAGCGCGATCTAATTGTTTGACCGCTTTGGGCAAAATTAATATTCGATGCCATTTATACTGATATAGATAAATAAGCCGCGTAATGTCACCCGCGTATGATGTAGCTTCCCTTAGGCGTGGACTAATTTTATTCGCCCATATTGAAGGGAAAGAGTTTTTAAAATCGATCCTGTAGTTTCGGAGTGAATTCTAATAATATAAATAATAAACAAGTATAGATGACAACTTCTGAATAAATATTAGTAACGAATAAAAAAAAACAATAGGTAATTTAAGTTATCTCTTGAATTAAAAACTATCAAGTGATAGTTTTTCACTTGATAGTTTTAAAAACTATGTGTTTATTTAACTATCAAGTGATAGTTTTTTAGGACGAAATTAGATGGCGCAATAGCGCCCTCGATCTGCGATACGTTTGTTAAGCAGTTTTAGCAATGGCCGGTTATAGGACGGGTGACCAACATTTATTCCGTATCTCGGAAGGCACGTGCAGATGCCTTCCGAGTTACGGAAGACGATGCAGAAAGGTCCAACGTCTTAGTTGGACCTTTCTGCATCTGCAGTCATTAATATCCACTGATAAGCACTGGGTTCGCGTAGTGGGTCGTGGCATGGATAATTATCCCAATTCGACTTCATTGTATTCTATCCATAGTGAAGGCTTGAGCTCCAGCAGTTAGTCTGATGGTGATCACTTCTTCAAGTTTCAGATACATAGTGAATTTTATAACATTTTTCTCCCCAAAAGGAAAGGGTCTTCATCCATTGAAGACTGACCACCCCATGCCTTCCCTAATTTTTACCGCCCTGAGGATTGACTGGCTTGTCGTTGTTTTAATTCGAGGCCTGAGGAAACCCCACATAATTGTCTATTGGCTTTGTTCTTATGTTATAAAATCAACGTCGAATATATTTAACCTTTTTTTTGTGAAAAAGCTTAAAAACCTCTAAACCTTAATTTATTGTTATCATCGTTTATTCACAGAAATTCAACGAAACTATAGAGTTTATTAAGAAAAAGAGTGGAGTAAGCATTTATAACTTCAACCGAGATCCCACATCGTCCAAGACCCCAGAATTTGAGCTGTTCGTAACGAAACCTGAAGTCCGACGTTGGATCCATGCAGGATGTGCAAAATTCGACTTTAATAACCAACTCGTTTACACAAAAATGTTGGTAGACTTTATGAACACTACAAAACCGTTCGTTGAAGAGCTGCTGGAACAGTATGGGGTTATGTGTTACAGGTTTGTAATTTTTTAGATTTCCGTACTCAGAGTCTAAATACATTATTACTATGAATCCGCTGCCCATATGTGAATAAACCGTGACATTATTTGATATTATAAGAGGCTATGCAGTTCTCTAAGGAACTGTAGGCACTGCGACCTTGAAGTTCTATTGTGACTCGCTGCCAGAGCTATAGTAACTCCTTTAGCCCGGTAGAACTTAAAAAGTGTATAAAATTCCTGTCTTATAGAGATTTTATATCTTCTGGGCAGATTATATGTCATCCCAGATGTATGCTTCGTTTGTGGATAGTGGTCCACATTCACACAGGAGATGTTTTGTTCCTGTTTGCAATATCTGCAAATGTCACTGTCACTTAGTTTCATGTGAAATAGGTGTCTGTTTAATAATAATAATAATAATAATAAAATACTTTATTGCACTCAATATGATACATAGTTTACAAAAAAGCTTAATATCTAAGAGATTGAGTAAACAAATGGCGGCCTTATTGCTAAACAGCAATTTCTTCCAGGCAACCTAAGGTGAAAATGGATAAAAAATAAAGATACTATGGGGAGTGGGTGCAATATAGAGAAGGATAAATAAATAAATAGCGTTAATATATTATAATAAACAAAAAAATAAATGTATACATATGAAATGAATTAAACAGTTTAATAGTGAAAGAATAATATGAAAATAGTTTTAAGATGTGGAAAGGAAATAATTTCTAACTTCATCGCTAAAGGATCCCAATGATCGAGCCCTCCTGATACCCTCTGGAAGAGAATTCCACAGACGCACAGCATGCACAGCAAAAGAATAAGAATAGAAATCTGTATAGTGACGAGGGATTTCGAGAGTGAGGTTTGAAGAGGAACGTAATGTACATTGTGATGAAGAGGAGCGAAAAGAGAATGATTGTTTAAGATATGGTGGAGATGATGGGAGGAAAAGTATAGAGTAAAGAACCGTGAGAGTATGCAAGTCCCTGCGTCGGCGAATAGGAAGCCAATTTAACTTTGAACGGTAATACGACACATGGTCATATTTTCGAAGATTGAAAATAAATCTAATGCATACATTCTGCAGACGCTCTAGTTTGGTGAGAAGTTCTTCTGAGAGATCTGTATAGCACACATCAGCGTAGTCGATAATAGACAACATTAGGGAATGTGCCAAAGTGATTTTGGTACTGATCGGCAAAAAATTACGCAGACGACTCAGTGAACCATACGCAGCAAACACCCTCTTTCTGACTGATTCCACCTGAGGCTTCCAAGAAAACTGTTGGTCAAAAATAACTCCAAGGTTTCTGACTGTTTCGGAATAAGGGATAACAGTACCGTCGAAAATGATAGAAGGCAGCTCACTAAAGTCGATCCGGGAAACGAAATGACGACTGCCTATTACTATAGTTTGAGTTTTAGATGGATTAACTATTAGACCGTATGATTTACTCCAGGCACTGATAAGTGACAGATTAGAATTAGTAACCAAAACAGCCCTCGAGAGGCTAGTTAACGGTGCCTGAGTATAGATCTGGAGGTCATCAGCGTAAAGGTGATAGGAACATGAAAGAGACTGTGTGATGGAATTTATAAAAATAGAAAAAAGCAGAGGAGATAAGACGCCACCCTGAGGAACACCGGCATCAATATCACACCACGCAGACACTGTATCGTCAACACGAATACGTTGCCGGCGCCCTAGCAGGTAACTTCGAAACCAATCAATTGCAGCCGGAGATATATTAAGAGAAGCCATGACACCGAGAAAAATGTCAAAATCAACGGAGTTGAAGGCGTTACTAAAATCAAGTAACGTTAACAGCGTGAGCTGTTTGTTCTCCATACCCCATCTAATATCATCGGTAATCTTAATCAGCGCAGTAGTAGTGCTATGGCCCGAACGGAAACCAGACTGAAAAGGATTGAGGATTTGGTTGGAAGTAAGGAAAGCAGTAAGCTGCTGAGAGACAAGTTTCTCAAGAACTTTGGAAATAAAACTGCTCTGGTCCTGTTTGTAGTACTTATACTCCAGCCCTTGCTAATCCATCCACTTTTCCATTGCCAATATTGCCCGAGTGTCCTGGTATCTATTTAAAAATAATTTTATTCTTTTGCCCAGTTCTTTCAATTTGTCAATATAGTCCTTTACCAGTTTCGAACTTATCACACTCCAATATATGGCATTGAGTGCTGCTTGACTATCAGAACATATATAAATGGTCGGATTTTTGTCGTTTTGTTGGCGATTAGCTTCCACACATTCAAAGGATGGCCTACACTTCAGCCTGGAAAATAGTAGCGTTTATCCCAAGATTCACAATTTTGTTGAATTTTGGTCCTACATCGTATACTCCACATCCTATATTATGACCCATTTTGGAGTTACCTATGAACCAAACTAGGCTTCCTGTTTTGCAGAGCTTGCAGAGCTCGTGTGCCTCTGACCATTCCTCTTTGCTCGATATCTCCAGTGAGTTCTTTCAAAGATACAAAACGGAGTCATGATGTCTGTGGTCATTGCTAGAGGTGTGTTCTAAGGATTGTTTGATATTGAGATCTCAGTGCTTGAGAATGCCAGTTCTATTGACTAGTAACGCCTAATCTGTAGATGCTAGCTTTCGCCTCTTTCATTATAAATAAATGCAGAGGCGGTAAATTGAGCAGGGCATTAAGAGCGTCTCCTGGAGTGTTAGACATGGCAACCGTGTTAGCAAGACAGTTGAAATTTTCACACACACACACATACACACTCACACACATACACTCCCACGCACACCTCGTTCTTGTATGATTAACCTAATAGAATAATTTGTAAATGTTAAAAGTCTTATTATTTTATCTCTCTTGTTCTTTTGGTATTTAATTTCTTAGTCTGCATAAGCCAAAATGTAATACTTAAGAGAGCACTGACTCCTGACCTGACTAATTTGGAAGACTGGGCAAATTGATTTGTTACGCTATTAAGTTACTTAATAAAGAAATTATTATTTTTATGATTATGTATATTGGTGAAAACCGAATTAAAAATCCGTTATGTACTTTAAAAGGTCTCAGCGTACATCTGTACGCGTTTAAAGCGACTTTGTGTCTAGATATGAATGACGTTTTTCGGGTGTACCTAATTATACTTACTTATTTTGGTTATAGAGTTACAACAATACACCAATAAATATTTCTGTTTTTTACTCGTTTCAGCGGTCAACTGGACGTCATCCTTCCTTATGGCGGCTCCCGATACATGTACCGCGACCTCCATTGGACCGGCCGTAATAAATACGACGAGGCACCAAGAAAGCGTCTGCGCGGCACCGACGGTGGTGTTGTTGGGTAATAACCACATATTTTCTGGTTGATTACATTTAGAGCACTCCCAATGTGATCAAGTATTCTGTTTAAATTTGATAATAAAAACATAGTTTAATAGGTTATTTGTGTACGAATAAAACGTTCATAAACGTTCTTCAACTTCGATAGTAGGTTATAAAAGTACTGTTGACTGTAATAGTTTTGGTAACATCTAATGAATTAATGTTGAAAAGAAAATTTTGGCTACTATCGATGTATCCATCTTCTCCAATCGAATATTTTAATACTTTTGGTGTCAGAATGTAGTTATAGAAAAAAAAAAATTTTTTTGAATATATCTGATGAATACAAGAATAAATCTTTCTAGGACAAGTTATTGAAATTAGCTATAACTCTAAAAGTTCTAGCTAGGACGCTGTCAGGCTGGCCTGGCCACAAATTTTGTATTTCCTCCATAATACATATATATTTTTTCAGATATAAGAAAAGTGGTGGAAACTTCGTAGAAGTGGTGGTCCGTGGAGCCGGTCACATGGTACCTGCAGAGGAACCTGAGGTACTCAAGTTCCTGTTAGATGCCTTTATAGAAGATTTCAAATAAAATAACATTAAAAATTTTCGCATTTTAATAAAAAATAAATTTTGACAATGTGGTTTTACCACCTCATTATTCACAGCCGTTACAACCATCATGACAAAAATATATTATCAATATAATTATATATATTACGAAGGCAATGATAGGCAATGATTTACAAAATTACATTAATTAGGTTACCGATAAAATTAATATAATATTAGCTAAACATGAAGTCAGTTTACTATAAAAATTGTAAGCGGAAAGAAGCCAGTCCACGAAACAAATGAACAAGTTTAAATTATTCTCCTTATATAACATTGATTTTTTACGAGTTTTTATTTATTATTATGTACATTTTGGGCACTCAAGACTTTGATTTCATTGCGCCTGTTACTGAGAAGAATTATAGTTGAAGACATTCCTTAAAAAGTATGCAGAAGAATTTTACTTTAAAAAGCGTTTCTACTTAACTTTACAACGAATTAAATAGATTGACTGAAGATATTTTAAATCATGCAACATGCAAATAATAATATATTAAGTTCATTAAGCAAGTTAAGCATTCAAAATGAACAATTAGTTTTAACCAGCTTTAATATAAATAATTCAATTTATTGTTGAAACCTTCATTTGTTTATACAGGGTTATTAGAACAAATCAATAACCTAGTAGAACTAAATAGTTAACAACTGAATAGCTTATTGCATTCTGCTGTTATGAATATGGTTTGTGCAATCGTTGTATTTTGCTTTCATATAAAGACTAATTTTAATTCGATTACCTCTCGATTGTTAATAGCTTTACCCGCATCTAGAATTCAACGTGAAGATACTTATATAACTCGCGATATAAGCTGTATCTTTCGTCTATGAATAATATATATCCCGACAGTACAAAGAAAAAGTAACTTTCATTAAAATACTAAGTTTTAGTTAAACTCATAATTCAAATGCTATTGTTTAAGATGCTATTATACAGTTCGGCGAGATTTCCGGTGTTCTACATATAATATCCCTGTATATGATTTCTTACCGTCTTATTAAACGAAGAACTTTAGTACCAGGGGTGCCACTGACTAACTCTCTAGCCATAGGTCTTACATCTTAGCGATATTATGGTGAAATTCTGTTTCATTTTACTACTTTGAAAAGTACTTTAATAACGACGAACGATAGAGAATGATGATTATGGATTTGATAGAAGTTTTACCAACTTAGTCATTTATCTTAGTGGATTAACCATCAAAAGATATGTCAAATTGTAACATGAAACGAAATATCGTCATCGGCTAAATGTTGTATGCCTAGAATTAAAGATAGAAAGTTAGATGTTCACACCCCTGATTGATCGAGTAATGGGTAAATTATTCCACAAATTGGCGTTATATTTTTCATCATTGTCGTGTGACAACTGGGTTAAAAAGAAGATATTATATTTAGTCCATTAGTCATATAATAGAAAAATAAAAGATACGTATTTTTTTTTACTTCTATTTAAACAAGAAATGGCTTAGATAATAGGCATTAAAGTTGAGGAGTGGGGGCTCGCTACGTCATAGTTTTGTAGAAAATGTACAAAAGCGTGACGTCATGCGATAGTTTATTTATGCGTATCGCCGTAATTTAATGTTTACGCAGAAAAAAAGTTTAAAATTTTTCTTTAATCAACCTGACCGACAAACATACAAAAATGATTCTTCATCCCTATTTAGTCGAGTCGAACAATGGTTTAAACAAAGAACTAATTGCAGACCTCGTTTTATAATAATCGGTAAGAGTTTAGTAAATAAATACACACTTAATTTAATTAGATCTTTCATATACTAAAGATCTATTGGTCCATGTCCGAATTGAGACGGAATATATTGGATATACTAAAAGGCATAACTAATTCATGGTAAGCACACCGTCTTCTAGCGAAGAATTGTCCACCATGCTATAGAAGTATGTCTCCGTTCTTTTCTTCCATCTCACCCAGTAGATCACTCCTAATATGATGATGAGCACTAATATAACGTTCAGGACAGCACTGGCTATAATACCGCTCTTGGATTGTGCAGTGGAAGATGTGGTGTCGTTTGTATCATCAGTATACGGTGGTGTTTCAATGTCACTCTCTTTGACGTTGGTTGGCAGTGGAAAATCAATACCCTTTATAAAGTGAGAGACCATTTCCTTCACTTGTGATGGTTTATCTAAAGGTATTAAGTGCCCAGCACCTTTTACTAGTACCTCGGTGAGGCCACCGCCATTTTTAACGTATCTGTAAAAATCAGAGTTTAGTCTTAGCGTTGCTGTTTTATTGGGTTGCCTGGTATATCTCTAGTCCATACTAACATGAAATAGAGATTTGATTGATTGTTTGTTTGCAATGTATAGGCTTCAAAACTACTGGAGCGACTTTATGATTACTTTCACGTACGGGTAGCTACATAATATGCAGATAACAAAGGCTATAATTTATATAGGCTAAGTCGCAGGAAAACAGATAGTCTATTCTATAATATTGTAAAGAGAAATGATTTGATTGTTTTCATTGAAAAAGTTCCAAAACAACGGGAAATTACGTCCTATGCGTGAGATAGGCTATAACGCAGGAAAAGTCATGGGAAAGCAGCGAAAATAGCACAATTTTTATGTGTATGAGTATCGAATTTTTGTTCGCGAAAATATCTAAAAATACGGCTAAAAAAATGTCAAAAAGCGATTGTCAATTTATAAGTAAAAACTGTTAGAAGCATAACAATATCGGTACACCCACCCGGCAACACTGTTATTGAACCACCACGGAAGACGAGGCGCTTTCAAAAAGTCGTCCCGGTGACTCCAGTGCCAGTTCTTTCTCCTACCTTCAGCGTTAGGTACGTAGGGAACAGTAAGGTCCAGTTGACCGCTGTAAAAAAACAAATCATCAAAAATTAACGCTAATGCAACATTCATTAACTTATATCTATACCAAGATATACTGTCAGTTGCAGAAACGTCCATTTAAATGACATTAGTTTAAAGGGACAACCATTAGTAGGTTAAAAAATTAAATTATTATAGTACTTTATGTATGCTTATATGTCATTCGCTATCACATCGTATACTTAACGTAATCTATCTGTGATTACTTATTGGGATCAATTGTACTCTAGGAAATTTCTCTTAGATTCTACTTATGATAATGTAATTATTCCGTATCAATAGAGTTCCAATAGCAATTGTGACACAGTTTTTATCATTTTATTGCAAGATGACAAAAGGATCTGTCATCATTGATTCATTAAGATGCTATTTAAACTTTTAATATTTGGCGTTAGGTAAATAGTAGTGTTAAAGTGCAATTATTATTGAAAATTAAAAAAAAGACGCAAAAATTATAAATTCAATAAGTGGCATTATTTTGTTACGTTAGCAGAGTCCCTTGATCTAGTCTGGTAGTGTTAATAAAAAAAAAAACTTAAAAATGAACTAGAATATACTTGAAATATAAGCGTATACCTAATATTCTTACCAAAAGATTAGTATCTTGTAATGCTCTAGCAATTCTTCCACTTTAGAACTGGCCCTGACCAAAAAGTCTGGTATTAATTTCACATGGACTTCAGAGTTGGAAAAAATGAATCTTCTATGTCCAACGTGGATAGCGTCTGCTATCTCTGGTCTCTGCAGGAATTCCATGAAACTTTCCAGCGCGACGTCATCTGTTAAGACGTTGTAGGATTGCCTTTGATAGGTAAGTTCCGTAATACGGTCTAGGAGATCATTGCGTAACTGTAAAAATAATTTAAATAGATGTAATATAAAAAGCAAAGAGGATTGGTCGATCTATCAGTGCACGGTTTAAACTACAGTAGAGTGATTCTACAGTAGAGTAAAAATCCGAACCTGAAATTCCAAATTCACTTCGGATTAATATTATTATTGTAGAAATTATATATTTTTTGTATAACAATACAAAACAAGATTGATTGATTCATACGTCTCTCAGACATCCTATTCCTGTTCTTAATACAAAATGCTTAAAATCCACTTGGTCCCTGGCACCCTGAGATGGGAATGATTTTTTAAGCATTTTGTATTAAGAATATGTTTAAGTATAGCATTGTGAATGCAAATATAATATCCTATTCCTGTTATTTCGAAACTCACTACACTTATGCCACGAAACGTTAATACCAATTCAAGGTTAAGTGGAAGTTTTCTAAGTAATTACGGACATCTGAGTCATTTCGAATTCGGGTTCGGATTTTTACACAATCGCTCTGTTGGACAGATCCAGTTGAGGCACACTGATAGTTATTATGAGATAGAAGCTTTTTGAAAAATTAAATTAGATCATATAAGAGTTCCACTTTTCCTTTTTCGCTACGGAATCATAAAAAAGTAGGGTAACAAAAATATAAAAACAAATTACTTTATAAGCTTCAGCGTTATTGTTGTCAGCGACGGCTTTTTTGTACTGCTCTTGCAGTGGCTTTACGGCAAGCATACCCTGGTGGTCCAGCACACCCCATTGGTAAAACGCTGACGCTAGGTCCACTGAATCGCGCCGGTCTATCAACGGACTTCCCATCATTAAACCCTGGAATGTTTAAAGAAAATAACATAAGCTCGTTTTGGAAAAAGATTCGTCTAATATCTAAACGAATAGTCCGTTTCAAACTACCCACATGATGTTTTAGTGATCTACATTGTGAATTATATCTTAAAATGAAGCGTACTCATATAATATCACTTGACTTGTTAGGTTCTTTTGAGGTCAGTAAAATAAGAAGGTAGAAAACCTTAGACTTTTAGCCAATAAAATCAATACATGACGCCTAGAAAGGTATTTCCATGAGGAACCCTTCTGAAATCGATACTTCTACTGATCTTTTTAATAACCCCTTGTATAGGCATCATGATTTCCTTAGTTTTATAGATACACACAGCACGACATATAAATTTAAATTATTTCCAATGAATCTGCTACCTTTAGTTATCCGGGACATACCATTAAGTTGATCGATGTGTCTTTTATAGAAGATCTCTGTAGCTGCGCTGGTGGGTGTAATATTTTGTGCGCTAGGGCGGGTATGAAGTGACCAGCGTAGGACTCTCCAGCAAGATAGAGAGGTGCGTGGCGGTGCTCAGGAAATATCTCCAGGAATTGTTGGAGTGCTCCGTACAACTGCTCTGAGCACTTAAAGGAAGATAATTCGTTAGGAGAGAGGAGCTTGATGGCGCTGGTTATGCAAATTTCGCAAGAGCTGGTCACGGGGTTGGTGTCTAAAGATTTGTTATATCGCGAGCTCCTCCTTGCTTCGGAAGGCACGTTTAGCCGTTTAGTCACGACTGCATCTGTAGTCGTTAATACCCACCAATCCGCACTTGGCTCGCGTGTTTGGTCACGGCACATTCTCCTTTTTTTATTTTATTTGATTCCATCCATAGAGAAGGCCAGAGCCCAGTACTGGGGACATTAATAGGCTGTGGATGATGTCCTATGTATTAAATTTTACATTTCTAGAAATGACTACTGTAAGATTTAAAAAGTAATTATATAACTGGATATTCAGTGAATTAGATATGTAGAATTGTTTCAGTTTTAGTTTATTGTATATTACAGGCCATTACATGAAAAATATTTAGTCGTCTAATGCTTACAAGGCCGGAATTTGCTAGTGGTGGTTGCCGATATTAACTTTAACAATTAAAGCTTATATTTATATAATGTTATAGAAAATTGATGATTTTCAACAATACGACAAAACATGATTTAGAAAAGTTGGGAGTATCGATATTACAAGTGCCTCCTGCAGGGAAGTTAAGCTTCTGCTTAGACCAACCAATCGGAAGACGGGATCCTTTTTTCTTATTGGTTGCCTTAAGATTTGGTAACAAAACATTTTCTTTCTTATTATAAGACAACCAACTTAGTTATAGCAGGTTTGAACCATTATTCGACCAAAATAAGTGAACATTATCGATTTGCTTTTGACGGCTAATGGTTTAAACTAAGTACTAAATTTAGTCCACGGTTTATAATGTTTAGTATAGTGGGTAAATTGACTTACTTCATCCATATTATGGACGTATCCGTCATTGCTCTCTGTGAAACTGTACCCTGCGCCCACCGGGTTGTCAATGAACAACAGGGAATACTCCTTACTCCATGACGAATTGCGTACTGAAGTAAATTTCAAAATATAATAGAGTGAGATCTATTTAAACGTCTAAAAGTGTACAAAATTATATGGCAACATGGCACTTGGTTTCTAAAGTGAGAATTTAAAGTTAAGAACGTTTCAAACTGTACTTTTAAAGTCAAACAGGTTTTCGTTTCTGATTTTTTCATTTTCAATTGATAACAGTTTGATGAAACTAGGATTTGTTGATTTGAGAAACGTAAAAACTTAAGTACTTATCTCAATTCAGATACCGTCTTATAGATAGCTTAGCATAGCGTAGAGGAAATATTTGATTGTGCAAACGAACAATCAAATCTTTCTTCTGTTTAAGTAATATAAGTTAAGAGTAGATTTAGATATGCGTTAGTCTCAAAATATTAACGCACTTAATTAAGTAGAGTGATATTTTCAAAGGTAAACTATCAAAAAAGGTTGACTCATTGAACAGTTGCTTCTGCATAAGAAAAAGTCAAATTTAACAAAAAAGTTTGATATCCAATTACGTTGCTGGGCAAACAGCCAGTTGCACAAACGTTCATTAAAAATCTTTTAATTTAACGCCACATTAGGGGAGAGCGGGCTGGTTTTAACGGGGGTAAGAATTAACAAGGTTATTCCCGCCAAACGGGCAGTTCTATTAATGTGGTACTAGGTTTAGAAGTACAATGTACGTAGCCGAACGCGTCCCGACTGGCCAGTTGCGGGCCGGTCGTCGCTTGTAATAGTTGTGCGTAGCGACCTCGGATTGACAGGTAAGTGAACTTTTTTTGCCTTGCAATAAATTGATTTGTAATTAATTTATTCTTAGAATCGATTTAATGTGTATCCTATATCGAAGTCTACTTTATTGACAATGGCACTACATTTTTTATTTGTAATTATTTGCATTAGATTTTTTTTGTGACTATTAAAATATAAAAAGTTATTATGGGGCTAAAGTTAACAAAATGAGTGGGGTAAGTATTAACTTGTTAATACTTGCCCCGTGTGTATGCGGTGAAAGGCAAATGTTTTTTATTTTTTTTATTTTTACAGAATGCGAAATTACACAAGGAAGACTTCAAGGGAGTCCACGTCTCAAGAAGTTTATGATCTTGCAGCTAAGGAAGTTCTTGAAAATAATAGAAAATACAGAGATGTCGCCACTGAATACGATATTTATCATGTGACGCTGTTTAAATACGTAAAGAAAAAAAGACGGGCACTTCCTTGGAAGTGGGGTATAAAAAAACCGTTTAGTTTTTAATGCACAACAAGAAGCCATAATAGCAAATTATTTAATCCAATGTGCCAACATCTATTTTGGATTGTTACCTGATGACGTCAAGAAATTAGCCTACGAACTTGCCATTCAATACAAGATCGATAATATTCCAGAATCTTGGAATCGAGACGGAAAGGCTGGCAAAGATTGGTTTGCCAGTTTTATGAACCGCAATGCAACATTGTCTATTCGGAGTCCTGAAGCGACCAGCTTAAGCAGGGCATATTATGTACAAGTTATATTAAGGTTAACTAGACTATTATTACATTATTAAGATACTTAAAGACTGACATTAAGTTTAAAGACTGTGCTTTAACATAGGAAGGTTTGTAAATTTTGCCACTGTTGATATATCATAATGTTTTGCTGTACCTCATTGAGAATCTTTAAGACTGTTAACACTAAAAAGTTTACGTAACTTCCAAATATTAAGTTTAAAGTATTTTTACTAACTTTTGTAAGCTAAAAAAAAACAATGACTGTTGATTAGTGTAGTAGTAAAATATTTTTTGTAAGCAAAAAGAGAATGATTGTTAATTAGTGTTATAGTAAAAGAATATATATATTTATTTAAGTTCCTGTCATAAGAAGTACTCATTTGTTTAGTTCTAAAGATAATAAAAGCGTTTCTATTAATATGAATGAGATTTTATTTAACTCTCTTATTGAATTTATTCTCTGTTAATAATTGCCCCTTACGTTAATACTTACCCCAGCTCTGTTAATATTTGCCCCAAACACGGGGTATGTATTAACAAATGTTTTTTTTTGTTTTTATGATGACAACCCTGAAAGTACTTATCTAGTTCAAGATTTTTTTTACTAATATTAAAGCTAAAAAACCAAAGCAAGCTATGGATAAAAAATAAAACAAAGAAGTTCATTATTGTTAAAAATATACGACATAATACAAAATTTGTTAGTACCAGCCCCGCTCTCCCCTACCTATACAAATTTTCAAGTTTGGAACATTCATTAGAGCTTAAAGTCGTCATTAAACTTTAATAAACGTTTGTGCAACTGAACGTAAAGAGTAACATTTGCACGGTTGTATAAACACGCTTGTGTTCTGTTGTTTCAATTAAACTTTTTTTTTATATATTTGAACTAGCTTTATATATAAAGTTACTTTGGACAGCATTTTTAAAAACAAATATGTATTCAATGTACTCGGTGTTCAATGTAGTTTAATGTAATGTGTAGCTCGGTGGTGTAGTGGATAAGCGCCGCGGCCCGTGATCGTAGTCGTTAAGCAACTTTCGCAAGGGTCGCTCTCGGGATGGGTGACCAAAAAATTATTATCTCGAGCTATTCCGTGCTTCGGAAGGCACGTTAAGCCCTTGGTCCCGGTTGCATTTGCAGTCGTTAATACCCTCCAATCCGCATTGGGCCAGCGTGGAGGGTCATGGCCCGTCCTCCTTAACCATCCATAAGGAAGGCCTGAGCCCCTGCAGTGGGGACGTAAAAAGGGCTGATGATGATGATTATGATTATATTTAATATGTCGCGTAAAAGACCTGAATATAAAGTTTAATGATTTTATCTTTGAGAATGACGAACTTCTATTCGAAATTAAATTCCCTATGTCAACCCTTTTCTATACTGTCATTATTATTATTATTAAACAGAACAGATTTAACTGTTTTTGGTATGTTAAAGTATGTTTGTTTGTTTGCACCGAATAGGCTCTGAAAGTTTTGGACCGATTTTGAAAATGCTATAAAAATGAAGAGATGGAAATAGGAGTGGAAGTTTGTATGGGAAATTAAAACGTTGCCATATTAACCATTGTTTACTAATTACTTTGTCATTGTAATTACATCCGTGTCATAATATGAATGGATATTCAAATAAATTGTTCCCTAGGGACAATAAGCGATTGGCGCCATTCAATTAAATGACTAGCCGCCCAATTGAAAGGTGTTTTAACCATATGCGACATAAAGAAAATAGAAGAACCTTTTGTCTTTTGTAATTTTCTGTAAGCAGGTTTATTGATAATTACCTAAATTCAAGTACTACGAGTGTTTCATTTATAACAGGGTCAGTTGCACAAAGTTTAATGACAACTTTAAGCTCTAATCAATGTTTTTGATTCGAAAATTTGTATCGGTAATGTAGCTAATGACAATTATAATGGATGGTATGGAACTGGCTGATAGTGAGCCAAATGTCTGTGCACCGTTGAAAGTGATCGTAAAGCCAAAATACTGTCTATCTATTGGCGCCCGGCATCGGCAATGGGATAGACAGTGACAGAGGATAACGAATTACCGCACGTTAAAAATTGTCTGTAATAAATCCTCGCAATCTATTACGATCGTTAGAAAACTGCTGCATTTTATTTTCCATATAAAAATGTGTTAACTTAATGAAAAGTACCTAATAGATACACACGTTTGACTGTGAGAGTACCTTTAGAAATACATTTTTCTCATTTTAAATTGCAGCTATTTGGACGTATGTATGTTTGTAAGAATCCAATTGAAAGTTAATATATTATTATTTACCTATAACCATATTATTTTTATAAATTCCGAAAGTTTAATACAATTATGTGTGCAGGTATCATAAAATTATTTTCTTGAAATAGTTCATTACGGTATTTATATCGTGTAGGTAAGTACTTAATAAAAATAAGGTACGTACATGATAGAAATCCCGCAAATACTCGTAACTATTACTGGGGAATTCTCAATCTAATCATGTTCATAAAATAATTATCGGAAATTCCCTTGTAAACTCCCTCTACAGATTAGAGTCTGTGATTTATCAATGAGCAAATTTATAATACTAATATTATAAAAAGGAATTTTTGATTGATTGTTTGCAATGAATAGGCTACGAAACTAGCGGATCGATTTTAAGAATTCTATCACGTTTGGAAAGTTATATAATACGTCGATAACATGACTATAATTTACGCCGGCGAAGTCGCGGAAAATCAGCTAGTATATTATAAATAGTTCTATTCACGTCGTTCTAATTTAACATTTAGTTCGAGTGAAACTGATATGTTATTATATAAATATACATTACTACATTGTTAGAAACATCAACAACTTACATTTTAGTTCCTTATCATATTGAAATGGACCGATTTCAAGGAACAGCCCAGCGAGGCTTGAAGCTCCTGGTCCGCCTTGCAGCCATACAATCCATGGTGTGGCATTTAAAGGTTTATCAGCGACAGGGAAATACCAGAAGAACAGGTTAGTGTTCTTCCCCGCGTCTACTGTTAGGAAACCAGAATGACTGCTGACGTTAAGGAACTTGGTAGGATCCACTCGAGAGGCGGATCTGGCAGCATCCGTGTTGTTCTTCTCGATATAAGGAGTAAGGATAAGTGGGAACTGGTTGAGGGATGATTGACTGGTAGTGAGTGTTGCGATGCTGAAAACAATCAACAAAGGGCTTAGCCGGATACGTATGACGAGTCGGCCCCCAAATGGGAATCGATATTGAAACTTATGTTTTAATATAGACTTGATGTTCAAACACGATTTATGTACTTTTCGTGACCGACTTCCGCTTTGACCTTGAGATAGAGAGCAAAATATCCGTATGCTTGACTATTACTGAATGTGATATATCTCTGAAGCTAATTAAGATAAAGAAATGAAACTAACGTGAGGTGTTAGGTTACATTACAGAGTATATCACATATATTTTTTTATAATTTTTAGAATAAAAAATTACATTAAAAAAATAAAAAACATGTTTTTTTTTCTGAGTTCTCTGTGACTTACAATCACGAAATTAATATATGTTATGCTCCTTTGTGTGCTCTATCACCCATAAAAATTGCGTGAAAAAAAAGTTGGTGCAACACAACGAAAAAAAATAATATGTGATTCGCGTCTTGTAGTGTGAGTGTATAAACAAACAAGTTCGAACTTGTTATCGAGCTGTTTACTGCATCGTTTGTTTAGCAAAAGCAGCAGTCATTTGTATTACACAAGAAGGCAGTTTGGGACTCAAATTCTGTCATAGGTATTTTGTATCAGCATTTTGAAATTATTAACTATCGAACCAAATCATTATTAAGTAATAATGTCGAGAAAGTGTAAAAATTGTAACAAGTACCTGTGTAAGATTCCTGGTTATAAAAAAATTATAAAGAATGAAGAAGAAGCTAAAGTGTTTAGTGACTGTTTGAATAAAATCGTAATAGTTAATGATATTTTTTGTAAGAAGTGTCGACTTATCCCATATATTAACAAAAAAGCTTCTACTTCTAAATGTGCAGCATTTAACTTGGCCGAAATAATGGACGATCAAAATAATCTCTCAATACAATATGTGAAATCAGCACCTAATATCATCAAAGCAGAAGTAAAATCAAGACATATAAATAGAAAAGTCTATCGAATTTACATTCACTATATTTCCGAAGGTAATGACTACAATAGTATTCTTCGTTATTGCTGTGATTGCCCCAATGGCAAACGTACAGTGGGATGCTGTTCTCATGTAGCAGCTATTATTTATTATCTATCATATGGATGATATTTGTCCAAAATCGTACGTCCTGCTGAGGTCCTAACTAAGTTATTTGCGACTCAAAGTGTTCCAATTGTAATTAATTACAACAGTGACGATGATTAATATTTTGTTTCTTGTATTTTGATAGACACGAAAAAGTAATAATAATAAGTATTGAACACTGGCTGTTTTTTTTTTCATTTCTTTTTTAACTATTATCCCATCTCTTAAGACTAGTTACTTATGTTTTAAAACAAGCTGATGTTAAATTTCGAAAAAAAAAAACAATGATATAATGTGAAAACCTTATAATACAGGGGTATACCATAAGACAGAAATCACATATAATTTTTTTTCGTTGTGTTGCACCAACTTTTTTTTCACGCAATTTTTATGGGTAATAGAGCACACAAAGGAGCATAACATATATTAATTTCGTGATTGTAAGTCACAGAGAACTCAGAAAAAAAACATGATTTTTTTATTTTTTATTTTTTTAATGTAATTTTTTATTCTAAAAATTATAAAAAAATATATGTGATATACTCTGTAATGTAACCTAACACCTCGCGTTAGTTTCACTCCTTTATCTTAATTAGCTTAAGAGATATATCACATTCAGTAATAGTCAAGCATACGGATATTTTACTCTCTATCTCAAGGTCAAAGCGGAAGTCGGTCGCGAAAAGTACATAAATCGTGTTTGAACATCAAGTCGATATTAAAACATAAGTTTCAATATCGATTCCCATTTGGGGGCCGACTCGTCATAAGTATCCGGCTAAACCCTTTCAATTAAATTGGCGCCCTAGGCAAAATACTGGAACGACGCCTATTTAAAAAAAATCATAACAAAATGAGTACGTATGTGCGAATAAACAGTGGTTAGTTTGTCTATGAAAAAAGAATCTCCTAGTATAAAATTCTCGGACTCAAAGTACCTACTCTTTTAGTCTGAGAATTGTATACTAAAGCACAAAATAGTTTTTCAAATCATTCGGTGCAAAACAGATTATGCCCCACAAATACGAGCGTAGCGCCCTAGACAGTTGTCTAGTTTGCTTATATGGACGGGCGGTCCTCCTTTTAATTATTATATTAATTGTACTACCTAATAAAAATATTTTTTACACTTCTGAAGTTAGTTAAAGTGCGACATGGTAGATAGTAAGATCAGCCAATGTGTCGAATGATGGCGTAATATTCTAAAAGACAGCACTAAAAAGATTCTTCGATTTATCATTAAAAAAAATGTCTCTTGCAAATGTTTAACCACAAAGTTACTCAATTACTCATGTATTTAATATTTTATTACTATAACAATGTAGGTAAGATGAGAATAATAACACTGTTGAAGTTACACTCGATTTTGAAGTGAATAAATTAAGGTTTAAAAGGACCTGTCGCCAATTTTTGACCGTTTCAATTGTAGATTTGATGTAATTTGTATTTTTCAATTGGACTTTTAATTTCTTTGGTCCACCCTTAATTCTATTCATAATATTAGTGATTTGAATAATTTAATTAGGCAAGCGCCCTTTAATCTAACATACTAACATACTCAAATATTTAAAATCAATATAAATATTGTTTGGCCACTATAAATAAATAATTTGTCTAAAAGTTTCTTTTAATATTAATAGTAAGTATTAATATTATTCTAAATACGAAAGTGCATCAAATTAGCGCTACAATTTAGCTTAAAGCGCACCATTTTAGTTCAATTAAAGCGCAATAACAGATGTCTGTAAAAAATAGTTAGCAAAAAGTTTAATAATCACCGCTTACCAGAATAAAGTCGATATAATAATCAAAGACTTCATCATGAGGTACACTTAGCAGCGGTCGTCGCGGAAACGTAAACATGTAAGTTTCACGCTAGAGTGAGACAGTGGAAGATTTATTCGTGTTCGAGCGGGACACACTACATTGAACTGATAAAAATGCTATTTATAAATAAACACCTGCTTACGAATTTCTATCGTCACTTTCACCTTGCACTACATAATTATTGAATAAGCGTCTTTTAGAACTTCGGAATCTTTTTAAAGATCTCGTAAAAAATATAAAATTTTTGAACTTTGGCCGTATCAAAAACGTGTAAGTCCTCTTATTCCGTTCATTGCATACTGAGAATGAAAGAGTGAAGCAAATGTCGCTCGGTTCGTGAATGACTCAGTTCTTGCGTCATATACAAATGGTGGCATGCCGATTGCACGATTGTGTACTTTATTACCATAAATTATGACATAGAATTGGGAATTGTTCAATTCATATATAAATTTTTGTGAGTAAACATTTGAGTTTGTAGGGAGTGAAGTGACAGCAGCCATAGTTTTGCACGTGGGTATTGTGTTGTAGTATTCATTTGAAGTAAGGTATAATAAGACATATCATGAATTAAAACTTTATTGAAAGAATTAATTCCTACACTACATAATTTGTTTAAGATAAAATATTATGTAGTGTAGGAATGAAGACATTCAACCTAGCTAGGTCTTGAATTTTGAATCTAAACTTTCCAATTTTTATTGATAAGTAGTTTTTTGATGTGATTCGAATATTATAATAAAATATGTAAGTATAAGTATAATTAAAAATATTAAGAAATCAGATAAAGACCGGTCAAGCGCGAGTGGGACTTGCGCACTAAGGATTCCGTAACATTATCTATGAAAAACTATGCATTTTATTATATTTGTTGTATGGGAGCCCCCTTAAGTATTTATTTTATTCCGTTTTTGAGCACTAACAAAAATACAGCATCTGTGTTTGAACTGTCTAAGTAACACGGTTCATGAAATACGGCCTGGTGGCAGACTGACAGACGGATGGCCAGCGGAATCCCTTACGGAACCATAAAATCGAAAACGGATCGAAACTGAACAAAACTACAGTTTTTAATTGTTTTAATGGTTTATTTTGCAGCTAAAATAGAACTGGAATTGTATCGTATGTCACTTTGTAGAATAGAAAAACCATTAAAAACTGTAGTTTCGTTCGGTTTCGATCCGTTTTCGATTCGATTTAAACAAAATTTATTTAGTAGAATTGGCCCCCAGTATGGACCATAAATCGGCCGGCCAAACGTTCTCAAATAATAGCGACCAATTAAAGTACAGTTTAAAAGACAAAAACAACATGTAAATTAGTTTAGCTAGGTAAAAAACATAGTGAGATACGGTGGCTGAGGATGCTTTATTTGTGGCAGTACAACAACGCCGTTTTACTTACACTGAAAACCACAACGTATATTTTTTACTATAATACATACGATATGTCATATTACTAAACTAGTTAACTAGGTGTTTTACCGCAAACATTTTAACCGTATTACCCGTATATGATGCGGCTTCTCGTAGTAGGTGAAGTACCTACAGCTGTTATATTATAAAGCGATATACTCTGTCGCACTAACACCACGTTAAAAAGGATCTTATATTTTTATTATATAAATCTGTTCTTTTCTTGCCCATGTCTCCACCCTACTTAAATTTTATTTTTCCTTTCGCTTTCCTTATCCAGATCATAGTGTATTCTGTGGTCTGCCTCAAACCTGAAACTTGATATCCCTCCTCACTCCTCGGACAGCTTGAACAGAAAAAGAGTATTTTTCTGTTTTTGAACTCGTTACTCGGCTTTGGAACTCGTTACCAGAAAACATTAGGAAGGCTCGCACTTTCCGATCTTTCGTGGCAGAAGTAAAATGCCACTTTCTCTCCAACTTTTAACTCTCTTTTTCATGTACGTTATCTATTTTTCTATTTTTCTCTTTTTTTTTTTTTTTTTAGTTTATTTGGATCAACAAACAGTTTTACAATAGCGTTATAATTTAAGATATGATGTTCACAGTTTCATAATTGCAAAACCAACACCGTTAACCACAGGTTACTATAACTAGTTAAAAGTTGCACATGCTATCAGCCTAAACACTTACTAACAAAAAAGAACACTATACAAATATGACAATATATACTACTTTACGATGATATGGCATTGCGATTTAGTTAAGTTATTCTTTCTTTAACTAACTTTTTGAATTTTGTTTTGTTTAAATTGAATAAGTCCACGTCCTGTAAATAATCGTTATAAAATTTTGCTACTCGGTGCATTGGAGATCTCTTGCCTGCATTTGTTCGACATTTAGATATAGCAAACAGTTGGTGTTTACGCAGAGATCTCGTTTGCGCCCGGCTTGGTACTAAATAATTAATTTTATTTACTAATTCAGTACAGTCATACTCGCTGTGACACATGTTAAATAAGACAACGGCTTCCAAGTATTGCCGTCTAGACTTTAAATCTGTCAATTGGTACCGTTCTAATAATTCTCCATATGACACACGGGCACGTCTGCACCTATAATACATGGTTTTCATAAACTTTCTCTGTACCCTCTCGAGATCATCCACATATTTATTATAATACGGATTCCAAATACTCACTCCGTATTCTAGCTGAGATCTTACTAAAGATTTAAATAGATGTAAATAAGTAGATGCTTTTTTAAATTGATAACGAGATCGCATAACAAATCCATACATTTTGAATGCTTTGGTTATAATAGTGTCAATGTGTATGTCAAAATTTAATCTACTATCGAATGTCACACCAAGGTCCCTAACAATGGTCACCTTTTCCAAAGTACTTCCACATAAAGTATATGTAAAGTTAATTATATTTTTTTTTTTAGTAATAGAGATAGATTTACATTTATTCAAGTTAAGACTCAATTTATTACGATTGCAGTAATAGGTAAATCTATCTAAATCCCTTTGTAACTTAACGTGATCATCGTGGTTGCGAATAGCGTGATATATCTTTAAGTCGTCAGCATATAATAAGAATTTAGAAAATTTAAAACACTCGATGATATCGTTTATAAATAAGATAAAAAGAAGGGGTCCTAAAATCGAGCCTTGAGGGACGCCAGAACTAATTAAATTTGCGTTAGATTCGCAACCACCGACGACAACTTTCTGTGTACGATTTGAGATGTATGACTTGAACCATCTCCATAAATTGCCACGTATGCCATTGTATGCTATTTTCTCCAAAAGTTTTTTATGGTCAACCCTGTCGAATGCCTTTCGAAAGTCCGTGTATACGCTGTCGGTTTGTACGTTACTGTCTATATTTTCAAATAACGTTGATGTGTATAACAATAAATTGGTAGTGGTTGATCGTTGTCGCACAAAACCGTGTTGCTCTTCAATGATACATCTATGGAGACATGGGTAAATGGCATCATGTACGAGTCTCTCGAAAAGCTTCGACAGGGTGGGCAGAATAGATATAGGGCGATAGTTTTCCACGTCTCTTTTGTCTCCAGATTTGTGTATGGGCACAATTCTCGCAGTTTTCCAGACATTTGGGAAATAACCTGTATGCAGACATTTAGTAAACAAGTAACATACAGGTACATGGATTGACTCTGCAGTACATCTAAGAAATATCGGGGGGATGTTATCTAATCCAGAACCCTTGGTTATGTCTAAGGCTTTTAATGCCTTTATTGTACTTTCAGTATCAATTAAAACATCACTAATAATAAATTCAGAATTAGGGTTCATGTGTATGTCACAATCAGTTATATTAAAATCATTAGATATAGAGGAAGGTTCAAACATTGACTTAAAAAAGTTTGAGAACAATTCACTTGCTCGTACCGGGTCATTGGCCATTTCATTCCCATAATATATATTTGAGGGAACTTCGCCGACATCCTTACGACTAGAGACGTATTTCCAGAAATATTTTATGTTTTTTTGGATATTTTTTTCTACACTCTGTATATAATTGTTGTAACAGATGACCGACTCATTTTTGAAGCGTTTACGATACATAGAATAAATTTCATAGTCCGAAATATTGTGATACTTTTTCCAATTTATCCATGCCTTATTTTTATTTTTGGAGATGTGTATTAGGGAAGTGCTAAACCAGGTAGGATAATGCGTTTGCTTTTTTATACGAGTGGGAATACACTTACGAATAATACTATAAATTGTTTCGTAAAAAATGTGTACAGCGCTATCGGTCGTTCGATTTTCAAAAACATTGTCCCAACTCACAGATGAAATTTCGGAGTTTATTTTGTCATAATCTGCACTTTCGAAACAAATACGGGTTTGCACCTTACTTGACATTTGTTTTTTATGGGTATCTAACGTAACTGTAGCGCTAAATGGTGGATGATGGTCGTCAGCGGGGACTAACGGGGCCGCCGCAGGTGTTATTGTAATTGTTGTTTTATTACTGATAAAAAAGTCCAGTATTGAATCATTTTTATTCTTAATGTAGTTTAATTGAGTACAATTTTGTGAGTGCAAAATATGTATATATATTTAATTCCTGTCGCTTTTGCACCTACTCCCCGTCATAATTTATTATTATTTATCTATGTTTCTATATTACCATTGGTTGCCTGGAAGAGATTGCTGCATAGCAATAAGGCCGCCTTTTGTATACTGTCTGATCTTTTTCTTTCTTTGTAATGTATCCTATATTTTTGCAATAAAGAATATTATTATTATTATTAAAATGAAAATTAATTGTACGTGTCGGCGGGTAGTCGGAGGACAATCTTTAAAATACCACTGCAGGCGTGTATACTAACGTGGATTTGTTCCATTTTATCACTTTGATACGAAAATATAACGAGATGAGCTTGATGTCGTCGGATGTCTTTACTCGTCGGCGATCGGAAACAGAATGTGTGCGAAAATGGTGGCAATTTGGTTTTTGTTAACGAACTGTCAAAGAAAAATTAAAAGTATCGATGATCACGTTCTCTCTGCAATCGAGTAATTAAGTAATCGAGTAACTAGCAGTTAAAATAAAAGAAACTAAATCAAACGATCTTCGTAAAGATGATGCGACATATGTATTATGCCATATTATAACTTATAGTTGCCTCGTATCTATAGTCTAGTAGAAGTAATTAATTGAATAAAAGTAATAACTTAAGAAAATATTACAACTCTAAAAAGTTAAATAACATTATTAATATTATGCTATTGACTCACTGTTATATAATTCTGTTACTTCACTCAAATTCTCGTATATTTATTAAAAATACTTACTTATGTTTTTATATTAATTTTAATCAAGTAATTATTTCTTCTCGACTATAGATACGAGTATAAAATTGGATTAGAGCAAACAAACAAAAGGAGTTAATTATAGGTTATATTTTGTCAAGGGAAATAGTAATAAAGCACTTTTAATGGTTTTTTATTTTTTATTTTTCCAGTGTATCTAATTTTTTTTAATACTTGTATAGGTAAATTTTTGTAAATATAATTTTTATTTTTATATTGTACACGTGACTAGTTGCTTAGATTCTCATATATATATTTTTAATAATGCTAATGTATCTTTCTAGGCGTCGGTTTCCGCTTCCGCTTCTGCTTCAGCACACAATACGATAGTAGGTAGTGGTGTACGCACTTCCGCTCGTCGTAAAACCTGTAGGCAAGTTGACAAATTTCTACAATCGAATGTTATTTAACTGTAATAAGTTGTTAGAAGCGCGATCAGCGTATTCAGTATGCGATGTGGATGTTAATTATCTTTCGCAAGTGTTAGTAATAGGACCGGTAACCAAAAAAATATTAACTCAGGCTCCTCTGTGGCTCGTTAACCTTTGTACCAATAACTTGTTTATTATTTGGTTCCTTATACGCCCCTTGATTAAAAATCTAAACAAAAATGTAACTTTCATAAAATATCTCAAGTCAATTTGACTAAAACACCAACGAATGCCGCTGCTTGTTCTGTAAAACACAGAACAAGCAGCGGAAGAACCTCAAGTTGCTAAAACCAAAGAGCCTGTTAAGAAGGTAAACTAAATAAATTATTTATAATAATATAAACACCATTATTTTGAACAATAACAAAATAATTTAGTTCCATTCAAATATTCTTATTTATATTTAGACTGAACGTTCGTGGATGATTATGAAAGGCCGCAACTAGAAAAATATGATAAAGTGACAACTACACCAACAGATAAGACGAAAAAAGAAAACGGTGTTCACGAGATATATTTTAAACAAAATAATTTGAAAATAACTTTTTCCAGTAAAGTAGGTATGTTCATTAGCTTCTACATTTCAACTACTTCTACATTTAACATTTAATTTTACTTCTACATTATGAAATGAACTTTAAGTTAGGTAGTGATTAGTGCAAGTTGTGACTTACGTGAACAAAAGCTTTCATGGCACAAAAATTCTAATATTCATTTATGTCGAAAGTTCAAATATATCTGGACATTGAGCATGGCCATGGGTAAGTTGTCAGTATCTGCTTAGACTCAATAGTCAAACGGTTCCTTGTTCTATACAATGTCTATTGATCACGGAGGTACATTTTAGAGCCAATAATATACTATTGAACACCATTAGGTAATTTAAAGGCCCACTCCCAGCATGATGTGTTAATACTAGATTTTTTTTATAGGCAAGTCACTTAAGTTTTTATACACAATTGAATTATATCTTATATTTTTTTTTGTTTTAAAATCGGACTGCAGTTATCGTTGAATTTATGAGAGGAATAAAACTATTTTTCTAAATTGTATTAGTTCTATTATTATAGGAATTGAATCCGACACCCTAGGGCTGTAGGTGCTCAAAGCACCAAACTAGAGGGGTATAGCTTTCAGTCCTTTAGAAGAATCCACATTGCAGTTTATTTATATTCTTACAACAAAAAAAAAATATTCTGAATGAAAACTAAATTCCATAGCATTATGAATGCAAAATTTTTCAAATATAATAAATACAAAAAAAAGTTATTTTTATTTAAAGTGAGATGATATGAAATATTTCGTGCCTTGGCCCTTACCTACATTACATCATTAGAATATTGGTACGTGTATACGTACAAGTTCAAATACCATACAATATTATTAATTAACAATAAATACTTCACCTTGTTTTCCGATACTGACGACAATCTTCTTTTAGACAGAGCACTAGCTGATCTATGTCGTCTTCCTTCAACAGCTACACTGCTGTCATTACTTGAAACATTTGAGTGTCTTCTATTCCTATGTCCAGAGTTATCTGACACCAAACTGGCAGATTTCTTCGCCTGTAGATGGGCCAGTTTCTGTTTCGCTTGTCTGGCGGCATTCTCGCGTATTATCTGGTCGGCTCGTAATCGAAGTATTTGAGCAGCTTCCTTGTGGTGTTTAAGTGCAGAGTCTAAATCATTACGAGAAAGAGCGAAGAGGTTTGAATAGCCTCTCGACCTGTTGAATATAAAGAAAATTAATATTATATTAATCATGTATGGTCTTAGCAATCAAACATTTCGTGTAACAGAAATAAAAACGTGATTAATTCGGCACCACGTTGGGCGCCAAAAGACTGATGGCTGAATTTGAGTATGCCGTTATTGCTGTATAATTACCTTACAGTAGCAGTTCGGCGTCGTAATCCTTCTATGCCCAGTAAACTTATTTCACCGAACACCGAGCCTTCCCGCAGAGTTGCTAGCACTTCTTTTTCATCTTGTGACATCACCTGTTATAAGATATTTTATATATTTTTTTATATCATTTTGCTTTTTCACATAAACATTAAAAGTTAAATAGACTAATATTTTCTAAAATATTCTTTAGTCAAAAAATTGACACGGATTTCAGTTAAGGTTTAATAAAATAAAAATAAATGTTAAATACATTTATTGTAATCTTAATACTAAGCATCCGTATTCCATCAAAATACCCACATCTTTCAATCTCAGAGGACATTATTATTTATATGTATAACTTGTAAAAATACTGGAATGATAACTTTTAGATCAACTAATCGAAGCATATCCCTTAACAAAGAAAATGTGCACTTTTTTGTTAATAAATTGATTATACATGTCTTAAGAAAATTTATTCGTTTTAAATATAAGAAACACATACTCGTACATAAGTGTAAACTTACAAAGCATTCTCCAGATTTAATGATATACATTTGATGGCCAACATCACCCTTCCGAACGACTACATCGCCCGGCAGGAACGATACCGGTCGCAGTTGAAGTACAAGATCGCGAAGTAACGAGTCGGAGCAGTCTCGGAATAATTGCACCTATATACAGACAATAGTTTATGATTCCAACTTTATACATATTGTTTGGTATGTCAGTATTAAAGTATAATAGATTACTAAACACACTAAATATATTATCGCTGGAAAAATTGCGGCTATACATTTGTACATTTTCTACATAGTTGTGACGTGGCGACCCCCCACTTTTACACTTTAATGCGTATTATGTTGAGAAGTGGGGGGTGTTTAATGACCGACGTCTAAATATATAATCCTATTATGTAAAACCTTTTTGTGGAATATAATATGATGACATGCACTAATAAAAATGTAAAAAAATAAATAAAACCGACTTCATAGAAGTGTAAAATAACGCACGAAACTTCTGTAGTGGGATAAACGGTTTTATTTTTCTTTTGCTCCTTTTTTAAAGTCAGTAAAATTTTTAATCAATGAATAATTTCATCTAAATTTTTATAGTTGATAAGGGGCCATCCATAAATTACGTCACATGTGGGGGGGGGGGAACTATATTTAGTAGAATTTTTATAGACAAACAGGCGAGAGAGCGTGAAGGGGTTAAAAAACATGAATTTTGTTGACATAATTTATGGACGGCCCCAAAAATCTCAAAATCTCTTCACTGCCGCGCCATCTTACTTTTTTCAACCGAACCCACTTTCCTTTTACTAACCAGCCCTGTGATTCCGTAAAAATCCAAACCAGAATTCGAATTCACTCAGGTGTCCGAATTTACTTCAAAAAGCGGCATCCGTTCAACCTTGTATTGGTAATAACGTTACGTGGCATAAGTGAAGTTTCGAAATAGGAATATAATATCGGAGACACGTATAACCAACCGAGTAGCTCGGTAGCGTAGTGGATAAGCGCCGCGGCCCGCGGTCTTAGTCGTTAAGCAACTTTCGCTAGGGTCGGTCACGGGATGGATGACCAAAAAATTATTATCTCGAGCTACTCCGTGCTTCGGAAGGCACGTTAAGCCGTTGGTCCCGGCTGCATTTGCAGTCGTTAATACCCTCCAATCCGCATTGGGCCGGCGTGGAGGGTCATGACTCATCCTCCTTAACCATCCATAAGGAAGGCCTGAGCCCCTGCAGTGGGGACGTAAAAGGGCTGGTGATGATGATGATGATGTATAACCAATCAATATGTTTTGTGTTTTTATACAAAAAATGGAATCAATGGAATTTCTTTATTATATTACGTGAATTTGGACACATGAATGAATTCGAATTCATCACAAACTCACCTTACTTAGAGTCGACATGTGAACAGCTAACGCTACATCACGTTTCATATTGAACGGCAACGAGTTTAATATACTGGACTCATCTGAGGAAATGTTGATGAATTTATTTTTTTTATATTTATTTTATTTATTTAATACTTCATGCACAGAGACAAAGGCATTTCCTACTGGTCAACCGGATGGGAGATATGGAGGAAAAACCTATAACAAAATACATAAGCATACATAAACAATACATATAATATATACATATACGCTCATAGCTGATATAATATTTTATATAATATACTAATATAATTTACTTATAATATAGACGACTAACGGTGTAACGAATTTGCCTGTTCCAATAGCTGCACAGCTCGTTTTTAAATGTAAATTTGCTGGTGAACAATCCGATATCCAACGGATATTCAATCTACAAATGAATGGTATCGGATTGGTAACATAGAAACATGAGCCGCCAATTGTAGGCTAATGAATTTAATGTTTAAGATATATAAATACTATTAAATATTTCTTTAATAAAAACAGCCTAAAGCTCGACTTTAAGCGCATCTTTGTAATAGAAAATAAAAAAATATGTTTTCTCAAATAAAACATTCTTCAAAAGGTTTAATTTCATTAAAAATGCTTTGAAAGCGTTGCGCTCGACGAAGAGTTTGAGGCTGTTCTACAGAATACCACAGCAAGTAGTAAGGAGCTCACTCTTATACTAATACGATCAGGTGATGGGTGACCAAAAAATATTATCTCGAGCTACTTCGATATCCCAAAGATACGTTAAGCAGTTGGTACCGGCTGCATTTTCAGTCGTTTATAACTTAAATCCGCATTGGGTCAGCGTAGATGGTCCATCCTTGTTAACCATCCATAAGGCCTGATCCCCTGTGGGGGATTCGTAGAAGCGTTTTTAACACGTTCATTGCCATATCACGCAACGTCGTGTGTAGTGGCCTAATATTCTGAAGCCGGTAAAGCGACATCTCTTACAATCTCTTATGGGACAAATATATAACATGGGAAAAATCATGATCCAAATATATGTATTCAAATAAACTTGTTAAAAGTACTTCTGAATCGTCCAACATTTTTTTCCCTACCACGTTCAGGACGGCTTTTGGTTGATAAGAACAAGCAAGAAACTCCCCAATTCTAATGGAAGTAATAGCATTCACAAAAATTATGTCATTAGCTGATCAATACATTATAAATATAAGAAATTCAACAATTACAATAGTAACATATTAATAGAATCGACTGTTTCGCATTCGCTATAAGTATTTGGTTTGGCCACTAGACAATTAATTTTGGTCAGATGGGCATGCCCTGCGGATAGTCTTAGTGTTTTAATTTGGCTCGTGCTCGCTAGTTGTTGGCTATTTATGTAAGTGTAAAATTTTGACTTGGCAATGAACGTGTTAAAACTATTAGCAACAAGGTGTCCCGGCAGACATTGTTCTGCCCTATTTCTCTAACGTGTTAGGTTTTTTCACTCCCTAAAAACCTTTGTCGATCACAGTGTTTGAATTTGTTATTCAATTTGTTTGTTTAATTATTATTTATCTATTGTAATATAATAATTGTTAGCATCGCTTTCCCCTTTTTTCCTTCTGTTATTATAAGTGAAAACTTGTAAATGGCTTATAGACGTATAATTAACTAGTGGCCGCCAACGACTTCGTCCGCATTTTCCATTATTTCTTCGCTCCTAATAGTTACAGTGTGATGCTACATAGCCTAAAGCCTTCCTCAATAAATGGTTTATTCAACACAAAAAGAATATTACAACGATCCAGTAGTTCCTGAGATTAGCGCGTTCAAACAAACAAACTCTTTAGCTTTATAATATCAGTATAGATTTCTATTGTGTAATTACATCTGTAAGTTTTCCTAACTAAAATAAATAAACAAATTTAGTTCAAACACATTTAGCTATTCATTTTTAGGCTTACGTATCGAAACAGTAAAACGGGAACCCACTATTATTCTATCTATTACGTTTTTAAAAACCTTTTTCAGACTTCATCAAACACAACAAATTTAGTTCAAACACATATAGCGATTCATTTTTAGGGTCGGAACCCTGGGCCAGTTTTTTGATTTGTGGTTAACTCAACCATTTGTTAAAATCTTTGACAAATGGTTAAATGAAATATATGCTTTTTATAAAAAAGTTAAGTTTAAAATAACTGGAAAGAATATCTTTGTGCTTTCTTACATTATTAAAGAAATTGCCTTATATTTCCTGAAAATAACACATAGTGCACACAACAGAACAACCATAAACATCCACACTGTTTGATAATCTATAGATTTCTTTCGTCTATTTGATATTTAGAACAAAATCCTAATGTCAAAAATGGTATGTAGTTCGCTCCGTTCATTCAAACCGTTAGTGTTGTCACCCAGAAAAAAATTACCCATGTCAATGTATAGCGAAAAAACGACGCATTGTGCTGGCAGCAAATTGGCCAGTGGTTAAATTTGGCTATGGATTAATTTGGCATCAAAAAACGAAATAACGAGTTAACAACTTGTTAATGTTTTAACTATAGTCAAGTTAACAAATGGTGAAATGACATTTGACTACGGATCAAAAAACTGGCCCTAAGACTCCGCTGTTTATGGATGCGGTACCGAAACACCGCTGCTGTGTCCACGTGTAGTTGAACCAGCACGTGACGCGGCGGCGCAGCGCACGCGCCGTGCCCAGCCGCCGCAGGTAGCGCGCGCAACCGTCCACCGTCTGTCTGTACTCCGTCTGTACCACGGGAGACAATCGCTCACACCCAGTTGCATAAACGTCCGTTCAAATTTTCATTAGTTTAAAGCGATACCCATACAAATTTGACATTCGTTAGAGCTTAAAGGCGTCCTTAAACTTTAATGGACCTTCGTGCAACTCACCGTCAAACTCACGGTGGTCTTCATTCAAATAAACTTCTTACGTCGTTAGTACACCGACGCAATCGCATTCGTATTGCTATACGGATTTTGAATTATTATTTTCATAAAATCGTACTGGAGTTTGGAGAACTAGAAGTTGATAATTTCGCTAGTCTAATAAACAAAAGTATAAAAAATATATTTCTTGGCATAAAGAGGTTTGGATTATGCCATAAATCCGTTCACAATCCCATGGTCAGGATTTTACTTTTTTGGTTTCCCATCCTTTGCTATAATTTTGAAAATTTAAAGAAAAATAATACATGACCAATCTAAAGGTGTACTTGTTGTACCTCTTTGGCCTAGTGAAACATGGTATCCTCTCTTTAAAAAAGCACTGCTGGTTTCCACATGTTTCGCATGTGCTTAACTCGATGAAATAGCTGCGCCCTCGTCGTAGCTGGCAATCCTGAATATGTTTTGTATTCAGGATTGCCCGTCCGGATTTCAGATGACTAACCGAATATCACGCACGAATTTTATTTCTCAAAAGGTGACAACTCTGTTCGCAATCGCATATTTCCGAGAATGATTAGCATTCGCAAACGAATGCGTCGGTGTACTGACAGCGTTACAACCGTTTTCACTAACTTAGAACTAGGAAACGCCTAATTTTATGAATCATCTTTCTTTCTTTAATAAATTAACCCGGATTCTCTTTACTCAATCGGTATAGTTTCTTTTAGCCAAGGGTAGAGAATGCTATCTTAGCAATGAGGTCGCCTCTTGCATCTATTTTTCTAATTATATATATTTTTATGTTTATGCTTTACTAGGCAATAAATTATAATCGTTAATTCATTTATTTATATCACTCAAATGCCTTGCGCAAGGCGCCGCATAACGCATATCATAATTTTAGACATTAATGAATGTTCCTAGTCATTGATGAAATGAATTTTTACCTTATGCGATTTCTAAATATTTAGGTTTGGGCGCCTCATGAATTGTCCGAACATATTTTTCCCTACCACGTTTAGGACGTCTTATGGCTCTTAAGAAGAACAAGCAATAAATTCACCAGCTCTAACAGAAGTAACGACATTAGCGAAATCATGTCATATCATAATATAATTCGTATAAAAGATTCATCTATCAAAATGGAAGGAATAATGCAAGTATAAGCATTAGTCAGTTTCAGAAAATTAGTCATTTTCTGTACAAATACTTCTTTAAAGTAGATTTAAATTGTTATAATTGACATTATATTTACTATATTTCGATTGCCGAATAGAGTTGATTTCATACAACTACCGGCATTAGGTACATTGTGAGGATAATAGACTAATAGATAATATAACATATAAAGAGATCCAAAAAGCTCACCCTAGCTCTCGTGGCAGTAGCAATGATGTCTCTAATCTGACCAATGAGCAACGCGAACACAAACACTCCCATAAGCCATGCAGCAGTCATGAAGAGGTATTCTTCTGTGTTCTCTGGCTTTGGATTCTTTCCGATAGAGGTAGCAGTCTTAGTGGCGAAGTAGAAACAACGAATATAAGCATTGCCCTGATTGTCGTACACCCAGTCGTTGGAGCCGAGACCGATGTAATAACTCATGGCATAGTAGGCACAAGCGTTTAAATGTATCAAGTAGAATATGTAGAAGAGCGTTTTACCAATCCTGACCTGAAAAAGTAAGAGAAAAATTCAATTGGAATCAATTAGATAAATTAAATAACTTAAGATTTTCATATACATATAATTCGATTTCAATCATTTTAAATTTATTCGGTGAAAAAGTTCTTACCACATACGGAGAAGACAGCACTCGATCCATCGCCTGGTGGAATTCCCAGAACGTCTGCAATTTCAACAGCCTCGGAAATCGCAGGATAACCATTTGAGTTCCAAAATGAATGTATAATAGATCAAGTGGAGTCAAAGATATTATGTCGAACTGTAATAGGAAACAAAATATTCTTAAAATATTTCATTAATTATAATAGAAACATACATTAAAAAGATGTTCTATAACCTGGCGGATACACTTATTAAAGCTTACCTTATACTGCAGTTTCTTTCTATAGTTCTTCCGCGTTTCTTTAGTGTTGTCTACCCAAAAACCTTCATGTAAGAACATGAGACGTGGCTTAACAAGTGCAACGTCTAACAAATATACGATGTCGCAGAAATAATCGGCAACCATCCAGTATGGTGTATTCTCCGGCGTCTGATATGGGAAGGTGGCACGTAGAGCGATACACCATGCATTGTAACTATGGCAAAAGGTGACTAGAAACAGCCAGCTGATATACCCTCGACCTGTAAGTAAAATTAAAAAAAAATCTGGAATCAATAGTTTAATAGAATATAAATTTATTTTTTCTGATTACACTAATATTCACTCTATTGGCTTTAAGCCAGTACAAGATTTCCCGGTATAAATTTTCCAACCAATGGCACAGTATTTCGATATTTACAAGTGCTTGAAACACAATATAGACTGAATAAATGATTTTGAGAATTTAGTTTGAGTAATAGAAACTTACTGAAAAACACTTACTGTTAAACAATTAGTTAACATTTGATCGATTCCACAAAAGAATGATTCAATTTAATCTGTGACAAGACATCTTATTCGATAGGCATTACTGGCGCCCAACTGGTAGCCGACCTAATTGGAAAACAATAAAGACGATATAATAACTCACCCTGCGGATCGATGGGCACGAACGGGTCGCAGAAGGCGGGCACCCTTAAATAGCCCTTGCATTTTTTCTGTCTCGGAGACGACGGCACTGGGCTCTGTGGAGTCTCTACTGAAAATGACGATTCTTCTTTTTCTGGTGATGGTCTAGAACCATTCGATTAGATAATCTACACATAAACTTATTAATAAACTAGCTGTTACCCGCGGCTTTAACCACATGAGTATATGACAAAAGATTTGATCAAATTGTCATTTTTAAAATGGCAGGATTCAATTCTTCTCATTGAACTGAGATATTTTGGAGAGTGTTATAAAAATATTTTTTGATGACATAAATTGATGAAGTCGTACTTTGATCCATTTATTTGACGTGTCATGTAATTTTATTATGTATATAGGTTTTGTTTCACCATTTATTTTTTTGATGGTATTAATATAAATTCAAATGAATATACATACATAATACATAAAGACAAATGAATAATGGAAGTATATTTGAGCAGAAATTGTATTTATATTGCTTGTAATAAATAGAATCAATGTAAATAAAATATATAAGCCGATGTGGTGGCAGACAAAAATATAAAATATTCTTACAATTTCTTAGTATCTTGTGTCGATTTTAGTTCTTTCAAATCTTGGAGTTCTGTGGAGACTGACGTGATTTCATTCATAGAATTAGATTCTGTTGGTGGATTTCTGGGGAATAGACGTACTTTCTGCACTTGAAGTAAGATTCTGCAAATTAAATGAACTCAATCAAACATTAATCACAATCAAGCATTTTTTTTAACGGCATTGCAGGATGGCACTCAGTGTTATTAACAGCGCTGTCGCAAAATTAGAGATTCAATAAATATAAGCCGACTTCAAAAAGTCATAATTTTTTTATTTTAATAAACCTCTAATCCGTCTTCGAAGCTTTTTGCAACCCTGTTTTTAATAGAATAGAAAAACTGTCAGGATCTTCAAAGATTTTAACTCCTTCTACACATGCAACAGGTTTCGGAAAGATTTTTACGGTTAAATAAAACTTTTTGAAAAAGTTTTTCGTTATCTGTGCAACGCCCGGCCGATGGTGGTTCACTGTTACAAAAAGTACATATTAGTACCTAATTACATACTTTAAGATTTGAGTAGTTAGACACCCACATGTACTTTTAAGAGTATTAAAATTCAAAAGCAAATTATGAAATTCTGAGTGAATCCATTTAATATTTTGTGGACCTCAAAATACCAATCTTAAATATTCAGAAATGAAAATTTTACGGCAAATTGTAAATAAACGATTTTCTTACCCTTTGATTTGATTTTGCTGAGAGTCATGTTTTTTCTGAGATTTGCTATCCGTGTTCGAATTTGTAGGGGTAAGTCTGAAAATTTATTTAAAAGTAGCTAAGTATGTACATATTTTTTTAGTTAATTTTTTAAGATTAACAGTAATGGTCTTTGAATAATAGAGGGAGAGCATTGTTCTCGTCTTGACCTCGATAGAAGACCAACGACCCATATATATGATGTATGTTTTTGATTGTTCCTATGAAAAGATAAATACTTTTAAATATTTGATATAACTATGGTGTACCAATCTTGGTGGGTAGGTTTAATACTAAAATGTAGTAGGTTTAATACAATCGTCGCATGAAAGCTGTATTGTACTATATTGTGGTTGTTACTTTACATTTTATCAAAACATAATCTGCTTTTAACAAAAATTAACGACTTATTACAAAAAATTAACCAAATTTTTAACAAAAATTAATAACTTTTAACAAAAATCTACTTTTATCAAAAGATAAACCATGTCAAAGTCATACGTACACTTTATGTGCTGGTGTGGCTTCTGGCGTACACCAAGATCCATATGGTTGCTTTCTATCGTCTACTTTCGGTGTATTTAAGCCTGACGTAGATGGATGGACCGTATGCTGAATGAAAATCAAAACTTTAAATATAAGGTGATTTAATACGACTACAACAAACATAACCCTCCTTCTTGCAGTCGACTAAATATGCTTGCAAGCTGCCTCCGTAGCAACAATAAAATCGGCTTTCGATAAGATCAAAACATATCAAAGGAATATTCTTAATGGAAAATCCTTAAAAAATCCACTTCGTTCCTAGCACTCTGAGATGGGACAGTTATTAAAAATATTTTTAGTTTAGCATTGTGAATGTAAAATTCATCAAATATGAAGAAATCAAGGGCGATCATAGACACCGTTAAAGATAAGTTATGCTATTGCTGTTAAATAACACCCTCGAACTCGAAGAACGGAGTGCTGCATGCCGTAGAGTTTAATGAACTGAAACCTTTATTACCTTTTAATGTAGGTTTTATTTTTTTTAACCTCTTTGCTATGGCAGCGCCATGGTCGTCGAAAAGGCTCTTTTTATAACAGAATAGAACTGCAGATATCAATCTACGATAAGCAATCACGCTTATTATCGGAAGGTGATATCCGATTTTATTAATATCAAAGAAGGAGAAGACATTTGTAATGAGTTAAGTCTTGTCACGCTTGCTTATTTCTTGGATAAAAACCATCCGTAAGGGACCGGACGTATATATAGATAGGTATTGATATTTACTTTATGTGGTTATAAAACGGTTTTCATTTTGAAAATATTAAGAGTGGACGTCGTTTATGTCTTATGATTCCATAAAATGTGACATAAAACTATTATCAAAATGGTTAGTAAAGTTTAGCTTTCAGAAAATTGGGAATAATATAGGTGGTAATATAATAATGTTTATTAAGCATTTAAAATACTATATAATAAAAAACATTTAAAAGTTTTATTTAATTATAAGTTGCTTTCGTACATTTTATATCGATAATGGTAACTGTTTATACTACTACTAAAAATTAATTTTATAATATAATAAAAATATATATTATTTTATATTACTACTAAAAATATATCATTTATTTATCAATAAAAATGTAGTCCAGAATAAAGAAACTCCTAATACCCACTTTTCTAGTGTTCGACACTTGGTGACTTAAGTTTAGTTGAGTGGATCGACTAAGTTGAGCTACCTACCTTTCGTAAATTTAGTTTTACACGGTTTTTTAAATAAAATTATAAGGTTTTTTTAACTTTTCAAGTTATTAAAACAGTTTAGTCCTATAGGGTAGTTAACAGGAGGCTTAATGTCAATTTCTTTTACGTTTACGTTCACCGTCGATTGTAAGCCCGTTAAGATTTTAGTATGAAATCCAGTTCAAAACTATAAATTTTCAAACAAATTCTTAACGCACTAACGCTAGTCAACGCGTAAACGTAAAACTTACACCTACCACTCTAGTTATGAAAATTACGAAATTTAATCACTCCTCTCCCTTGTCTCGGCGACAATATCGGCAGCATTTTAGTATTGTGTATAATAAAAATACACCACAGCATTCAAATTATAAATCATAAAGGAAAACTCATTCCGTACCTACCGAATAGGAAAGTGCTTAAGGTGTTTGAGTATTCAAATCACAGATGGAACGGCAGCTAATGGCTATGTCGGCTGACCTTGCTCGGTGTCGAGTGTGAATCGATTTTTAAATTAACGCTCAGGGAAGTCTCTACATCTTACGGCTTTAAAAACATTACTGGTTTCGATGGGGATCCTTCCTAATATAAGACAAAGTTTTTGGAAGATTAAATCTTTTCTATACCATAGGTGTACCAGAATCTGACGGCAAATCGGGAAATTTCAATTTGCAGAAGACAGCATTGAGGAAAAGGATAAAGACGAGACTTGTTTTAATTTTATTAAAATAAAAACTTTTCAATAACATATTATTGAACATACTTCTGACCAAATTCCGGTCAAGGCAGATTTTGACATAATTTATGTGTCTGCGTGCTATAGAAGTATAATATAGTGCACAAACATTCACCTGTACACTCTATATTACCACATCTAATGTTCGTGTTAGGTTTTTCCGGAAAGTGTTTATTATTAAAGTTACATCTGTGAAAACAAATAAGTTTTTCAAAAATACAGGACATCTTCATCAGCTTGAATGTGTAATTATTTAAATTTTTCGTTATCTTTTGTGATGTGGAACGGCAAATAAAACTCTCCTTGTAAACCGACAGCATTTTTCTTAATTTACGATATTCTAATGTTTCTCTTTGTTTTAAATCAACTTTTTGTTATTATTCTGTTCTTCGAAACTGTCTTTGAATTGATTCATCGAAGTTAGTTCAGTTGCTAGAATTATGGGTAGGTAATGATGTCCTTTTGTAATCATTCATGACAGGGAATTAGGTCAAATTTCTGCTAATAATATCAAAATTATTTTCAAACTAAAAGTTTTATTTATTTTCTTTACAAATATTGTAATCGATATTGTAAATCATGGGCATTTCTTTCACGTTTTTTTTGAAACTCAAATAGACAAGAAAAATGTATTCTTCCAAAAATGCTGCTGCTTAGGATCACCTTACTATATCGGAGGTTTAACGACTGGTATTTATTGAAATACCTACAGTTAGTTTACTACATTAAAATAACTGCTTCTTACTTAATGCTTAAATATATCTATGCATGGTACATATACCAAAATGAATTTTTTTTCATTTTATGTCTGTCTGTTTGTTCCTGTTAATATCTCTGAAACGAGTGGACCGATTTTAGGAGTAGGATGTTTACACGCGGATGAAGTAGCGGGCACAATTAGTCGTTAAAAAATATAATTAATAATATATGGGGCTAATGTGGCTCTCGTTAGCGCAGTGGTTAATGCATTCGATCGAATGCGGAAACAACTTTAATTCAAAAGCAACTTTATTAAGGGCCGGTCATAACATTTGTGACTAAACCTTTATTATCGCAAATTCCTCGGTTCTTCGGAAGGCACATTAAATCGATGGTCCGGGCTGCATCTACACTCGTTAATACCCACCAAATCTCAGGTGCGTTGGGTCATAGCCTGTTCTCCCTATTCCATTCGATAGGGAAGGTCTGTGAGCTAGCAGTAGATACGTTAATAGGCTCATGGTGAAATATGAATACTTCGTTCGAATACTAAAAGTAATGTATACTTCTCGTTGATTAAATGTATTTCCAATACCATTAATTTTATTAGTTAGGCTTTCAGTTCATAATTCTAATTGAACGTATACACTTTCATAAGGGAGAGACGTGTTTTTATTATCCAAAGTGATTGCTGGATATAACTACCTAATTAAAAACTGGGTGCGGCATATTAGCCATCTATCAATGTCTAAGCTGTTATTAGCTTTACAAGCAGTTAAGATACACATATTTATATTTTTAATTTGTATTAATTTATTAAAGGACTGAGTGTTTTTCCGCGACTTCGTCATAATTTTTAATTGGCAAATATCGTTTACAATAGATATTGCGTTTTTAAATGACCAGCATATTTCGTCGTCAGGATGACTTACCAATATTACAATGTATTATTTTATAGTAGTCAAAGAAAACTCTACATGTGCGAAAAACATATCATTTGGCCTAATGGTATTACATATTCAGGAAACAATGGTCAATTTTCAATATTTTGTTTTTTTTCTTGTGTAACGGGCTAATATGAGATAAAATAAAATAAAAAAAGATTTCAAGTATAAAATCAAAGCTATGTTGCTACTTATTATCTTACTAATTTATGCTGATAAGTTTACATATTAAAATAATCATAAAAATAAATAAGTATTACTACATATTTTTCGTGATAAGTATATGTATACGATACTGAAACGGCAAGAAAAAATAATTGTACATTGTTTGGAAAATTACAAAATTGTAACAATGTCTTGATCTTCTTTATTAATCAGAAATAATAGCTCTTGGGCTCTGCATCTTCTATCAAATGGCATTGAGTACTTGATTGGCTAAAACTGTTGTTTAATCGGAAATTAAGTGTCTTAGTAGCATGTTAAGAAAAGCGTTTGTAACACGCAAGGTAAACATTTACGCAAGATACTTTAACTGTCTTAATTAGTCCACTAAAAACTTATTGCTATAAAGCCATATATTTTCTATACATTTGAGTACGCCTGCCTATTTCAATTGATTAATATTACGTAACTGGTGTATATAAAAGTGCTTTATACCCACGTCATGTAATTAAAATAAAATATAGATAGGTATAGACGGAAATAGAACTGTCTTCTATTTTGGGGACTCAATGAAAAATAATGGTTTTCAAGGAGAATTATATTGATTAGCTATCAACAGGTGTGTGTAAAGAAATTAGATATTACCAGAGGCTCTCCCGCGTGACTTCAAGCCCTGATTGTTCTGTCAAAATTAAGGCGTTAATGATCTGTCAGGGTCACTATGATCCAAGGTCCAGCAGACCACCACGATTGCTCTAGGATTGGACAGTAACAATTCAGTGAGAACGATCCATCTGACCCCCCCTTCCTGCGCCCATGTGGATAGCATAGGTAACTATTTTAAATAGGTAGGTAATATGGATGAAATGAAATGCTATTTTAATTGCTTCTTTATATACCAATCTAATCCACTGTTTTCCATTATAATTAAAGTCTTAAGTCTCTTTTATGTAAAGCAATAGAATAATTTTGTATTGTGAAAATATATTTTTTTGCATCCTCTAAAATTGCAAGAAGCTACTATTCTTTTTTTTTTATAAACAAAATATAACCTATGTCCCTTGCGCGGCACCTATCATTTTATGCAAAGCATATTAATTTCCATCTGCTTAATGATATTAATACCTGTAGATTAATGATCGGCACTTGCCGATGGATGTTTTTATTCTGTTGATTACCATGTCGTGGCAAATGTTATACATAAAAGTAATTTTATGGCACTTTTCACATAGATACACTTACCACATCCACTTTTATTTCCATTTTCATCGCATATAACTTGAATAATGTACGGGCAAACAAATGCAATTACCAATGTTCAAGAGATTGATATTAATCAAAAACTATTCTTAAGAAAAAATGGCGGGAAAATATTAACCCGGAAAAAGCTAAGGAAATGTCGCGAACCAGTACGCGCGGTCACTACGAAGGTTTTAATTCAACTAGTTTACTTCCATTGTTTTGTGGTTTGGGATTTGGT